AATAGTTAGGTGCAAATTTTCAACACTATTGAACAAGTATTTCATAAGTTAAAGCTATTTGTGTTATATACTTAGATTAAAAAATAAATGGCGCTAAAAAAAAATTAAAAAAGAGATTGGGACCGAGTATCGATATCTCTGAAACCATAAGAAATTGGACATTAAAATTTGGAGTGAAGTTTCCTTTTATTAATATAAGCTTGTATTCCCAAAATCATCAATATCTGAGGTGGCATGATGCCAAAAAAATTTTTTTCAGGTTGATTTTATTACATCTCCATTGCAATCAACAAAGCGGTTACTATAACTATAAATATTTTTAATGACGATATCTCAAAAAAATAACAACAAACTAACACTTATTAATATACTTAAATTGATTAAATGGCTTCAACCAATATTAATATTAATCAATTTAAAACCAATATTAATTGGTTTCAACCAATATTATTTTTTACACAAAAACAAAATAAGATCTATACTTAATTCGATAAATAAGATATAAAATAAAATACAAAATAAGATCTATACTTAATTCGAGGATTGTTCTTAATGGTTGTAATAGCCAAAGTGTTTTAACAACAAATTAGAAACAAAAGCTGTTATTATTGTTCAAATTGGTCAATTTTCACTAAAAACTCACAGAAGTTATGTAGATGACAGTCATGCTTGATTAAAATCAATGCAAAATCATGATAAGTTTTTGGATTTATTAAACAAATTAGATCCAACAATAAAATATACATCAAAAAAATAAAACAATAAAAAAGAGTTCAAATTCTTGTATAAAACTATAACCAACACTAATAACTAATTCTATGACTTCAAAATCTACTGAAAGTCTGCTATCACTATTATACAAATAAAACCAACATCAAATGTTAATCCAAATGTATCTCACACCATTAACATTTGTTCCTCAAAGTATCTTTATTATACAATTATTAGTAACAAATATGCAGAAAATGGTTACAATAGATTAAAACTCAAAACAATTGCCATGAGTTATATTCAATATATAATGAAAAACCTATCCAATATAAATGAAAATAAAACAGAAACAAATAAATATACAGTTAAACTATCTCTAGCAATAAAATCAGTACTCATCAGAGTATGATGGATGCAAAGTGAGAAAATCACTTGAAATTAACTATGTCTCAACATATTAAATAAATAAAACACACTTCTGTACTTCTCAACTGTGATAATGGTGTTTAAATATATACACACAGAAGACCTCTATTTAAAAAAATTATCCAAAAAAGCAGTTTAATTAATTAATATTTGCTAATTTTATATTTACATTGTTATGTTATCATTTATGGATTCTTTTTAAATGTATTTTCTGACATTTCTATGTAACTTTTAAAATATTGCACTGCATGTTAGATTGTACAAATTATACAATTATTTGGTATTGTGGTTTATCCTCTTCCGGCTGATTGCCATATAGAGGCCACATTACCATGGCCTGCAAAGACAAGTTCGGCTCCCAAGGAGCGTCATAACCTGCTCTATGGACTGAGGTTAAGGTGAGTTCGGGACGAACGAAGATATGTTAGAGTGAATGGCAGAAGTCGTCAAGTTAGAAAGATAGCATAGAGAAAGCAGACATAAATGCAAAATGTACTGTTAGCTAGGTTAACCTAACTAAAGTACGCCAACAAAGTTTTGATTTGAGTTCACTTAATATAAACTCTTCCTCAACTTTTTTTGTTGTCAAGTTATACAATTAATTGGTTACAACTAGTTAATGTATGTGACTAATAACAAAACATTAGAATAGTTGACATTTTATATACATTTATGCTTGTGTGTTTATAAAAACTTGTGAACTATTGCGCTTGTATTATTGATCAAATAAAATGTAACGTAACAAAATCTAGTTATGAGAAGTAACTAAAATACGTCTCAAATATAGATTTTTGATCTTAATTGTGGATTTTAAGTAAGATTATCTTCCAGTTCTTCTAGTACAACAGTTCCTTTTTTCTTATGTGGCTCATACAATTGTATGAGATTCTTATTTCAGATTGTCTTGTTTCAGTAGTTGGAAGCATTTATTAAACACTTATGTTTTGAATTCAAATAATTATTGTCTATATAATAAATTAAATTATTATTTAATATTGGCAATAACTATTCGAATGCAAGACGTAAGGGTAATGACAATTATGTTAATTTTGCAAATATTACACAATTTGTGAATTTTGACAACTTAGCCATGGTGCAAGTATTGATAGTTTGCTTGTTGAAGAAAACCAAAACTAAACAAACCTCTGAGAAAACCAAACTAGTTTACAAAGAAAATTAAAGATAAACAAACCATAAAATGAAAGAAGAAACAAACATAACAAATGATAAATTTATTAAAGAAAAGCCAGAGAAAATAAAAGCATAAAGTTAAAATATTTTTTAATTTAGAAGCCTCTCAATTAATAGTTCAAACTTAATTTAATTTAAAAGCGTTGCAATTAATAGTTAGTTTATTAATAGTTTAGATTTGACTTAACTGACTTATGACTAAACTAATAATTTTTTTCTATATCGTTGGTATAGCGCAAGAACATGCAAGCGAGTGTTGGTCCTATTTGCTGAGGGGTTAGGGTGGGGCAGCAAATTTTTTTTTGCTGTTCTTTATCTTTTTCCGAAAAAAACTATTTGTTATTAGGTCAGTAAAAAAAGTCATTTATTGTCAGTTTATTTTTGCTATCTATTTCTATGTCTATTTATGCTGTTGTATGGTATTTAAAGCTATGATAGGTTAGTTTTAATGTTGGCTGATATATATATATAAATATATATATATATATATATATATATATATATATATATATATATATATATATATATATATATATATATATATATATATATATATATATATATATATATATATATATATATATATATATATATATATATATATATATATATATATATATTTGGGTAGGCTAAACGCCCCTGATTTTTAAAAATCAAAAGGCACTGTTTTCCATGTGCTGTGGGTGTACTCTGTGACCAATAAAAAACAAAATTTGAATTATTTGGATAATTTTTTGACCCCGCTCAATGGGCTCAAAGATCGAATTTTTATTACAAAAATTCGAATTGCGACGGTTCAAACACCCTTAAAAAATAAAAATAAAAAAATAATGCTTTTCATCTGATTTTTTAGAAGTTTACGATTATTTTAAGCCTATTCCCATCGTAATTCAATAAGATTTAGGCTGTCTACAAGCATTAAAAGGACTAAATTTTTGACCTGGTTTCTTAAAAAAACACCCGGTTTCTACAACATTTTAAAACTGCCGGGTTTTTTATTATATTGGGATGGATTGCAAATTTTTAGGGGGACTTTATATTTGTAATTACTTTTTTTGGATAACAAAATTATTTACAAATAAAAGCATTATATTAAATAAGATTGAAGTTGTTGGGAAGGTTAGGCAGGGGTGGAGGATATGCCGCCCCCCTTCAATTTTTATACAATTTTTTTAACTTTTTGAATAAAAAAGTTCACTTGAATTGAATTGAATCACTGAATAAAGTGTTTGTTTGTGTATTATTTAAGTTAAAGTATGACATATTTATATAGCAGTATATAAAAAATATTTTTATTATTAATAACCTATTACATTATATTATTTAAAACAAAGCGGGAAAAGACATCAAATCAAAATATCAGTTTTTTTGATAAATGACTTTATTAAATTCTCTAGAAATATAGAGAACACCCTCTCAACTATCTTATAGAGATCGAGTTCTGCAATATTTAATTTGTATACAAATCAAAACTAAAAAATAAAATCGTTTTCAGACGTACACAGAGACAGAGTACACCCACAGCACATGGAAAACGGTGCCTTTTTATTTTTAAAAATCAGGGGCGTTTAGCCTACCCTAATAATTATGCACATATACGTATTTAGAAAGCTTATTTTTCCATATTTATTAGTAAAAATTACAATTTTTATTTATAGAAATGAAATTTTTTATAAATAAACCTGGCATAAATATATGAAATAACAACTTTTGATATATATTTTGATATTTAATAATCATATAAACAATTTCATGTAACAATTGCATGTTAAAGAATTTCAGACAAATTCTTTTTGGAATTGACTGAAAACTTTTGTCTGTGATTTGAAATTGAAATCATCAAAGATTGCTTTAACTCCTCATCCTGGCAAATGTGTGTAAAGTCTTGGATGAGCTTTACTCCTCTCTCAGCACAATCATTTACTACTGTTAATTTTTCTACAAATGTTTTCAGAACTCTATATCCTGAGAAATTATTCCAATCTCTAAAATAAAATAGTTATCCTAAAATATTTTAAAAATGCCAAAAAATAACATAAGAAATAATTTATGAGAAATATTTACTTGGAGCTAACTTGCATCTATTTGCATCTATATATATTGGAGCTAACTTGCATCTAACTTGCATTACTTGGAGCTAACTTGCATTGGATATTGGTTATTGCATCCTTCCTGTAAACCTTGAACTCATACTTTCCTTGTGTATTATTAATAACAGTTATATCCAAAAAGTTAAGTATCTTATTTTTGCTTTCAACATCAATAGTATATTTTAAAGAAGGATGTTGTCTGTTAAGAATTGTTTGGAACTGTTCCGCTTGATTTAAGCTAGAAAACCATTCTGTTTCTATTACAGATAAATTTAGCTGCTGAATGAGAATCCAACTTTGAGGTCCAACCAGTTGCCATAACTCTGGAATTTTTTTTATGTCAATATTTGGAAAAAGTGGTTTTCCCAATGTTAAATTTGAAGGTCTAGGATATAAAAATAGCTTTTTGGCAATTTTTTCTCTAATGTTATTGTCAAGTGTTTCGTCGCAAAGAGCAAACACAACATTTCGTTCTGTAAGAAGCCATAAGTGATTTTTAATACTTTTAATAGCAGTAGTTGACACAGTTTTGTTAAATGATCCATACTTGGTCATATCCCTGATTGTACATAAGTCTAAAGAAGGAGAAGAAACTGCCAATTGTGCTTTCAGAAACCATCTTGCATGAAAAAGCCCAATAAACTCAGCAATTTGAGGGACTGTTGCTATTTCTTCTTCCCTAATTATATCAAATTGTTGCAAATGAAATGTAAGCAGTTCTATTGTCATGTAGTAGATAGCTTTTGAAAGAAATCTTGCATGATGAAAAGCTATAGGTTTACGAAACTTAAAATTTCCAAGCTTATCACTGCCTAGCCAAACCAAAACAAGTTCTGCTAAATGCTTATAGTCACCACGAGGAAACTTTTCTGTAAACAAGGCGTATTCAAGATATATTTTGGTTTTTAGAGCCTTTGAAAAAATATAATGCAAATAAGTTTATTTTGTTTTAAAAATTTTCAGAAAAAAGAAATATGCAATTCTCCTTACCTGTTCTTCTAAAAATGTTCCTTTTCTCTTGCTCCATTCAAACCTGTTAAGATTGTTTAAATTTATGTCAGGCTTAATAGTTTCCCAGAAATTTTGAATTTTTTTGAAAAGATTATCAACTGGTCCATCAGACATATTTCCAGAAACTGCAAGTGCTACATGCTAGATAATGACAAATGAGATTAGGAAAAGGCTATATGAGTAAACCAAGAATAAAATTATTTAATAGTTCTATTTCTAACCTTAATATGAAGCTCATATATGTAATGTCTGCAGGCAAATCATAGTAATGGTCTGCCCTGCCATTTTTCTAGCAATACACAGGCACCCTGCATCCAGCCTTAATTTAATTCATTTATTCAATGTGAAATTTTTTAAATAAAAATTATGAAAATACAAAAATATCATAATACAAAATGTCATAAAATGTCTTTATTATTTTATTGAGTTTATTTTTCTCACCTGTATTTGAAGATGTAGTGTCAAAACATACACTATGTACCGAATTCCAGAGATTCCAAGATTCCAGTATTTCCTTAATTGCTTTTGCTTGTGTTATTCCACGACTATCTGTGATAGAAAGAACTCCAATAAGTTGTTCTTTATCAATACTAGGACTTGAAATCACTAGTGCTAACCGCTCAACATTTATATTCGCACCATAAAAATACTCTTTTACTATTTTTGTGTCAAAATGAACACAAAGTAGTTTCCCCTTAGCTTTTACAATAAAATCTTCTTTAACTTTTAAACCATATTCACTAATTACAGCACTTGAATGAACCTTTGCTGACAATATCAAAGTCCTTTAGATTTCCGCCTGCTGAGTAGATGACATTAGCCAATGTAGCGGTATGCGCTGAACTCTGAATACTGTATCTCTTTGCTGTAACAGCAGTGGCCTTTAAGATTTTTCTAGGTAGCATAACTTCAACAAAATCTGGTTTTCTCTTATGAGATCTTGGTTTGCAGTCCTTTTGATATTCAAAATCTTGATTATCCTCTTTGTTCTGTGCTTCTACACTGCTATTTCTAACCTGATTTAAAGTTAAATTGGTTATAAATTCAGAAGCTAATCTGTTACTATTTGAAGTAGTCATTCTCTTATTGGTAAACTCAATCCCCTTTTGCTTTCTACGAGTAGTAAATAAGTACTTCTTGTCTATTCCACCCATGACAGCTTTACGTTCTCCTCGTTGATCATTCAAAAAGTTTATATCAATATTTCTTTCCTTTTTAGTGACTTGCTTATTCAATAGAATTTTTTGCTGTGCATCATTCACACTAATATCAAATAAGCACTTTATTTCAAGTTTGTAAGCGTCTATTTTTCTTAAATTGTGTGGTGTGTCACGTAATTTGTTCTTTGATAGTTTCTTTCTACGATCTTCCAAGCACAATATCTTACTTCTATATAAAGAAACAACATTTTATTCTTACAGTAAGATTCTTTAAGTTTTAGTTTTAAAAATAAATAAATACTGTGTATACAATTATTATTTACCTAATATGTTGGTCAGCTACTATTGGGATTGCACTTCTTTTCCAGATTTTCTTCAGTGACGAAACAACACATGTGCTTTTAAGAAAATTACACCCTCCAGGGTTATTGCAACCAATTTCAAAACTCCCATGTGGAAATTTGCAAGAAACCATATCACAGAGTCTATATTTTAAATTTTCTTTTCTTGCTTTGAATAGTTTGCCATGTAAATATTGCAGAACTTGCTCTCCAGTAGGCAATTGAGATGATGATAGTATTTCGATAATATCATTTATCAAAAAAACTTTATATTTTGATCTTGTGTCTTTTCCCATAATTATCTAAAACTAAAATTATTCAACGATTTTTCTATGCGAAAAAATTAATTACTGCATAGGACGTCTAAAATTATCGCGATCTTAGTAAAATAAACAAACCGTTTAATAAAAAATGTTTTAAAAACCGGTTAATTTTTAAGGAAACCGGGTCAGACCTCAGGGTCCAAAATTCTTGAGCACAGTCTTAGTCTTATTCAATTATCATAAAGTTAGGCTTAAAATGATCATATGAACATAAAAAATCAATCAAAAAACAGTGCCTTTGAGATTTTTATTTTGAAGGTTATCTTACCGGTCATTATATGGATTTTTGAGGCCAAAATTTGATATTTGAGCCCATTGAGCGGGGTCCAAAATTTGTGCAAATGAGTTGAACTTTGGTTTTTATTGATCACAGAGTACACCCACACCACATGGAAAACAGTGCCTTTTGATTTTCAAAAATGAGGGGCGTTTAGCCTACCCTAATATATATATATATATATATATATATATATATATATATATATATATATATATATATATATATATATATATATATATATATATATATATATATATATATATATATATATATATATATATATATATATATATATATATATATATATATATAGATATATAGATATATAGATATATATATATATATATAGATATATATATATATATATATATATATATATATATATATATATATATATATATATATATATATATATATATATATATATATATAGATATATAGATATATATATAGATATATAGATATATTCATATATATATTTGTATATCAACCCTTGGAATTTGGAAAATATTTGGTTGGCATAAGGTCGACCTAAAACTGTGAGAGGTTAAAAAATTTGACACAAAGGGGTTACCATAAAATATAGAAATAAGGTCAGTAATTTTTTGTAGACATTAAACACTTTTAGGTCAGCAGTTAGGTCGACATTGATATACATACATACATACATTTTTTTTTTTATAATTTTATTTCTAAATTATAAATCTAAATTAAATAAGTGAATCATTAGTTTAATGATTCATTTTTGTATTTAGTTCTTTTAGGTCAATAGTTTCTGCACCACGTTTTCAAGGAAGTAACCCTGAGGGAGGCTTATTTAACTGCATAGTAAATGGAGCTAATTCGTGCTCACAATTAAAATATGAAGAGTTTCCTGATCAAAACAAAGGTTTTTTAAAAATTTTTTTCCTTGAAAAGTCATTTAAAAGTAGTTATTTTATCTGTTTTAATACATTCAGTTATTCAACTTTGTTTTCATTTGTTTATTTATTTTAATACATTTATTAATTGAATTGTTAACTTTCTATATAGAAAGATTTTAATATTTTTATATAGAAAATGTAAGAAATTTTAATTTGCACATCCTTATGCTTTAATCATATAAGGGTAGATTTAAGTTAAAATTTTGTGTTTTCTGAATTTATTTATTACTATGTGTTACTGATTCCCAAATAATAAACTCCTATTAAGTATTTTTAACTTATTTTTAATCCTTTGTTTTTATTGAGCAGAATTAATATTTATAATAAGGTATGGCAAAGTAAGAAAAGTTACAAACTTAATCTGTTTTTTAGCTGGGTGTCTGGGATTATTAAAAAAAGCCATTAGCTAGGGACTGAAAAGCAGACTAGGGCCCCAGTTTGTTACTAATTTTAAAAGTAAATTTTAAATAAATTCTTCTATATTGTAATACAATTTCCCATCCATTTGTATTTGAGTCACTTGAAAGGGGACTCATTTGAATTAGTTAATTAAATTACATTTTATTATTAAATAATAATTTAATAAAAAATAAATAATTTACTAGCTAAATTATTAAATTACATTTTAATGGTTACGTTAAAGTGAAAAATGTAAGCGCGCAAAATAACGTAACGTAATTTAACTCAAAACTGTTACATTGCGTATAAATTAAGTATTATAAAAACTTTTAAAATATTTAACAAAATTCATGTGTTCAAATTAATTTAAAAAATGTTTTAACTAATTTAATTTAAATAACTTTGTAAAGAAATTTAATAGTAAACATAAACAATTTTACAACATCAACACAAATCTAATTTTCAAAGTATGAATATCTTTTTCACCTTAAATTGCATAAAGAATGTTCTTTTAAAATTTATATCTAAAATATAATATTTATGCATATATAATACTAAATTATTTTTTTGGCGTACGTACCTTTTTAAAACATACATATTTTCAGGGTAATCCATTAAATAAACTTTTAGACAAGACACATTTTTCAACCATCAAAGGAATGCAAAAAATTTATAATATGTACAAAAATATAATATAACAAAATAATATAGAAAATATTAGGCTACTGTTATTTATGTTTTAATTCTAAAAAAAGAATTTAATCAAGTTTTATGACTTTTTATTACCCTTACAAAAAGTTCAAGTTAGCTGAAGAAATTTAGTGAAAAGGGACGAAAAAATTGTTCACTTTAACAAAGTTCAAGTTATGAAGTTTGACTTGACTAAAAAATTTTATTATTATATATACGCAAACACTTAATTAAAAAGATACTTAGGTTGGCACTCTGATGTTATACTGGAATAGGGAGCTATTTGGGGCTTGTGTACAAACATAGACTGATATAGTTCAAACATGGGAGTTTCTGCTAAATTGAATGAAAGTTAAGGCAGCCATAAGTTTTTTTTCATTTTTATTTGTTTTTTCCCAAAAAAACCTATGGATTTAGGCCAGCAAAAGCATATTAAAAGCAATACATATCCAATATGTATTGCTTAATCTTGAACTACTTTATTAATGGCATTATTTTTCTCTGTATCTGCCAATGATCCTGAACAAGTAGCAATGTAAAAGCTTTTCTACTCTTTACCATAGCACTGCATTACTCAAACTACAAACAATAACTTTTAGACATTCTTCATGACCATACCCCATAGAAATGCACAACATTTTTCTCAAGCATTCTTTTCAAAACTTCCAGTTTTTTGAATGCTTTTTGTTTTATCTACTACTTCATTAGCATTTGTTACAAAATGTTGCTGACTGCAAGAAAACAATCTTGAATGTGCTTAAGTCTCAAAGAATAATTTTAATATGTAAGAAGACTTCTTCCTAAAAATTTCTCAATTGGTTAATTGATAAGTCATTTTTCTGTACTTTTTTGAAAATTAACAGAACATTCTAAAGATTTAAAAAACATTTTGAAATTTTTTTAAAAATATTTTAAAAATTTCTAGAATATTCTAGAAAGTTATATTCACCTAAAGTATTCCACTGTTAAAGGGATTACTTTCTGTTCTGAACTTTTTCCTTAAGTGTCAAAACAATTTGTGTTCATATCTAAAAAAATGTTTAAAAAAATATTTAGGCTAAATTTTTTTCGAAAAACAAAATAATAAACCAAGAAAAACATATACCAAAAAAAAAATCTGAGACTAAAACTAAAGTAGTTTTAGTCTCACATTCTCTATTTTGGTCAGAGTTTGAAGTCTTTAAAATTAGCGCGCTAATCTACAGATTTAATGATTTTTTATTTTTTATTACAGCGTACAAAAGTTTATATTTAAAAATATGTAGGCATTATTTGTACACACGTGCAACAAGTTTTTTCTTATTTGTACACATGTATTTAAACATGTTATTTGTAATTAATTTGACTATTTCAGCTAAAAATTTAGTGTAATTTAATTAAATAACTTTTTTTATAAATTATATAATTTTAAATTTAAATTATATAATTTAATTATGAACCATATTTAAATAATTATTAAAACTTTTTTTTTTTAATTTAAAAGAATGCCTTTCTAAACCTAATCTCTCATTTAATGCATGTACACTCCAGTGCGCCAATCCTTATTTATGTCAGTTTGTGTATGTACATTCCACTGTACCTATCCCTATTTAAGTCAGTCAGTGTATGTACATTCAACTGCGTCATGGCTATATCAGTCGATTTACCTACCCATTAATGCACTTATTTGATGAAACTTAGAAAAATAAAAGTAAACATAACTATAAATGAACAATAATAATACATCCCTCGGAATTAGGAAAAATAAGGTCAGCAAAAAATTTAAAACTGTTTTAGGTTGGCATCAGGTCATTTTGTTTATTTGTTGAACAAATAAACAAAATGCAAAAATTTAACATAAAATTGAGGAACCTGCTAAGTTTTTTGCAGTCACAGCACTTTTCTTTCAGTCACAGCATTTGCTTAAAAATTTGAAAAATGAACATTTTATAATATCATTAGGAATTTAAATGAAACATTAGTTTTGCAGATTTTATTTCTATTACTTTATTTATAGACTAAATGTTTGTTTTAATTAAAATGCTTGTTTTTCTGTTTTTATTTTAATTGTTTTAGTAAGGATTTGGATAAAATGTTTTTCAAGGTTTTTTTTCTTTTTCATTTTTAGATTTTAATAAAAAAGCTTGCTTTATAGTTTTTTATTTTAACAATTTCATTTAGATTTTTTTTAAATTTTGTTTTTAATTATTTATTTAGAATTTAATTAAATTTTAAATAAAATATTAAAAATAAAAACAAATTCATTTATAAAGCATTAAACGAATGTTATATTTAATCAAATAAAATGTTTGTTTTAATGTTGCCTCTAAATTGGAGCAATATAACATCCACAGTACAATCCCAATATATTAATTACATGAAAAAATTGAAGAATTAATAAGAAATGTTTGTTTTAAAAACAAAAAGTATATATATAATGTAGATAAATTTATAATTGTATCAAAGGTATATACAATTCTGAAAGTTTCCTAATTAAATTTAAAAAAGCAAAGATACTAATTTATTTTTAATTTTTTTACAATTATTATAAATTTAAATATAAATTTAAATTTATATTTAATCATTTCTTATCAAGTTTATGGTATCAAATATAAATTTTGAGATTGAGTGAAAAATAATAAAAGTGATTTGGTGACTGTATGTGGAAAAAAAAAATTATACTCTACAACCCTCAGAATTAAGATCAGCATTCGGCAATGCCGACCTTAAAGTGTTTAAGGTCAGCAAAAAGTTGCCGACCTCGTTTCTATGTTTTATGGTAGCTCCTTTGTATCAAATTTTTTTTGCCGACCTTATGCTGATCTCTAACAGTTTGAGTTTTTAACCTCATTTTTCCTAATTCCGAGTGTTGACTCTATATATTTTAAATTCTTATAAATTATTAATTAAATGTGCTTAAATAAATTATAAAGTCTGTAGATTGCATCAAAAAAAGCATGTATATTTTAAATGTTTAAAATTCTGACCAAAATGGCAAACTTTGTCTAAAACAACAAAATTAATTTTTCTTGGTATGCGTTTAATATTTTGTTTTAATCAACAAAATTAAGCCTATAGATTTTTTTTTTAACATTTTCTTTAGTATGAACACAAGTTGTTTTGGCACTTAGGGATTTCTTTAAAGATGGTAGCCATTCTATAAAAGATTAAAGAAAAAATGGATCTGGAAAGCAATTTTTTAAATCAAGTAAACTAGCCATCTTTTGGACATAGTAATCTCCTGCCTCTAAACTGTTACTCAAGTGCTTTGAAAAGTTTCAAAATTATTCATAAAACTATCAAACAAAGTAAAAGAATCTTGAGGATAAAGAAAAAAATTGAAAATCATTGAATATTTAAAAAATGATCTAAGTAAATCAAAACAAATATTAGTTCTGCCAATATTGACAATCAATGGGTGCAAATTGTTACAAAATGTCTAAAAATAGTATAAACCACCTGAACAATTAGTTGTTGCTAATGCAACTATAAATGAGCGATAGAGAGAAGAGAATAAGAAGTTTTTAATTCCAGAATCAACTCAAACAGATCTGTCAATTAGGAGAAATAAAAATTAAAAAATGATAACAGATGTTTTTGATTTTATCAGCAAATACCAGAAAATAAATCAGTTTATATTAGAAGACTTAGATCAAAAGACTTTTAGTTAAACTAAATAAGAACCATTAGAAATCCGCTTAGCGCGGAAAAAAGTTAAGAAACAGCAATGATCATAAGCAGATTTATATCAGTCCAGATTTAATTGAGGCCAAAAGAAAACTCAATTTCAGGCTGAGACAAGAAAAAAAAAGACTTAATGCAAATCTTGTAATATACTTACCATTTTGATATGGCATCCATGGCAACCAATTGCAGAAGTTTTAAAAGAACCAATAAACTACTTAAAGCATTGCTGTTTCCTTAAAGTATATCAAAATTCAAGTGTATTTATTGAAATGCATTGGAAAATAAATTACAATCAAAGATTGTCATTTTTAGCTTAGGATCTCGCCTAATATTTTAACCCCGAATTCCCGGGATTATTTTAAAAATATCCCGGGATTTAGAATTTATAAAACTACAATTAATACCTGCATTTAAACTGTGTCACATAAAACATAAAGTAACAACAAAGCTATAAAATTTAGTACCAATGCAATGCAATATTTTCATTATTGATTTATAAGTTTAAAGTAAGTTTATCAATCTTATATATTGTGACAATCACTGAAGCGTTTATTAGGAAATAGTAAAAAACTAATTTTAATTATTAAAACTAAATTATAATAATAATATATATAATAAAAATAATAATAACAATAATGAGAAAAAAATTAAAAATTTATTTGTACTGATTTATATTGTGCAGCAAAACCCCTATATGGAGACATTTTCTGCGCAACAAAAAAAGTAAAACAGCAATGTGTAAAGTAAGCTATTGCAAAAAAGTATTGAAAATTATGGGGGGATCAATAAAAGCTCTTCATTCTCATCTTCTTCAGTTACATAAAATAAATTTAAAGGCAGAACTGGCGACGCGTTTTCCGACGAAGAACCACAGAGTAAAAAAAGTAAAATTAGTTCTTATTTTTCATCAAATATGAATAAAGTAGACAGCTTGTCTGAGGTGCTTGCAAGATTAGCAGCTAAAAATGGGATTTCTTTTAACGTAATATGCACTTCTATTAATATACGTGCTGGACTGGATATGAGGCGATTTGTCAACAAACCTAAATCTAAACCTAAGTCATGTAAAGAAAGCGCCAAATTGGACTGCCACTTACTTCCTGACTTTAATTTGTCCTTTTCTTCAATTTTCTAATGCTGTACAATTGTGCAGCTTTAAGTTAATGGTGACTGGCTTGCCTACTGCTTTAAGTTGAGACCTGCTAAGCAAGTGTGCAAATTGTGCATTTGTGAATTGAACAAATATTTAAAATTTAAAAATAATTGCCTCTAGATTTCATATTTATATTAAGTGTACAATTAAAAAAACAAAATTGCAGCATGTAATGAATTAACTTGAATAAAAACCATAATAAACAGGAAACAATTATAATTCATCAATCTAGCTAAAAATTATATAGATAGTTATCATTAAATTATACAGATAATACATTATTTATATATACTTTATAAATTTAAATATTGTTCATTTTTATCATTTAGTGTTGTTTTATTATTTTTTTTTCAATATTGTACTAAGTATATTATTGCTTTTCCTGAAAATATAAATAATGTATTATAATTTAAATTAGAAAGTCGAAAAAATCAATGGATGGGTATGTCTTTATCTGGAGATAAAAATAGTTTGTTAACATGTGGTCCATTATGGAGTTTAAACTCAACGGATAGCTCTGAATCAAAGCTTAAAAGTTTAGGAAGGTGTTCTCTTTTGGGTAAAGATTTAGATGTGAAGTATTCTACTTCTCCATGTGAAAAAGGTATTCTTTAAACTCATTTGTATTAGTTAAAAATATTTTTATTTTGCATATATGTTCTTATTTTATTATATTATAGTGTGCACAGTAGTCTGTTAAAGAAGTTTTGTGAATAATGTATATGTAGCTTTTTAAAAATGGGACATAACTTCCTCAGACTTATATTATGGAGTTGTAACATGTGTAAAAAATGCAAATATATATAAAAAAAGTTTCTTGGTTTAAGGGTGGAAAAAATAAACCAAGGACTTTTTTTTTCCCTTTAGGTAGCAAATATTTTTATGGTACCATCTTCCCCCAAATTGCTCTCGCAGACCCTGAGAAGGGTGGGGCAAATTAGATTCTTTTCTGGGCGTCCTAAACCCTTGTTATGCCACTGTGTGTATAGTTTAAAAAACTTTTAGGCGTGTTGTGCTTATGTTTAAAGCTCTTAAAGCAGTAAAATTAAAATGATGTGGGTGTGCAACATGTTCATGAATAATTTTATAATAAATCTTTTGCATGTTTCGTATCCTTTTTTGTTTCCTTTTAAAATAATATTTAATTTCACCTCCAAATTGCATCAGTAGAATAAGTAGCTGATGGATGTCAACATGGAGATCTGTTAGGTGTTCATCAGTATGTTGAACACCAAGAAGATATCCATAGTTCTAGTGTTAAAATGGATCTTAACATCAAACTTTTTAATTATGCAATTTTGTATACCATAAATATCTTGGATATTATTTGATTAATATTTCATTAATGCACATATCAAAACAATGAAGGAGGAAGGTTTCATTATTTTGTTGAACAATATTTAAATATCAAAGTGAACATTTTTGCAAACAGTTTAAAAAGAAAAAGAAACTTTTTTGCATCCAAGGAGTAAGCTTTTTTTTCAGTTGTATCTAGGACCACCAGCTGTTGTACCTTGGACTGCTCTCTAAAAATTAAGTTTAACTTCATAATAACAAATTGCTATACATCACTGTAAAGTATACTAATCTGTATCAGATAATTACACAAACAGTTCTGAACATTAAGTAACACAATTTGGTTGCAACACTTATATAAACCACACAGTTGACTAATAGTTCTGACCAAAATTATAGAATATAATTAAGCGTCTACACATAAAATGGTAACAACGGTGAAAAAAAAAAGAAGCTCTGCACCAATCAAAATTCAATAATCTACAAATTCTTTATCAGAAAAAAAAAAAAGCTTGCAGTTCTACAGGCCTTCAATCTTTTAGTAACATTTTCCAACCTAGATGACATAATTGTAGTTCAATTTGAGTAATTTGCTCAATTATGTTTTTTTTCTTGCTTGCACTTAGTCTCACTAAGAGCAAGAATTTTGCAAGAAGTAAGATTTAACTGATTTATATTTAATATTTTAAGTTACTTTTGGCACGATTCAAGTTTAATGAGAACTTGACTCATTCATAGATAGAGCATGGCCTTCTATGCAATAAGCTATGCAGTTGTCTCTAGAGCTCTAGAGCTGTACCTTCATTAGGAGATAACAGGAAGAGTTGCAAACCCACTATCAAGTAAGCACAAGCAAAAAACTATGAGAGTCAAGAAGATCCAGCATTTATCATCTTAGGCAGGAAATAATATAACACAGGTTTACATATGCGCCAGCTAATAGATGAAGAAGGGGTTTGAGGCTGGTTAGCAGAATTATTCTGCTTACCTTTTAAGTCTGCCTAGGAGGCCTTCTACAAGACAGTAGCTGGATACAGTTAACATCTACCTAAGTTAGGTATTTTTATCAAGACTTCACTCAACCAAGAGCTCCAAGACAGGGGAGTTTAAGCTGGATGAAGTTAAGATCTGCCCCAGATGAGTATTAATATCGAGTCACCATTTCTATTCTTTACTTAATAAGAGCCCCAAGGCAGGAGATTTTTAAGTTGAAGTTTGTTTCGCCTAGCCTTTGCCTAAAAAAGCGCACCCTACAAAGCAGCAGGATATGGGGCAGGTAGTACTGGGTTACATACCAGTAGCAGAGTGATCGTGATGATCCTGTACTTGATCTGACTTGAAGTATTTAAAAGGAGTTAAAGTCTAGTATTTAAGGAATAAGTACTTTTATGTTTGCCACCAGCTTTAATTAAGTTACGCCCTCTAACTATATGATTAAAGAATAAAAGATTCTTGTGTGTTTCTTTTCCATGCGGTTTATTTCTCTTTTCTTTCAGCAGTACTCTGCTTTATTTGAAACAACCTTTTATCAACATAAAAACAATCTTTTAAACAACATAGAACTCTTTCTTCCAGCTTGTTGAGACAATAGAAACTGCTTATTTTTTTCCGTTGTTATCATTTCATGGCATTTTCATTAGCATAATGCTATTGATTCTTCAGTTTCATCTGAAAATAGTACTTTCTTTTGTTTTCAAGTTTCATTTGCTCATTGTTTGTTCTTTCTCAACCTCTGTTACCTGTCAACGATTTTCTCTAATTTTTTTTTATGACAAGATACTTGTTTCAAAAGATATTAGTTGTTAGTAAACTACAATTGCACTGTTGTAAATAGTTTAAAAGCATGATGACAATACTTGTTTAAAAGCAGCCTAAAATTGCATCTGAAGTTGCAGCAATTAACCAAATTTCTGTAACACTTCAGGTCAATCTTTTTCATGTAGAAACCGTTTCCTAATGAAAAAGACCAATTAAACATCATTTAAAATTAGAACTTCTCAACAGTCAGCAGTTAACACTTAAAATTGAATACTTGTTTACATAATCAACATAAGAAAGTGTACATAATAACCAACAAGAAATTTTACATAATAAGAAAGTATACATAATAAACATTACAAAGTTTTAAAAGAAGTTTATTGAGTTTATTAAAACTACAATAAAATACAAATAAAATGTTTTGTGCAAAAATGTTTTATACAAAACTTTGCAATTTTATGTTAAATTTATTACTCAACCTTTTTTGAATTTTTAATGAGTAATATATATATGAAATATTTATATATTAAATATTTTTTATTTTAGAACTTCTTGACAACAGTAAGTTTGGTTACTGTTTAGCTGGGTTCAGTAGCGCTGCTGGAAACATTAGTGGTTATACAACATACTTTATTGGTGTTCCAGGAACCTACTTTAACAAAGGTGATTTTTTTCAAAGAGATTTTATGTTTTTGATCAAAACATTAACTTTATAAGCTCTTTACTGCATCTTGAATGTTTGTTTGACTATATACTTTTTATTTTAAGGAACACTTTTTGGGCTTATATCAACTTCTATAGCAAGCAAACCTACAAAACTTCAATTCACAGAAGTCCAATCAGAAAAGGATAATGGTACAATATACATAGGTGTGGTTTTTATATTATTTATATTTTTTTTTTCCAAGCCATATCATTGTTTTTTTGTTTTTTTAATTCTTATTCACTCTCAACAAGGTTGCAAGCACCCGCGCAAGTTGCTTGCAAGTTGGGAGTTACTAGAAAAGTAGAGTAAAAGGAAATGGTTGACTTGAAAAGTTGTAGGTTGTATATCTAGTCTTCAAAATTTAGTTTATGCAAAACCTTGTACTTCGTTTCATGGGGCGAGTTAACTTAAATTTGTTTGCAAAAAAAAAAATAAAAAACAAAGCAAAGTAATAAACTTAAGACTAGAGAAGTAATAACACTATAGTTACTTATTTAAAAGTAGTAACACTATAGTTACTGTGTTGTCAAAGTAATAACTATTACTTTTCATTATTTTATATTATTTTACAGTAGCTGTCTGGACCCGTAAACTGGGTCACGTTAGGTTTCTTTTACACCTACCATTTATATACTTTATTATATATATTTTTAGTCTACTTACTTCAATTAAAACAGAAAATAATTCATCTTGGCTTTGAGTTAATGATTAACACTTTATAACTTTAAATTGACTTAATATCTAATTAAACACTGGGGTTGGAAGCCTAAAGTTAATATCTTATTTCTGACTCCATCTACCCTCCCCTCTTTTATTGTTCATGAGTTTTAATGTATAACCTCTTAGTTAATTCCTAATATTAATTGAAGTAGAAATGCATCTAGAAAAAAAAATGGGTATTCAAATAATATTAAAAACTTCTTACAAATACATACTTTATAAACAATTTAGCTATTCTAAACTGTTGCTAATGGTTCAATGCTAAATGTATTTTAATTTTAAAATCAACCAATAAAAACTTTTTGACCCGAATGTTTGGACCACAATCTGTAGAAGAGTTTAACTGAGATATGACTTTAGCAATGGAAGCTGGAGTGGTTTAAATGTCTAAAATGGGTTAATCTGTTTAACTGAAATAGCAAAGAGTAGAATGGCTATAAGATTTAAGAGTCAAATTAAAAGAAAAGTTCTTTGCAATTAGTTCTGCCTTATCCTTTGGAGAGGTAGTAAAATCAGTCCCATGAATTAGAGAGGGAGTGTTTTACTTACCTTAATAACAGTGTTGAAGATTTTCAAGTCTCTAGAGCCTAACTTCTGAGAAAAGATACAAGATTTAGTAAACTGAGAATAATGGGATTTAGCATTCGACAGAATCTTTTTGCATCGATTTCTTGCAATAATAAATAAGCATTGGTTCTTAAGGCAGTAAATATTTTGAAGAAGATAAAAAAATTAGTTGTGATTAGATATAGCAGCTGCACAAGAAGGTGAAAACCATAGAGCAGAATAAGGCTTGACTTGGAGCTGATTAGGAATAAAAGCATCCATACCTGCCTGGATCCAGGAGGTTACATAGGTACATTTATCAGAGGGCACAGGAAAGACATTAACACATAAAAGAATGGTCTGAATATTCAATCCTGATTTTTCAACAAATAGACGAGTTGATAGATAAATTATGCCTAAGCCATGGGACTATTGGAGTCTTTGCAAATCAAAGGATAGCATCCATCAAATTGAGATCTTAAGAAGGAACAGCCAAATTTAAATTATTCTCACAAAAAGCAAGCAATTCTGGTGAAAAAAGATGAAAATTTTGCAAGATTCAATTGATGGAAAGTTATTTTAAAGACCACAAATATTTGTGAAAGGTATATTGAAGCAAAGCTATATTGAAGCAAAGCTATATTGAAACAAAGTTATATTGAAACAAAGGTAGATTGAAACAAAGGTATATTAAAACAAAGGTATATTGAAACAGTTAGGTAGTAGTGATGGCTTTTTATGTTTATTATTTTTGGTTGCTTTAGGCATGGTTTAAGTTTAAATAGAACTTGACTCATTCATAAATAGAGCACGATATTCCAAGCAATGAGCTATGCAGTTGTTTCAGTCCGGTTTTCTCAAAGTTGTAACTTAGTGCTCCTTTTATGGCCTCAACAATGAACACCAAAAGGGACACTATCCATGGGAGACTTGGCTATCTTAATACTCTAATATTTTACAGCTGTTGATAGAATTAGTCTCACAGAGAGCAATCACTCGCTTCATAAGCAAGAGGTTCCAAGTTCGATTCCCACCACGTCCCTGGTAGTACCGCGCTCAACTTGTTTCTCCGCGCAGCGGCCTTGTTCGTCAAGTTTCGTGTTTCGGAGTTATAGAGTTAAGAGAGGGTTATAACCACTATTAAGTAGCCTCCTCGTCTGTAGTGGCCTTCTCGGCCTTGAGGAGGTGAATAACAAAAAAACAACAAAAAAAAATCTCACAGTTTAAAAAATCTTACTACCAGCCAGCCTCAGAACTATTAACATTAAAGTTTTAAGGCTGTACTCTTCATTAGGAGATAGCAGGAAGATTTGCATAGCCACTATCAAGGAGCACAAGCAAAAATCTATGAGTAGAATCAAGAAGACCCAGCATTCATCATCCTAGGCATGTGATTAATGTGAGCAAAAAGTTCAGAGTTTCAAACGTCTTGTACGGTGTACGCACTTAATATCACAACTTGGCGGTTGTACCGCACTCAACTTATTTCTCCAGATAGCGATTTTGTTTGTCAAGGTTTGTGTTTCAAAGTTGAGAAAGGTTTATAATCACAATTTAAAAAGAAAAAAAAAAGTAGTTTTCTTGACTTTAGTAACCTCATCGGCCTCGGGGAGGCAAATTCATTAATATATATGTATATATATATATATATATATATATATATATATATATATATATATATATATATATATATATATATATATATATATATATATATATATATATATATATATCGTTCTTTATTACAATATTTATGATATGTTACAAATAATATAAAAAAATAAAAGATAACAAGATATCATTAAGAAATAAAGTATAAAAAATAAAAATAAAGAACGTGGATACTCAAAGAAGACCATAAGGTCTTGTCACAGAGAAACGGCTATTGAAGAAATTAGAACGCTTTTTTTTTTTTTTAATGGTTTTTCCTTTTGTTGTGGTGTTTACGCCTTGCAACAATCAAATTACTGTGTCTTCTGAAAAGCTGACTCATGGGAATAATAATGTTCATAATTTTCTAAATAAATCTCTTGCGCGCACTGAATTTAGTTTGTCTAAAATAATCACTGAATATTATTAATTGCTACATATTCAAATATATTACTGTATATAATCATTGTAATCACATTTCCAGACCTAATAAAGTACATTTCCAGATCATTCAAAAGGTTGTGCAAAAGGACCTAGATATGATGGTTATCTCTGTGTGTTTAGCCAAATTACCAAATTTCCGTTTAGGCTTCTGACAGCAAAAACGCCAAGCCACTGCCAAATATATAAATTACCATTTACTCTTCTAATGACAAAAACGCCTGGCCACTGCAAAAGGATGGTTCACCTCTAAAGGTAGCCTACATATATATATAGGCAGATACGCATACATCCATTATTATTATTATTTTCATTTCATTATATTTCTTTTCTTGTTATTTATATAATTTTGTTCAATTTCTTTTTATTAGAAAATTAATAAAAAGTAATTTAATATTATAAATTAAAAATAAACATACAATACTACAATAGAAGAGTTCCAAAACTTAAAAACTAAAACATGTCAAATAATTCACTAGATTAAAGATGTTAAATAATTGTTTGTTGATAAAATAATTAATAAAGAAATAAAAAAGAATATACATTATATAAAATACATATACTAATATAGATAAGAGATTTTCAAAAATTTAAATGTAGGTTAGTATATTTTCAGTTAAAAAAACAGGTTTTTTTAAGATTTTGTTTAAAAGAATCAAAATTACATTCTTGAGAAATATCTTTAGAAGTATTTGAAACTATGCTATTCCATAAAAATGGTCCGCGAAATGTAATAAAATTTTTTTTTTATTACATTTCCCTTTTCCATGTAAGATTTTTATCGATATATACACCTAAAAATCTTGTCACTAAAACTCTTAATAATTATCAATAAAAAGAAAAGGTAAGTTTCCAGGTAGCTGGTGCTTTTTACCATAAGAATGAAAAAGAATCCATTTAGTTTTACCAATGTTTAATGATAGTTTGTTTAATCTGAACCATTCGGAAATTTGACTAATTCAATGTTCATGTTGCTAAAAAGTGTAGAAATGAGAAAGAAATAAGTTAGAATCATCAGCATACATAATTGTCATTAGGTTTGGAGCTTTTGGTAGATCATCAATATATATTAGAAATAGGAGAGGTCCTAATATGGATCATTGAGGAACTCCACATGAAATACTTAACAAATTAGATGATATGTTATCATCCGCATAAACAAATTGTTTTCGATTATTAAGGTAACTTTTTAACCATATTAATATATTTCCAGTAATTCCGTACCACTCCAACTTTTTAAAAAGAATTTTGTGATCAATAGTATCAAAAGCTTTCGCCAAGTCAATGAAAACACCTAAAGTAAATTGAGATTTTTCAAATGAGTCAGATATATTTCTTGTAAATTGTAGAATGACATGTTCAGTAGAATTGTTTTTTGGAATCCATTTTAATTGCTGTATAATAAATTGTTTATAATAAGATGATTATAAATTTTATTGTACAGAATTCTTTCTAAAATTTTAGAGAATACATAAATTAGTGAAATGGGATGATAATTACTTTTTTCAAATGAGTCAGATATATTGATATGAATTTATAATAATGTTGGCATTAATACCATCAGGACCAACTGCTTTGTTAGATTTTAACATTTTAAAGGCAATTTCAAACTGTTCAAAAGATGTTTTAAAAGTGTTGAAGTAAGAGTTTAGAGGGAAACATAGATCATTCATTAAACTGTTAGCTATTGGAATTCTTTTTGCAAGATTTGGTCCTACAGACACAAAATATCTATTAAATTCTTCTGTAATTTGTCTTTTATCATATAAAAATTTATTATTATGTTTTTATGGATTGAATTATCTAAAATTATAATTAAAAAATTATTGTTCTAATAATTATTTAATTATTGCATTTGTTTTAAAAATCAACACATTTTATATTTTAATACTTATATACTACATTCTAATATATATATATATATATATATATATATATATATATATATATATATATATATATATATATATATATATATATATATATATATATATATATATATATATATATATATATATATATATATATATATATATATATATATATATATATATATATATATATATATATATATATATATATATATATATATATATATACTGTACTATACTATACTATACTATACTCAATTCATATGTATAAACGCAATTTCCTAATATCGTTTTTGCGCTCTTAATGTAAAAATAAGCGCTTTATTTTTTCAGAAAAAGAAAAAAAAAACAAAGAATAATGAAAGAAAAGGTTGCTGTTTTATTATAACATCATTCATGCGTGTCTAATGCTGCATTTATATATGTGTATATATATATATATATATATATATATATATATATATATATATATATATATATATACACATATGTTTTGGACAAAAACCAATCCATAAAAACTTTTTGTTTTACCTTTTACCTTTTAAGCAGTGCTCGAAAAGGGATAAAGATATTGCTATATATTTTATACTTTAAAAGTATAAAATATATATCTTTATACTTTAAATAAAGTTTATACTTTAAAAGTATAAAATATATAGGTGGTGGGCTGGCACCTGTTCATGTCTTACTGCTTTTGTGTATTTAGTAATGACTATTGTTTGATGAAAAACAGCAGAAAACAATTTAAAAAATGCAGTAAAAAACAAAATATAGTAAATACTTTGCAGTAAATTTGTATTCTCTAATGTAAACAGGATATAAAAATGTGTTTGAAAATAATGATTGCGTAAGAATTAAATTGCGTAAAACTTGTTGTAAAATATTGTTTTTAATATAAAGTTGTGGTATTTATGTAAAACATAAATTATATTAAAAATATCATGCTTATAAAAAAAATGTGTATAGCAACATGCTTGTGGTGCTTTTGTTTATTTACATGAAGAACAAAACAGATGCAATGGCAGTTTTGTGATTTAGTTTTATTCTATTAATTCAGACAAAAAAAGAATGTCGATACAACTTAGAGATGAGCTACATAAAAACTTTCCTAACAAAAAATGATTTTTAGAGTAAAAAAACCAATATTTTATGCAGCCATTAGTAAAATCAATTTTTTGAAAAATGTATGCAGTACTGTGGCCTAGCCTCAGTACTGTGGCCTAACCTCAGTACTGTGGCCTAACCTCAGTGCTGTGGCCTAACCTCAGTACTGTGGCCTAATATATATGATCTTTAGTTTGAAAAATCTTTTTAAAACTTTTTATGAGTAATATTTTAAATAGTTAAAAGTTAATATATTTTATTATTACATCAATTATGTTTGTTACTTTTTTTTTAATAAATGATTTTAGGTTATTCAGTTGCTTGGGGAAAAATTACATTCAACTCTACGCAGGGAGGTAAATCTTATATATGTTATATATATATATATATATATCTTTGTATTTTCTGTATATCTTATATTTAGATATATTTTTATTTTTATTAGTATTTTATAAGTTATAAATTTACTAATACTATTTATTATTCTTTATTTTTATTTGTGTGATACTTGAAAATTTTGTATTTTTTGATGTTTTAGTTTTTTAATATTTTGCTTAGATGTTGTTGCTGGAGCACCAAGAGCTAATGAACTCACTGGGAAGGTAGACAAATATATTTATATATATATAGCATTCCCTAATGTACAATGATAAGTATGTATACATTGTTATCTTACTTTGGTTAGAATTGTCTTAATATATTTTATATCTTTAATTTTTAAAAATGCTGACAGTTTTTTCAAAATAAAAATAATGAAAAAATCGATTTTTTTAAATACTGAATTAAATATTTAATAAATGTCCTTTCTACATAGATTTAACCTGCCTAAATCTAAAAGTTTTATTTAAATGGCATTTTGGAAACCTTAAACACACGTTGAAACATGAATGTAAACATAAATATATAAAAATGTGTGTGTATATATATATATATATATATATATATATATATATATATATATATATATATATATATATATATATATATATATTACCGATATGTATAAATATATATTTATATATATATTACCGATATGTATAAATATATATTTATATATATAACTGATATATATATAAATATAGATTTAAAAGAATCATTGCTTATAATTGCTTAGCATGATATTTTGAATTGTAAAATTTAAATTCAAAAAACCAATGTAAAATTGGTGTAAAATTACAGTCATCTAGCAGACAATTACACAGTGTTATAATTAGACAGTGTCTAATTATAACGCTGTTTTTTTAGTTTGTCTTTTTAGACAAACTAAAAAAACAGTGTTAGTAATTTAAACATTACACCACATTTACCACCACCACAAAACATTATACCACATTTACCACCACAAAACATTACACTACTGTGCTTGATCACTATTTTTTTCAAGTATTTTTTTATTGATCTTGATTTGAAGAATAAATCTCTTGTTTAAATCTTCAAAGAAACTGCGTTTGATTTTGAAATTGAAGATATTTTGGGCTAATTTATTTAAAATGAATATTTATAAATAATTTATAACTATATATATTTCTTTTGTATGATAAAAATAATACTATATGATTTCTTCATATTTTATTTTCATTTTTATACTTGCGCTATATTTAATACATTTAAATATATTTCACAACAATAAACCTGATATATAAAATAATACTGCATTTAATACCCTTCTATTAGCTCTATTCTAAAAAAATGTAAAAAAGATATGTTTTTTTTAAATTCATAACTGTTTTTTTTTTTTATACACGTCTATGTTATATATGAATATATTTAAGAAGTATATATACCAGAATCTTAAAAAATCTATTTATACTAAGTCTCTTAGAAATTAAAAATTAGATTATCTCAAAATTTAACTTACATATCACATCAACATAACATAAATTTCGAAAAGAATATAAAATCAATTATGAAGTCATAAAAGATAATGATAGTAAATTAAATACTAACGATAGTAATAATTAAAATTTTAGTCTAAACAGTTGAAAAACAATTGTAAAAGAATAGAACTCTTTGGTTCAAGGTTTGTTTAAAAAATGATTTCAATATAATTGTCACTATATTTTTATAGCTTAGAGATATCACGGTTAAATTTTTAAAATTTAATTTAATTTACAAAGCACAATAAAAATGAATTAACTAAAGAAGCGCAATAAAAAATGTTATATTTTATTCCATTATTTTAATAAGACAATATATTAATACTTAAATAGATCTTTCAAATTGCTACGTTCATTGCAAAAATTTTTTATGCAAACCTCAAGATGCTTGAATAAAGAAACGTGATGGTTGCAAAGGTCTGAATAAAAATCGAGAAACAAAACCAAAGCAAAAACATAATACAAAAACTTCACTAAGTAGAGCACACACTAATAACTCTGAGCAAAAGATAAAAACTGCAGACTTCAAAAAACTATCATCTATCAATTTTACAAGTATCCAACTATTCAAGTTTAATTACCAAAGTCTTTTTAAATGATTTGTCACTCTACTACTTGTTAATAATTGTAGATTGTAGAAATTTTTATATACGATTACATATTCATTCACAAAGAAGAAGAGAAATGAATAAACATAATAAAATAATAAAGAAGAAGAGAAATATATTAACATAATAAAATAATTAAGATCATTCATTTTTATAAAACAACTATTTGATGTATAAAAGTTTTTTTATATATTGTTGTTTTATTAGAATGATTGATTATATTTTAACTTTTGAATATTGTTTTTTATTTATTATTTAATTAATAAATAAAAAACAATATTCTAAAGTTAATTAATACTAAATTATTAAATAAAATTATATATAAAAAATTATTTAAAAAAAACGTTAGGTTTTTTTTTTTTTTTTGCAAGTTGTTTTTCTGTCTTTTTATCGCTAAAAAAACATTTATTACAATTAAAATTTTTAGTATAACTGGCATGCAGAATCAACAAAATAAACTTTCAAAATGAAAAAAAATTTCATCAAGACGTAATAATTTTAATTTTTAAAAAAAGCCCGTGCAAGACTATCTAGGCGTGCGGCTCGCTCAGCCCACGAAGATGGATTTAGACGGGCTATATATATATATATATATATATATATATATATATATATATATATATATATATATATATATATATATATATATATATATATATATATATATATATTTATATATTAGGGTGTTTCAAAAAAATGACTTTTTAAAATTTCAACTAACATTGCTTTTCATATGGTGTGCCACCATTGATATCATCACATTTGGACCACTCTATCAATTCGCGCAATGGGTCCCAAGTTCATTTTTAGGTCGTTTTTGACCCTTTTTTTAGTCAAGTTGCGGGGGCCCTTCCCATGGATCAATTTTGAAAAATTAAATTTTTTTAGACAAATTTATGCATAAGAATTAAATTAAAATCGAATGTTAAGATTTATTTGTTTGAATAATGGGTCAATTAAACAACTACATTTTTCGAAAATGTTGATTTTTTGCCTTTTTTTGATAAGGTCTTTTTCAGCGCCTTCGGTGTTTACAGTCATACTTGTTTCTCAATATTTGACATTTAGCAGCATTTGTTATCTTTCAATAATGCCAGAACATAAAAAAATAAAGTACCAGAACATAAAAAATAAAGCACAAATATTTAGAGAGAAACATTTTCGAAATCAGTTTTCTTCTTTCTCTTTCTTCCACTCTTAAACTTATTAGCTACAAGGAAAGTGTTCTGTCTCTTCTTCTCCTTGTGGGATTTGTTGATCAGCTCCTAGTTAAAAATAAGTTATGCCTGTTGAAATTACCTTTATAATTTCTACAATAGGTTTAAATTTGATAATTTTTTAAATTGTACCTGAACGAGTTTCACAGCTCTCTCACTGCAATCATTAACTACTTCCAAATTTTTGACAAAATGTTCAAAGTCCAGATAATAATCATTCAGGTTCCATGTCTCAACAGGAGTCTTTAACCACTGTAACTCTGCCTTCCCATGGTTCAAGAGAGGAAATATGAACCAACTCTGTTCATTTATCAGTGAAACCAAGCTAGGAGGATTATCCTGACAAAAATCCAGATTGTTTAGCAATTCAAAATCCACCTGCTGCCTTTGTACAACATAATTCTCAGGCCTTGGCATGAAATACAGCTTCTTAGCAATCTCGCCACGGTCATGGACCTCCTCATCAGCTAAGGCCATTACAACAGTGGTAGGATCAATGTACCAGGTGTGTCTCTTCAGTAAGTCAATAACAGGTTTTGCCTGCTCAGGTTTGACATCAGTGTACCTTATCATCTGCCACAGAGCTTTCATATCTTAAAAAATAATCTTTAGATAGCAAAATACTAAAAAGAATAATTTTTATTTAAACTTTGTTACGTTTTGAATAATAAGGAAATAAAAATTACAGTAAAAAAACCTGAGAGGGAACAATTGCTGGAATTTCCGCCCTGAGAAACCATTCAGTGTAAAACACTGCAGTGAAGAAGGCCATATCTTTGATTTCTTTCTTCTCATGGGCCTTGAGATTGGGAATGTTATCCAATAGAAGGAACATCTTCATAAAGTTCATTCCTTTCATCAAAAACCGGGCATGACTTACAGGTCCAGGTTTTCGGAGTCTGTACTGCACATCTCCAGATAGCACCATTACTGTGAGTTCGGCTAACTCAAGATAATCACACCTGCATTCATTCTAAATATAAATACTTATTTTTATAATAAGCAAATAATCAAATTGAATTTTCACATTTAAAGAAGCCATAAAAAATTAAGATTCATTCTTTACATTTTCAGTTTGATATCTGATACTAATAATTTGTTTATTTTGCAAAGCGCCAGGAGCTATTCACATTAAATAAGTTATTATTATTCTAAGCTGTGATTTACCAGTTAATGGATTTTTATTTACTTGACAGCTGTTTAAACTACTTTAAATGACATTAAAAATAATTTATAATTTAAAGTACTGACCTTCTTCATCTTTTCCATCTTTATAATGTTTTCAGAGAACTCCAAAGCTTTCTTGAATTGATCCTGCAACCAGTTGTCAGTAATATCCTCAATCTTCATTCTGTTTAGTACAGTAGAATCATGATCCAAAGAGTTCCAAATAAGCTTAAGCCTTTTAAAAAAAGGATTGTCTGGTCCATTTGTGTTACTGCTGGGATAGATGTTTCAACAGTGAACAATGTGTCTTTCATACACATGATGTCTGCATGCTAATAGAAGTAGAGGCCTTTCAACCTCTGTAGCTAGTTTAATGCATACTCCTTTCTGTTTACCAGTGTTAAAATTAGTTGTATCAAAAACACATCCGTGAAACTTGTCAGTAATCTCAAATAGGTTAAGAAGTTCCAAGATCGCTGTTTTCTGCTCCTCTCCTGTACTTGAAGTTAAATGTGGAATACCAAGTAGCTCTGTCTGTCCATTTATCCTAATTAATACTGCAAGTCTGTGATGTTACAATTTTTTCCCATCTGTGAATTCTTTAACAATCTTGCTATCAAAGTGTAAAATTATTGGGGATACTGATGACTGCGCAAGAGTAAAAATTTGTTTTCTAATCTTCTCTCCTTCTTTGGTCAAAACTTTTTCTACAGCTCTAAATGATGTTGTACTCGACACAACAAAGTTTGACACAGAACCTCCAGAGTTTGCAATGATACTGGACACAAATTATTTGCTCCATAAGTCCTCTTCTTATCTTTTCTGATCTTATCAATCAGTTCTTCAGGATTTCTAGTGAATTTCCATTTTAAGAAAATACCCACCTTAAACAATTAGTTTTAAATAAATACTTTATATACAATGTAAAGAACGTAATAAAATGACATAAATGTTTCTACTGTGTAAATATAAATCGTAAATTGAACTAAAGGTTAAAAAATACAGTACTTTTTTTAAACATAAAAAAGTTTGAAAGGTTTGCCTTATATTGTCCATTGTTGTTAGAGGAAATCCAGCTAGATTCCATAGGCCAATCAATTTAGACATTACACAGCAGTGGGTGTTCTCTACAGGACATTGGAGCTCAAAAGAATTCATCTTGAATTGGCACCTGATTAAATCTATTTGCTTGGCGCTTGGATTTAGCTTTCTAAGATGTAGGTAATACTGCAAAACATCTTTGCCAGTTAGAAGCTTATTGCTTGGGAGAGTCTCGCTAGTTTTCTTCACAAGAAATATTTCTGATGTGTTTCTAGTACGTTTTATTGTTTTCTTTGGAGGCATTTTTTTTTTTTTACCATCTGAATATATATATATATATATATATATATATATATATGTATGTATGTATGTATGTATATATATTTATACATATATTTAAACATAAAATAAATACAGATATTTACTGAAAATACTGTTATAATAGCATTGCTAAACATCAAGTATTAAAGAAAGACAATCTTATATGGTCACATTAAAAAGGGACAACCTTAAAAAACCTTATTAAAAAAAGGGACTATTCTGTAGCTGCTTTAAACGTTTAAGTCCGACTGTAAACACCGAAGGCACTGAAAAAGACCTTATAAAAGAGCAAAAAAAGGCAAAAAATCAACATTTTCGAAAAATGTAGTTGTTTAATTGACCCATTATTCAAATAATTAAACCTTAACATTGGATTTTAATTTAATTCTTATGCATAAAATTGCCAAAAAAAATTTAATTTTTCAAAATTGGTCCATGGGAAGGGTCCCTTGACTGATAAAAGGGTCAAAAACGTCCTAAAAATGAACTTTGGACTCATTGCGCGGACTGATAGAGTGGTCCAAATGTAATTTTTTTTTTTAGTAATATCAATGGTGGGGCACCATATGAAAAGCAATGTTAGTTGAAATTTTAAAAAGTCATTTTTTTGAAACACCCTAATATATATATATATATAAATATATATATATATATATATATATATATATATATATATATATATATATATATATATATATATATATATATATATATATATATATATATATATATATATATATATATATATATATATATATATATATATATATAGGCTTCGGCAGGAGAAAATGTATATATATATATATATATATATATATATATATATATATATATTATTTTAAAAAATTAATTTTTTTAATTCTGTTATAGTTAAGTTTTTTTTTTAATAAGAAATGGTTACAAGGAAGGAATTAAGCATTGCTGAAGGAGAAAAAATTCTTATTACTACAAAGAGGTTATTCATATTTAGTCCAAATAAAAAAAAATTAGAATTTCTCTGTGTGCAGTCATTACAAAAAAAGTAAAAATTGAAAAAGTCTAAATAAGAATAAATTACAAGAGAAATAAAAAAAAAGTTTTCTTTATTAAATAGAAGATAAGCTGCTTAAAAATTTTTACCTTCAAAGATCAACTGGAAAAAATAGGTTTTAATTGGGGTGTAGTTGCTTGTAAACCATTATTAGGGCCATTTATAAAACCAAAAGGCTCAATTAGGCTAAAAACCATTAACATTGGTCAATTTAACAATGGGAAAGCACTCTTTGAATAGATGATTGCAAGTTTGAATTTTTTGGTTCAATTTTTAAAAATTCCTTTAAACCAATTCATTCTATATATCATTAAAAGTATGTTTTAATTTTAGAATATAATAAGATTTATTCATTTATTATTTATTTTGTTAGGTATTTATCTATGTTGTCAGGTTTACTATTGGAGATTATATGTATAGTTTTTCAAGTCCCAATAATCAGGTATAAGTGTTTTAAGTCATATTTTTAAATTAGTTTTAATATTTGCTTTTCTTTTAAATAATTTATTTTATTGTAATATTGTTTTATTTGAAAGGTTGGCGAGTATTTTGGTGCAAGTGTGTGTGTTGTTGACATAAATAACGATGGGTGAGTTGTTTTTTCTATTTAGTGTAAATGTGCCATTAACATAATTTTTTTTTTTTTTTTTTTTGTTATTTCACCTCTCCAAGGCCGAGAAGGCCACTACAGACGAGGAGGCTACTTAATTGTGGTTATAACCCTCTCTCAACTCTATAACTCCGAAACTCGAACCTTGATGATTGAGGCCGCTGCGCGGAGAAACAAGTTGAGTGCGGTACTACCAGGGACGTGGTGGGGATTGATAATAATAATGTGGCATAACATAAATAATGGTGGACTCCTTTTTTTTTCTAGTTAGTTTTAGTCTGTCAGCGCAGCTTCATAATTTTATAATGATGGATGAGCCCATCATTATTAGACATTTCAATTTGATGCATTTGTGGTTTTGACATAATTATTAATAATGGATTAGTTATTTTTACTATTTATTTGAAGTCTGTGTTGATACAAATAGTGATCTTTGTGTTTTGTGATTCAATTGTATTAGTATTTTAATTTTTTAAGAAATTATTATATCACAATGACAATCAAAATCAAAAGTCCATGTAATAAAAGTAATAAAAATGCGTTTATATAAATTATTTATTTAATTATTTATATTTTATTAGATTGTATATTATTTTTAAATAGTCTGTATTATTATTAAATTATTCTTTTTGGGGAAAAAATAAACAAAACCAGATTTTTTTTCTTTTTTTAAGAGCCATTTTTTGAGGACAGAGGGGGAATGCAGATCAGTTTCCACTGGGCAGAGTGATACAGTTTTTATCTTTCAAATTTAGCATTTAGCAAAGCAAAAAACATTGCATGTAATGTTAGGAAAAAAACTTAAATGTTTCTGGCCATAATTCTTAACAAGGATAATATAGAAATTGTTACTATTGAAATAATTATTAATAAAATATTATAGACAATCAGAAAAATAATTAGTTAGTGTCTTTAGCAAATAACTTGTGGTGATTGCATGCTACAAAGAAACTCTGATATCACTAAAATGGAAAAATCAGTTAGTGGGCGATTGTCATAAAACAATTAATTTTACCACCAAAATTTTTCTAATTTTATTTTAAGGATCATTAAAATTTGCATAAAGTAAATTTATTATTGTTATTTTTATATGAAAACTGTTGTTGCTATTTCAAAGAAAATTGTGGATCATTCGAAAAACATAAAGTTATAATCAATTACACTCATATTGCTTCTAAGAGATTTTGGATAAATCTCTTAGAAGCAGTATGAGTGTAATTGAAGTTCTTAATGCAAGTACAATAAAATATAAAATAAAAAGATAACTTAAAATACAAGTATGTATGTTTAGAAAACTTATATCCAAAAGCTGTAGGAGAAGTAAATACTTATAGGCTTTCTTAACAGTTAAAATGTTGATGAAATAAACAGCCCTCTCCTTAAAAAAATTAATCATGCTTAGACAATATACAAACAAAGAAAGTTAGTTATCTTCTCAATATTAAACCATACTATTAGAAAACCAACAAATTTATAGTCAATATATTTAAGTGTACCTAAAAGAAATGTTGATAAGATGATAAATTTACCAGTATTATTTTGCATGATGTGGCTATCCAAATTGAAATAGGACAGTGGTGAAGAGCAAAAGATAGTGCATGCAGTATTGACGATAAAGTTTAGTCAAACTATCATGTTCTATTGAAAAGGTTGCAAAAAACTGAATATTTACTATTATCCATATTTCTAAAATCTTGCGATAAATTGTCAATTCAAACAAGCTTGTTAAGAATACTCATAGAAAATTGTTAAACTAACAAGCTTAATATCATAAATAATATTATCTCTAATAATAGCATTTTAACAGATTCAGGAGAGGGAAAGCTCTAAATATATAATATTGCTTTTGATATGTGAAGGAAAAACAGGAAGTAAAAATAAGCAGATGATGTCACTGCTTCAGTATTCAAACAATCTTAGCTAGATGGTATCACTGCTTCAGGAATGAATGGTTTTCAAACGGTACAAAAACTATCATTCATCTGTTTCGTGGTGTGGTAAATCAAATGTACATAGCCTTGACATAACCTTTTATTAACCATAAAGTTTGGCCTGGCTCTCCACATCCAACAAGAGCCATATCATGGTGGGCAGTTTGCAGGGAATGCCTGCCACAAGCTACTCAACAATATAGACATCATCTAAAGGATTTCAGAGTCAGAGTCTGGTTTTTAAGTTTTTGGAATTTTTGATGCCCTTTGAAAGTTAAGTCTGTGGTGACAGCATGTTTTGGAATAATCCTTGAAGATAATTTTGAAGAAAAAATTGATCGCTTCAAAGACTCATATCTGGCAGTTATGAACATCAGTATAACCCAAAAGGTTCTCGCTGTTTTCTTCCATGTGAAGTTGATTCATTGAGATGAAAAAGGCTCCATTGGGGATCTTTAGTGAGCAGACAACAGAATCAATGCATCATCATTTTAGCTCACACTGGCAAAGGTACAAGCGAAATAGGTACGATCCAGAATATGCAAAGAGGCTTCTTTCTTGTGTTGTGGATTACAACAGCAAGCAATTGTAAAGAATCTAGTCTTTAGAAGAGTTTAAACTGAGAAATTTACTTGTTTCTTTTTTTATTTATGAGAATCCAGAGTAGGTACAGTGTTTTAAAGCAGAGTATCAAAAAAAGTTTTCACAAAAAATTTGTTTTGCAGTTTCATATTTTTTGAAAGAATGGTTGTTTCAAATTTCTGTAAAATATCCATCTTTGTATTTGTTATGTATATTTGTATGTTTGGAATAATAAATATTAGTTTTGGAATGTTTTTGAATGCTGTAAAAATGTAAAATTTGAAAAGCTGTTATTTTGCCATATTGTGCAAAATGGTTAAAACTTAAAATCAAATTTATTTTTATGGATGAAATAGTTGGATTTCAAATTTTACATTTTTGAAGTCAGGAAACATTGTACTTTCACCCAGTCAAAGCGGTTCTCTCAGGTCAACTCAAAGTAGTTGTTGGCCATTTTGTACAACAGTGAGATTTCTAACCAAAATTTGCTACAATCTTGATAAATTGATGCTAAAAACATGTGCAGCTTTAAAAAAAAAAGCATTCTGGGAATGTTTTAAATATTACTTTAGATGTTTGCTTTTTGTTTAAAAATATTTTGTTTATAAATAGTTTATAAATTATTTATATTTTGCTTTTTTTGATTTATAAATAATTTTATATTATGTCAGACAATGTTTTTATATATAAATGTACAAGTCACCCAAGATGCAAAACTTGTTGACAATAATTTTCTTGCATTTAAAATAAATAAAAATTAGTTCAACTTTTTAAGTTTTTATTTCATACTTTTAATTAAATAAAATATATATATATGGGCAATTCCACAAGAAGGAAGGGGAAAAAAAAAAAGTTAGGAAAACATATGCTAACCTCAATAAATTCTTTTTTTAACTATTTAAGAATACTTTTAAGCCAAAAAATAATTAAAAAAATCATTTTATCATACCATAGGATTGTTTTAAAGTTGTAAGGGTTATATAAACAATTTTTGACCTTTTTATATGGTCTTGTTGTGAAGCGTTAAAACAGGTTAATGTGCTGCGTTTTTATGTAGCTATTACTTTTATGTTTAAGGAAAAGACAATATTAAACATTATGTAGAATATTATTTATAAAAACGCTCTCCAACTTTGTATAAAAAAAGAATATGTTTATCAAATTAATGCGTTACGACCATCACGAAAAAAAGTCAAGAAGTTTTTTCTAAGTTTGGTATCAGACTTTATAAAGCTAAAAATATAGTAAAAGTAAAGATAATATAAGTTTTATCATTGTTTTAATTTTTTTTCAAAAAAGAGCTTCAGATGATAGTATCAAGGTGTAACAAATTACATTATGACCATCACGCTATGTTCGTTTTTTCAAAACAGCTTCTTGACATCTATATAAAAAGTTTCAGTGCGAACGATTTTATTATTGAAACCAAGTTAAAAAATCATTTGCAGTTTGTTTACTCATAATATTGCTAAGCTTGTAAAAGTAATTTAGAACAATTTAAAATTAGAAATCATTTCTTTTTCAAAATATAAATCACTTATTTAAAATAATTGATGTAAATAAATTAATATTTGTTGAGAAATAAAAACTTTTAACATAAAGAAAATTTTTTTTTGTTAAATTTTTTTTTATAGTTTGCATTGCAACGTTTTTGTTTATTCGATTTCACATTTTTTAAAATTATAAGTATCGCGTTTTTTTTTTTTAAAATCATAACAGAACGTTAATCTCAAAAGTTTAATAACATTTTTTAAATGCCTAAATCAGATTTTTTTTTTTTTTTTTTTTATTTTAATTCACCTCCTCAAGGCCGAGAAGGCCACTACAGACGAGGAGGCTACTTATTTGTGGTTATAACCCTCTCTCAACTCTATAACTCCGAAACGCAAACCTTGACGAGCAAGGCCGCTGCGCGGAGAAACGAGTTGAGCGCGGTACTACCAGGGACGTGGTGGGGATCGAACTCGGAACCACTTGTTTATGAAGCGAGCGCTCTACCACTACACCACTACTGCAGATGCTGAAAGATCAAAAGCTTATAGAGCAAGAAACAAAAAAGCGTTGTTGCAAAAAAAGAAAGGGAAGTTATTAAAGAAGACAGTTATAAAAGAACACAAAAGAAATATAAACAAGCTAAAAAATTAAGTGAAAGTTGGCAACAAAAACAATTTTGAAATCGATATTAAATTTTTTGAAAGAATTATTTTATAAACTTATGTTGGGAATAGGGAGCATTAACCATTTAAACTTTAGTAAAAGTATTAAAGTATAAATAAATAGCAGCCTGCCTTTAGTTACCAGTTTTAAATTTAATGAACCCAGTATCAAAAAACAATAATTAAGAACTTTGATAATGTTATTAAGTTTAAACTTTTACATAGTTGACATGGTTTTAATGATTATTCATCTTTTTTTTTTGATTGTGTTGTTTTATTTAGTGTTTTTCAAAATTAGATTTTTCGTTACAACCGTCACGACAAAAAAAAACATAGAAATGCTTATAAAGCATCAAGTAAAATCTATGAAACCCAGCATATAATAATATCAATATGTGCTCAATACACACACTAAATGAGTTTTTTTTAACCATTCGCTGCAATAAGTTTGACAAAGCTGTTTTGTTCAGAAGTGGTAAAAAGTAAACGTTACAACCGTCACGCTACGCCGAGGTAATTTTTAAAAAAAGTATAAGACTTCAATACTGCAACTTTTGCATACTAAATTATGTAATAGTATTCCACATTTTTGAGAAGTTTCAAGTCATTTCCATTTTTGGTTCATTTTTAATAGCTTAAATAATGTCAAATGTTACGATTGTGCTTTCACGGAATTGCCCATATATATATATATATATATATATATATATATATATATATATATATATATATATATATATATATATATATATATATATATATATATATATATATATATATATAAAGTAAATAAAAAGGTTTTGTTAGTGAAATCGTAGACATTGTTTTTAAGCTTCTGATAAATAAATTTTTTTTTTTTGATTTTATTACAAAAAAATTTAGTGGTAAATTTTTTTGTAATAAGATCAAAAATTTAGTGGTAAAAAAAAGATATTTGACGTTAGTATATCATTAAAAAGTTTTTGAATGTTTTAACTTAAAATTACTATAATCTATTATAATAATAATTTTATATTATATAATTAAAAGTTATCTTAAATTGTTCATTAAAAAGTTATTTTTGAATTAGTTACTAGGCCAATACTATAAATTGTTGGATATATTTTTAGAATTAGGTATTAAATATATTTTTAAATTGGTTATTGATATATTTTTGAATTGATTATTGGATATCTTTTTGAATTTTTGGACATTTTTTTGAATTTTTGGTTGTTTCTTATGAATAAAGGTATTAGAGGAAAATAAAAGTGAAAAAAAAAAGAGAATAATAAAGAAAATAAACGTATATATAAATGAAATAAAGAATAAAACTGAAAAAGCAGAAACTTATGAGTAGCAATATGATAAGAATTAAATGCTGAATAATAAATAAAAGATTTAAAATTTAAGATATTTATAAAATTTAAATAACCAGTAAATTTAAATATTTTTATTCTTTCTATAAAATGAAATCAGAAATAGATATAGAATTAGAAATTAAATGATTATTTACATAGCTAGTGTATACCTAGACATACCCTATCAATTTAGTTTTTCAAATTATTCTTTTTTGAGATTTATTTTTTGATTCGTTTTTTTTTAGTTTGCTAAAATTTTAATTAATTTAGATCATTTCTTAATATTCTACATAACTGTTTGATTATTTTACATAATTTATTAATTGTTCTACATAATTTATTAATAACTCTACATCATTTCTTAATTATTCTACATCATTTCTTAATTATTTTGAATTATTTCTTAATTGTTCGACGTTATTAAAACTCTAAAACAATGTGGGTCATGTTCACATTTTTAAAAATCTGGATTTTGTAAATTTTTTTTCATTATTATACTCCTGATTTGGAACTCATTTGGAACCAGATCCTAAAGTTCAAAAAACTTTTGGATATTTGTTTTATTTTATTGCATCAAAAAATTTATTTTATTTTATATCATTTAAGCATTTTGAAAACACATAAAATATTTCTTGATCATTTGTCTTAAATACTCAAATATGCCAATTGAATACAAATTTTGTAATATCTATAGAGTATTATTTCCACATACTCCTCAATAACTTTCTAGGGATGTTTCTTTTTTAAGTTTTTATATAAAAAAATTGCTTTTTTTTATTTGTTAGACAAAAAATTTTTTTTGCAAACAAAAAAAAAAAAAATTATAGATATATTGGTTAATCAAAATTAAACCTTACAAAACAAAATTAGTTTAATTTTATTTCAACTACAAACAATTGTTCTGTAAAAAAAAGTTATTATAGTAAATAAAAAAAATGTCACAAAAAAATTCATTACATTTTTTAAAAATAATTTAGGAAAGACGACTTGTTTGTTGCATCCCCATTTTACACAGTTGTTGCAGATGAAGGCAGAGTTTATTTTTATATAAATAATAAAAACACTGTAAGTATTTTATAATTATTTCAGCTTAAATTGATTTTTTTTAGTATATTGTAAAGGTCAGTGTTAACTATTCTCTGTTTAGTCTCTGTTATACAGATGCAATATATATACAGTATGCAATAAGGCATATATAAAATAAGGGACTTTTCCAACTATTTATGATTTCCTCTAAACAAAGCAGGGGTCAATATTATTTCAGGGATCTTATAACTGCAACTGAATTTGAGTTGTTTTCTCCATAAAAGAAAACTTAACCATAAATTTATAATTTGTTTTTAATTTTAGCTTACATACAACATATTTAGGTTTAAAATTTCCAACTAACTTATTTATCTTAACTTACACACTTAAACCAAAAATTAAAATTTTCTGAAGTAAACAAAAATTTAGTTGAATTAGTATGCTGTAATTATTTGAATTAGTAATTATTTAAATTTAATTATTTTTTAACCCTCTTTAATCTTGTTAAAAAATTAAATTATTTAAAATATTTTTTGAAAAATCAGATTTTTTTTGAAGGTTCAAGATTTATCAATAGATATAAACTAAAGATCATTATTGCACAAGATAGAGGAGGTTATTATTAGTTACTCTTTATAGACTGACTAGGGCGGAGTTGCTAACTGCACATTCAGTAATGGGTGGCATTTTATTAGTTGTTATAGTATCTCCAAGAAATAATTCTAAGTTAGTCTCTTTTGCTTGTTTTCTTTAAAGGTATATTTTGAAAAATTATCTTTTAAGACAACATGAAGAAAAATTTAAAGAAACACTCGAGATGAAATAGTCCATCCTTAAAATTGTTTCAGCCTACAACAACATAAAAGATAAATAATATATATATATATACATACATACATACATACATACATACATACATACATACATACATACATACATACATACATACATACATACATACATACGTACATACATACATAAACATATATACAGGCTTGAACAAGAATGGCATGCAATCTAACGCTATTGCTGACCACTCAAATGTTTTTTTTTTTTTTTTTTTGATAACTTGACCACAACTATTTAGGTTTTTTTGCCAACTTGACCACAACTATTTAGATGTTTTGATGATTTAAACTATGATTTAAAATTTCAGAAATGCACTGAAAAAGAAATGCTAAGCTATTCTAGGAAGAAAATAAAAAAATAAAAAAAATTCTAAAGAAAAAAGAAAAAATTCCTTTTGATAAAGAAAATATATAAGCATTAAAATAAAACTCAAAAAAGTTCAAAGTAAAAATTACTTTTTGTTACTATTTTAATTGTATTTGAAATAAATTACTTTAGACTTATTTTTTTAAACGTTTTATTAAAGTTATGCAAAACACTTTACATATTACTTCTAATGATTATTTAGTAAATGAACAAATTTTTTTTTAAATTAATAAAAAGTGTTATAATATTTTTAAATTGTAGAAGCATTTATTTTTTCCAAAAATGTTGCAAAAAAAGAAACATTGTTTAAAAATATGACGTAGTCTTTTTAAAATTTAAAATAATTTAATTAAAAAATAATTAAAATAGTCAAAACTTTTTAATACCTATCATAATTAAAAATAATAAAAAAAAATTTTGAAAATTAAAACATTTATTTAAAAAGTTTAAAAAAATCATAAGATAAAAACATTACAAAATACTTCATAACTTTTACAATAGTCAAATAATAAATTAATTAAAATTGAATAAATTAATAAATTTTATTATATATGAGCTCTTAACTGTAGCATATAAATTTATTTTTAGCTGAGTTTTTCATTGCAATTAGCACCAACATCAATTCAAGGAGCTCGATTTGGCAGTTCTATTGGTAAAGTTGGTGATCTCAATAATGATGGATACCAAGGTACTTGGTTTCAATTAATGACATAAAAGATTTCTAAATCAGTTTTACAAGTTGTGTTTATTTCATAATGCATGCTGGTTGTTTCTAAGAAATGTAAAGTTTATGTACCAGGTTTTAAATGTTTTTGTCAGTAACATGTTAAGTTATTGTATTAAAGATTTTTTTGTAGTTTTTTGCTTTTTTTTGGTAGTGGTAGTAGTCATACTAGTTGTAGTTGTCGAAGTAAACGTAGTAGTAATCATAGTTATTGCAGTTGTCGAAGTAAACGTAGTAGTAGTCATAGTTGTTGCTGTTGTCATGTTAAACGTAGTAGTAATCATAGTAGTTGCAGTTGTCATATTAAACATTGTCAAAGTCATGTAGTTGTCATAGCAGTTCTAGTTTTTGTATTAAACGTAGTAGAAGTCATAGTAGTTGTAGTTGTGGTAGTAGTAAGTCATAGTAGTTGTAGTTGTTGTAAAAAGCGTAGTAGTAATCATAGCCATCATACTAGTAGCATAGTAGCCGTAGTAGTTGTACCTATACTAGTATTTATATACAGATATGTATATATCTCTGAGTATATATCTAACTTATATTAATTAAAAACTGTATGTCATTTAAAATAATGTAAGTATAAAAATGCCAATTATATAGCGTTATGTTCAAATATCTGAAAGCAGTATTTGAAATAGCCGACAGATACCAATCATTGTCCAGTACTTGTCTGGAAAAGAACATCATCAATGGGCCATTTTGTCCAACCTATATTTTTGGTGTATCAGGCATTTTATCTGACCTTTATTTTTAGTGTACTGTGTGATTTTTTTTAGATAAATAAATTTTTGATTGATTAATAGAGAATATTAAAACAACATAGTGTTTATTTCTGGGTGAACTTTTGTTTTATTTGAAAGAGACAACTTGTTTAACAAGTGTTAAACAAATTGTCTCTTAAGTGTAAATGTCTGTTAAGTGTAAATTTTTTTATTTTAATTTTTTTTTTTTTTTTTAATTCACTTCCTCAAGGCCAAGAAGGCCACTACAGACGAGGAGGCTACTTATTTGTGGGAATAACCCTCTCTCAACTCCATAACTCTGAAACACGAACCTTGATGAACAAGGCTGCTGCGCGGAGAAACGAGTTGAGCGCGGTACTATCAGAGACATGGTGGGGATCGAACTCGGAACCACTTGTTTATGAAGCAAGCGCTCTACCACTACACCACTACCGCATGTCAGTAGCTTAAGTTGCGGATTGTATTTGTTATGATGGTGCATAAATTATGATTGTATATGTTATGATTGTACATAACATGTATAATATAAGAAAACTTTTTAAAATTTTCTAACAGCTATAAATCTTTTTTGCTTAAACCATTTTGTTTAATATTTAAAAAAAAAAGTTTTCTTTGAACTCACAGAACTTGAACTCACAGAAAAATAAGAATGATATCACTCAGAATATTAACCATTTAGCTTCTGAAGATATAGACTTCTGAAGATATAAACTTTAATCCACATTTTTTAATCTGGTACTTTACTTAAGCACAACTATATCGCATAGCAGGTATAATTTATAAAAATATTATTTGAAAACTATATTTTTTTCAAAAAAAAAAAGCTAATAAAAAAGTTACATTGTTTAAATAGAATTATTATTTTTTTTGTATCTTTTAATTTTTTATCATTCTGTAACAATATCCATATAATTTTTCTAGATAATAAAGAACCACAAGTAAAAAAATCATATCTTTATATTTGATTGAGATTCATTTTATTCTATAAAAAAATTTTTTGTTTTTAAAATTTTATGATTTAAAAAAAACTTAATAAATAAAGAACTACATAAAAAGAATCATATATTATCTATTTTTTTTATAGTTTTATATAGAACAATTTTTCAAATAAAAATAATATGTAAAGAATTTCAAAAATAAAATACTCAAAATTTATTTTAAATTGAAATGTATATATCCCAATATAATTGCTTATTGTTTAACTATCTGCTAAAATGATTGGTCTTACTTAATAAAATAAATAAATGAACGGTTTTACCTAATAAAATACATTAATATTAGATTTTAAAAAACAATAAAGTGAAAAACTAGCTATTTTGAGTAAAAAAACTTGAGAAAAACATTTGAAAAGTTTTATTAATATCTGCATTCCAAAACTGGTACTAAAAACAGCTTAACCTATTTTATGTGACACAAGTGTTAGTAGCTGTTGCGTGGCCTGCTGTTTATCAGTAGGTTGGGTATTGGTATTGGTTTTAAGTTTTGATTTTTTTATTTGAATTTAAGATGCCACAACCAAAATTTTAATGAATGTTATAATTTTGAGACAACAGTTAAACAAACGCATAGCAAGCATATTTTGTTTAATCAAAGTTTTAGTTATTTAATGTATCTTTGTAATTTATATATACTTATATATTATATTTGACTAATTATTTATTTTTATATTAGATTTTGTTTAATATATTTTATTAAGCATATCTTTTCTTTTCATATATTATATAATTATTTATTATATTTTCTAAGATTTTTTAGGATTTTGATTTTTTAGTGTAGGTACAACTAGGTAATTTTTATAGATGATGTAGTAAGAGAATGGATATAAAAATATGATTAGTTTATGTACCAATCTAAGGGATTATCCACAAATTGAACTAGCTAAACTTAACTGTTAAACAAAAAAAATCACAAGTTTTACCTTGCTTTAAAAAAGCCCTTAATTTAAAAAAAGATTAAATTAGTCCCTTATGTTCAATGAAAAGCACAAAAAAGTTTAGCGCGACGCGCAAAAAATTTTAACACCACACAAAATAAAGTTCCTTAATTCTTGTTACTTTTGTATTTTTTTTTTATTTTTTTTTTACTTATCTGAAAAACTCTCTGGATTAAAATCAGCAAAATATATTAGGAGACCTTGAACCTAAATCTGCAGGAATAAGTTATGCTTATCATAATGAATGGATGTTTATCATAATTAATAGGTTATTTCTAGTAATAGTTTGTTAGGACTAAAGTTTAAAACTTTTATCTTTTTAAATCTCTTACCCAAATTAACTGCAAGGAGCAGAGTTAACTTTGTTAACTTTGCTCCTTCATCAGTGTTTTGTCTCTGATCCATCTTTTTTTTAAATCAAATTAATAATATTTCTAATGATATTCTCTCTACTTTGTCAAAAGTGCCATTTGGTAGTTACCACAATAAAAATGTCATGAACTGGCAACTGATCTTATATACGTCACTTTGTGACTGATTAATGCTATCATGTTGCAAGTGAGCTATCATCTTTTGATTCATCTTCCAAAATTCATTCTGATGTAAAAAAAAAAATTATTTTTTTCTTCTTGAATGTAAATTAATGCTTTCATGTTTTCTATAGATATTGCAATCGGAGCTCCAATGGATGGTGCTGATAATAGAGGTGCAGTTTATATATACAATGGAGGATCACAAGGTATCTCAAACTCAGGGAAGCCTTCTCAAGTAAGTTTTAAAACTTTAACAATAAATGAATTGTAGCTAAATAGAAAATTTTATAAGTAATAGACTGGGTATTGTGATCTGTAAATGTGTAAAATTTACAGATCACAATACCTAGTTGTTCTAAAACATGCGATTGAAGCAGTAATATGTCACTTTTAGGTGCAAATTGAAAGTTTTTATTTATTTAAAAAAAAGCTTGTTATTTACATTTTTGTTCTAAAGCTTGAAAACCGTATTTGAATTTAGTTTATAGTAAATTTAAGATTTATTTAAGACAACAAATATGTACAACCACTAAGACAACAAATATGTACAACTACTAAGACAACAAATATAGCTTAAATAAGTAACAAAATAAAAGTTTGCAACAAGATTGTAAATGTTTTAAATCAAGGTTTTCAAGTTAAAAGAGTATGAATGTGACAATATTTCAACAATTCAATATAAAACCTTGTAAAACTTGAAGATACTGGAAAACAAACTAATTATAAACAGAATTATGTTATATAGAGTTGGTCTTAGTTATTATCTGCCTCATAATCTTACCTTTAAAGTGGCCAATAACACAAGTATATACTTCAGCTTAGAACATGCAGCCAGTCTTAAATCTGATCTTTCTTAATTAAATGATTAAAAAGCTAATTTATCTAAGATAACTTTAAATTATTTTAAATGGCTGCAGAATTTTAACTCAATTATTTATTGCTAATAAATATCTCAATATTTTTGATATTTTTATATTAATGAATGAAAACTTAAACTATCTTCTGGCTCAGTCACAACAAGTACAAAGTTTAAATGCATTAGATCTTTATTCAAAGAGTATTCAAAAAGCAAAATCTGAAAGTATGTTACAAGAAAAAGATACCAAAATAGTTAGTTTGATGTAGGAATCAAGACATATGGATGAACTAAAAATTTGCCTAAATTAATGATAAAAATTTTTGTGTGTTTTAGAAGACAATGAAACTTATTGTGAAAAAGGCCACTCTATGCTTTCAGGCAGTTATCAACTGATAATAGTATTCTAAAACCACAACTCCTATTTGTAGTTTTGGTTTTAAAAGCTCTCTTTTCATAACAAATTAATCTTTTGACATCATATTTAATGCTAGGAAAAATGACTTCTCCCTTTCTTTGAAAAACACAAACAGCCAATCTTATTTTAGCCAGATCAGGCATCAATCCACTTTTCGAAAAAAGTAATGGAATGGTATAAGTAAAATAAATTCAATTTTGCACTAAAAGATGCTATTCTACTAAGCTCCTTGAGCAACAAGTCATCAAATCTTACTAGGCAATTGTAAAGAAAATACTGAGGAAAAGAGGCAAATGTGCAAATAGTGTTGAAAATGTTCAAGATTGATGGATTAATGCTGCAAAAAAAGTGACTAAAAGTAAAGTTGTGGAGATGATGGCAGGTACTTTAAAAAAAATTAAATTACTTACATGTCATAAAGGGCTTAATTTGTTTTAGTTGAAATAAAAACTTATTATGCATGCATCATTTAATATAAAATTTTGTTTGTTGATTAAGTGGTTTTTGAGAAAACTCAATTTAAAATCATTGAAATTTTAACTGATCATGGTGATATATGGGCTGTTTCTAAATGATGGTTCTCTATTATACAAGATCCAATAAACACATTGTAAATGTTATTTGACCTGCTCTAGAAGCTAAGTTTAAGCAAGTTTATGACCCATATCTACAAATACTACCACTGTCGCTGTTCAAGTGTGCCATCATAATTTGTTTTATCAACCAAAGCTCAATCTTGGTTGACCTGTTATTCAGCTTATTTGCATCCTTTTATTATAACTGTTCCTTAATGGTCAAAAACATTTTTTTTCTTCCTTGAACATCGGCACTTTGGAATTCTTTTGCGTCTTGACATTTAATTAATAGTATATAATAATATAAAAAATAATATATATAAAAACTTTTCATTATAATAATTTTAATGGTTATATTTCCAGCAAGGTATAGAAAGGTAAACCATTAATGATCTGTTGTTGAGTCATTTAACAAGTTATAATTAAACTATTATAACTTTATAACTATCAGAGTTGATTTATTTCAACATATTATTAATATCGATTATTGAAGCAAAAAAAGTTCTGATCTTTTCATAATACTTTTGTGAAAAAAATGTTTTTAAGTTTCAATTTTTGTAAAGTCATTCACATTCTACAAATTAAAAACTAAAATATTGAAATTAATAAAAGTGTTCATCAAAAAAATGCGGCCAAAATAAACAAACCACAAAAACAAAGTTAACAAAAAATATTCAAACAAAAAAATTATAATAAAAAAAAAAAAGTTAACATTTTGTTGACAATCCTTTTGCTTTTAAGCATTCGTTGATATGTTTCAGCATGGAGTTCACTATATTCTGAGTAATCTCTTTTGGAACACTATTTAGTAATTTTGTTACTAATTCTTTCAGCTGGTCCAGATCTTTTATTTCAATTTTACCAAGATTGTGGTTTAACCCAGACCACAAATTCTCTATGTAATTGAGATCTGGACTATTGGCAGGCCAAAACATGGTTTTATTGTTGTTTACAAACAATTGCTTGCAAATCTTAGCAATATGAAGCATTATCTTATTGGAAAATTCCTATGCCTTTTGGGATAATGCCAATAGAAGGCATTAAATAGTTATCCAATATGTCTAAATATCTTTGAAAATCAACCCTTCTATCAAATATTTAGAAAAAAACCAACACCTTCATAGTTCATGCAGGCCCAGATCACTACCACTACCTTGTTTTGTTCTATATGAAGAACAATTTGGGTCCATTTCTTCATGTGGCTTTCTTCTCAGTATTACTTGGTTTTTTCTTGAATCTACCTCAACATTTATTTCATCTCTGAAAAAAAATGTTGTGCCACATGCTCATAGACCAAATTTTGTGAGCTAAACACCAGTTGTTTTTTTTGACTTCTGATGTTTTATCAATAGGAATGGTTTTTTGCAAGCAGCTTGCCGTATGCAATTGTGTTTTTGTAGTACTCTTCTAATTGTTCAAGCAATAGTGTTAAAGGGATCCCAAACTCCCGACACATGTTGTGTTCATATTAAAGATAATGTTAAAAAAAAAGGTTTGAACTAAGTTTTTTTGATTAAAAATAAATAATGAATGCTTACCGTGAAAAACAAATGTTGTTGTTTTTGCCGAAGCTTGCCTTCTCCATTTTTTTCAATAAATCGGAGTCTTCAAATTATGCGTCGCAATCTACAGACTTTGGCAATTCCTTTGAAGCGCGTTTAATTCATAAAAGTTTTAGTATTTGACGTCACGGTAGACTTTTAACAAATGAAACTCTGGAAATATTTATTTTTAGTCGAAGTTTTTTTAGTTATTTGTTTAGTTTTTTTTTTTCTACTTTTAATATTTAAAAAGATATTAAAAACCTTAAATATTTTATGCTGGTTCGTTGCTATAAATTGTTATTGCGCTATATATTTAAAGTTTATAAATTATGAATATTTATTATCTCAATTAAGACTTCGATAAAAAAATGTTTAACATTAATTACCCATATAAAATTAGTAAAAGCATTATTATTTGGTTAGATAATATTTCGTCTCAATTTGCTTTGCATGAAGTTCGGGAAGTCAAGCGAAAAAAATTAGTTTGAATAATCATTTTGAAATATATTCAAAACAAATTATTTTAATGACGGGGGCTTAAAAGTTTTTTATAATAAATGTAGGCAAAAAATAAATAATTAAACAAAAAGTTCAACATTAAACATCATTTCTATATTATATTGCAACTGTAAATATTGAAATATTAACTTGAACTAAATTTACTTATCATTTAGCACGACTAAGCAATAAAAATAAAAAGCCCCTAAATTATGCGATATTGTGTTGTTTATTTGATAATTGCTGTTGGTAATGTTGTTTATGTTGATTATTTTCAGAAATAGTCCCAGATTAATCTGTTAGTTGCTTTGTTCATTGTTGCTTTATTTCTAATTTAATTTTATCTCTAAGTGTAAATTTATGTTAAGAAAGAAAAGTTTTTTTTTCATCGCTCGCTCTTTTTATAAGAGTAGAACAAAAGACAAAGAAAAGTTTCGCGTAATTAAACTTCGAATGAATAAAAGAGTTGTATAGAATTTTTTTATTTTTTTTATTTTTGCGTCACTCGTTCTTTTTTTAGATGAGAGAAATAAAAGTTAAATAGTTTTATCCGTATCCAATTTAGCAAATTTAGCAATTTAAAATAAATCAGCGTAATCAAAAAATTTTTATAATAAAAAAAGTTAACAATTCATCATATATCTCTAATTAATACTGTCAGTTTATGAAATTAATTGTTAATACTTTTTTTGACGGTAAAAGAAAAAATATCATACCGTAAAAATAACCAGAGAAGTTAGAAAAAAGTTCCGATTGTTTAAATAAAAATAAGTAAGATTCAGAATATATAATACTGCGCTCTTTTGCACAAAAACGAGAGACCGTATACATAACGTTCTATATAATGTAAAACACTCGTATGAAAATCATAAGATTCGTAAGTAAAGCTTTAATATTTGTTTTAATTTAAAAACAAAAGAAATATAAGTAAGATATATAAATCGAAAAATTATTAAGATATCTGTAAAAAACAAGTTGCTCCTATAAAATAAAAATAATTTATCATTTTTTCTTTTTACAAATTTTTTTTTGCGATGTTCAGAAAAATAATACAAATAAATTTGTTTTGCTGTATATTAAAAAAATACTACAGTAGAAAAACGCAGCTTAGTTTAATTACACTTTTCTTTTGTTAAAAGTCTTCCATGATGTCAAATACTAAAACATTTATGAATTAAACGCGCTTCAAAGGAATTGCCAAAGTCTGTAGATTGCGACGCATAATTTGAAGATTCCAATTTATTGAAAAAAATGGAGAAGGCAAGCTTCGGCAAAAACAACAACATTTGTTTTTCACGGTATGCATTCATTATTTATTTTTAATCAAAAAAACTTGGTTCAAACCTTTTTTTTTCAACATTATCTTTAATATGAACACAACATGTGTCGGGAGTTTGGGATCCCTTTAACACTGAAGCTTTTTGCCTATTTCGAACGTGAACGTTCATTCCTTTTATTTGAAATATTGGGTCTTTCAGGACACACAAGATTTTCAATTTTATTGTATCTTTAATATCGGCTGAGTATTCTGCTAAAAGTTGTTAATCATTTTTTAAATAAATAGCAGTGGCAACAACCTAATTTATATTTTGAATATATCTATATAAAAACATAAAAATTTAAAAGCCTATTTATTGTTTATATAAAATTATATAAAAGATTTTATGAGTAGTTGACTTGCATATAAACGCATATATAAAAATTAATAAACACGCATATAAGAATGAATAAATATGCATATAAAAATGAATAGACGCACATATAAGAATGAATAACCTTGAAAAATGGTTTTGCAATTTCTCTTATTGAGACGCTTTTTTTAATTATTACTATGATTTTACATATTATATTATCAATAATTTTTTATTATCGTTATATTATCAATAAATTTTTCCAGTCAATTTGATGGTTTTATTGCTGAAATATTGTAGTTAATTAGATTCTCATTTTTTTATTACATTTTTACACAAATTTTTCAAATATTTATAACAGTTTAAAAAATTCTCAAATAATTATAAATAATTTTCAAATAAGTGCAAAGTTTTAATCAAAGAAAAAAGAAATTTTGAAGGAAGTTTTAAAAAATAGAGTGGATATGATTGTTAATTTTAAATATAATATGATTGATATGTACCTTTTGGGTTATAATATTTGACATAAAAAATTGACATAAAAGTATTGACATGAACCTTTTGGGTTCATGTCAATACTTTCGCCTGCCTTACTATAGTGTTTGCGGGTTGTAATAGCCATTAGGAGAGGTTGATACTTGAAGAGGTGGGGAGGGGGAGTCATAGATTTGTTGTGAAAATTAGAGATTGAATCCATTCCTATAATATAGCAGGGGACAGGGCTGTACTGAACAACGAAGACGTAGGGGGAGGGGGTGCAAATGAAATAAGGTTTTTTACTATAAAAATCTCACCAAAGCAGGGCTTTTTTTTATTTAAAAGCCAAGTTGCAGTTTTAACTGATCGAGTCTCAAATTTTCTAAATTACCGACAAAACCGACAGAATGTTGTAACCCCGGTAAGGTGCCCATACTCACGTCGGTACAGCCTTGGCAGGAGAGATTATTTTGATTTGCGATTGTTATTGCACACTACCTATATGAAGCAGCACATAAAATATATAAATTAAACATTCAATAAGCGTACCAAATTTGATATAATTGACTAAAGGGCATTATTTGTATATTCCATACTGATTAGGTGTTTATAAACAGTTGCAACAACTTCATAGGCAGTTGTCTCAAAGCTGGGAAAAAATTAAAAATAATTGAATTTTGCTTAAAACATTTCTTTTAAGTAACAGTTTAGTTCGACTGGGCTCTAGGATTCACAACTAGTAAAGTGTTTAATTACAATAAAATAATATTTATCGCCTTAATGCTTCCTCGTGTGTAAAATTTTTATGCGAAAGATTATTTCTTTTTTCAAGCACTAAATCTTGCTTTAGTCGACTAAATTTAGTTACACTAAATATTTAGTAGACTAATCTGAGTTAACTAAAAAGTTAGTCGACTAATTTTAGTTAGACTAAAAAGTTAGTCGCTTAATTTTAGTTAGCTAAAAAGTTAGTCGGGTAATTTTAGTTAGCTAGAAAGTTAGTCGGGTAATTTTAGTTAACTAGAAAGTTAGTCGCATAATTTTAGTTAACTAGAAAGTTTGTCGCGTAATTTTAGTTAACTAAAAAGTTAGTCGGGTAATTTTAGTTAACTAAAAAGTTACTCGCGTAATTTTAGTTAACTAATAAGTTAGTCGACTAATTTTAGTTAACTAATTTTAGTTAAACTAAAAGTTTAGTTAAGTAATTTTAGTTAGACTAAAACTAACCTTAACACCCACCCCTATTTTTTTTGTAGTTTGTTTGATTTTTTTTTTTGCAAGATAAAAAAAGTTATTAATAGAAACAAGTTCAGCAACAAGCAAATCAAATTTTTTTATTTATAAATAAATGTAAATTTAAAGTATATCAATAATAATGCATTTTATTTAATGTGTAAAGGACTTTTTTTGCGACTTAAGATGTTAAGATTGAAAATTATTAAGATTGTAATTGTAAGATTTTAATTTTTGATTAATAAACATTTTGTTTATATTTACTTTATGTAAGATCAATACCATTTAGAAGTATTTAAAGTTGGTTGTCGGTTTGTCTGTTAACAGCTTGTTTTTTTTTTTGTTTTTTTTATATATACTAAATACATAGTATTGAGTTAAAAATACATTTTTAACTCAATACTATGTATTGAGTTTGAAAAAAAAAAAACAATTTTCAGTCTAGTTTAAGCACCACAGAGAACCTGCATCAAATTTAACAAATATGTTTATCTATTTCTGTTGAATAGAGTTTTTGGCTAGTGTGCAATAACTATATTAAACTCCAACATAGACATTTTTCACGGTATTTAAATATGCACAATATCAAAACACCCTTATGCATAAATAGTCAAACATCTTGTGGCAAAACTTTTTTTGAACTGTCTTAAATGCTTTTGTTTGATCTCATTCTTTATATTTCCTATATATATATGATACTACTTTTATGTGTGCTTCCTTATTTTCTGTGTGCTTCCATACTATAGTTACATACATAATTGCTGTTTTCACGTAACATTATATTTGTTTCTGGAACATGTCTGAGCTAGCTTTTAGAACCTGAAGATAATATATATCCTATGCATAGATGTTGAATCCAATATAGGTAGTTTGAAGTATGGCTGGGTTTGCTAAATATGGTTCAAGGATAACTTTTTTATGCTTGTTTATAGTAATACACGACTCTATTGTATTGGAACATTCATTACTTACTTTGACAACCATGTGTGTATGTATACATATGTGTGTATATATATGTGAGTATGTTTTTTTTTAGGTTTTCATTTTTTAAGCATATACGGATTTTTATATTTCTATATCTTATGGGCTTGAGTTTATTTATCCAATAAATACCAATTTTAACAACTTGTTGTGTTTATAATAAAGATAAAATCTAAGAGCATTTATCATATTGGTAGTATAGTAGATTATTTTTTGGTTTTCTATTAGAATATAATAATTTTTTACTATTTTAATATTATTGTTTATATTTTATTCTATTGTTTTTTGTTATTTTTGTTAAAAGTTTTATTTATATTTTATTCTATATTTATCTTTATTTATATATATATATGCGTTTTATTTTATTTGAATTTTGTTATAGTATTTGGTATTGAATTCAAATCTCTCACTATTCATATCAAAAATATTGTTTGAGAGATTTTCAAGATTTTTCATTAAATTATTTTAATCTGAAAAATTTTCAGTTAAATGGCAGTTCTTTTTTTAAATCTTTCATTAATTGTATAATAATTGTTAATTTTTTTCCTATCATTTATTTCTAAATTATCTAAGTGTGTTGTCAACTTTGTTATTTATAGGTTTTTGTCACAATTTTTTGATTTATTTCATTCTACTTTTTTAATATCACAGAATATTTTTAAAAGAATCATTATGATACATTTAGATCATCATGGCATCTGATTTTTCAACTATTGGTTTGTCTGGATTTGGATCTTCTATATCTAATGGCCTTGATGTTGATGGAAATTCTTACCCGGGTTTGTATATTTTGAGTGTTTTATATGAAATCATACATTAAAGTCATGTTTTTCCAAAAACTTATTTGGATTCTTTTTTCATTTTAAAAAGTTATACAAATAAATAAAAATTAAAAAAAAAAATTTATGCTCTAATAAAAGACTTACTTCCACTAGATAATATCATAAATATATTTGCAGCAGGAAGCTGTGAATGACCCTGTCTTCTACTTAGATTTTTTTTTTTTTTTTTTTATGTATTGCAGTTTATGTAAATGTTGCTATAACTCATATATTTGTATTGTTTATAATAAAAAGTTAGCAAAAAAAAAAACATAATTTTTAAATGCTCTTTTTGTGCAGTCTCTTCATCTTTTTTCTAGCTGTATTAGGACAGAATATTGCAGAGTTATTGTTTTATTTGCCTTTGCTGTGTTTAAAACTATCTTGATATAAACAAATAAAAGCAAAATACTTTCAAAAAGAATTGAAATTTAATTATTTACAGTTATACTATCAAATATAGTCATGTCTTTAACAGAAATAAAATATGCCATTGTTTTATAATATTTTATGTTTTAATTAGAAATCTGTTTGACATATTTTTCATTACTTATTATAAAATTATACTTTACAGTACTATTTATAGTTTAAAAAAATTATCAAAATGGCTGACATTAAAGATCAGTCAGTTTTTGCTCAGCTGCTTCTTTCCTGTTAAGCACAAGAAATATGTTTGCAGAGAAAAAGATCAGTCACAACCAAGCTAATCGAGACCAATAGTTCCTCATTTTGGTGGTTTTTTTTTTAAAGGAAAATAAAGAACCTTGACAAATTCGATTATAACTTCTTATAGGCAGTTTTTAATGAATTTCCAAACTTTTTTGCTTAGAAGAGCAAAGAAGTTTGGAAATTAAAAAAGAACTTTATTAAAAAATTAAAAAATACCAGGAATCATTTTATAGAAAAGTTCAAACTTTCAGCTTAAAGTTAAAGCTAAAATGTTAGTGTCGATTCTTACTCAGAAACTTTTCTTGCATGAATCAAAAGTACATGGTTTAAATAATTTCTAATCACTTCAGACAGTTGTTGACAAAAAAACTTAAAGTAAAAATGACAATCTAATATGATTTAATATGCATCTCAAAGTAACTTGTTAAGACACTTGAAATATCAGCTACCAACACATTTAAAAATGTTTAATTTAGAACATTATAGAATATTATTGTGCATTATTTGTGAATTAATTGTTTAGCTAACTGTTACCAGAGTTTTAGTCTTTATTTTATGTTGCATAAAATTATGTTAGAAGTTCATTATGTTGAAGTATATAGTTGTGTTTTAGACATCCTTTTTTTTTCAACAACATGGTTTAAATCATTGCTAATAATGCCATAATGAAAGTTTTTATTGATAATCTAAAGAAGAATATATATATATATATATATATATATATATATATATATATATATATATATATATATATATATATATATATATATATATATATATATATATATATATATATATATATATATATATACAGTATACTTTTTATATAATAATAGTATCTTTTAGATATTGCAGTTGGAGCTTACTCAAGTGGGAAATCTTTTATAATAAGGTATGTTATATTTCATTTTAGTAAAATATTTTTTTATGTAATCATAATTTTGTCTTCAAAATAACAAAATTTAATAAAAAAGGTAAATAAAGCGTTTAAAATCATTCAGTTTTATAAACAATTGTACAATTAATAGAAATAATATCAAAAGAAAGGTCAACATTTAACCTTTTCAAGATGGGTCTAAATATATCAAAAAGGCTCCAATTACTGGGAATTTTTGCAAAACTGTATCATTTGACATAAGCATTACAATAATTAAATTTGGAGTTTGAACAACATCTGAAAGTATCAAATCTCTAATACAAAAAAAATGCAATTGTGTTTTTTGGGGCTATATGGTTTTCAAGGGTCAATCATTAGTTATTTTAGCATCCCATATATAATTTTTTTTTGAATCATGAAATCAAAGAAAAAAAATATTCTGAATCAGGATGACAGAGGTTATGTCATGACTTCCTTTTGGAAACCTATGTTTCGATATTTAAATCTAAAAAAACTATTGCATTGATTTGTTTTTGTTTTTGATGGTTTTTTTTATATTTATATTATACTTGTTAACGAAGGTATTAATACTCCCTTGAAATATTGTAATAAAAACTAATTTAAAAATAGAGAGTTACATCCATAATCGAAGTTTTTATTTATTTATATATATTAAACTCTTTAAAGATGTCTTTTAAAATTTAAAGTGTTTTTTTAAATTTCTACTACAATAATAAAAAACAAACATTCTATTTAAATTCCACAAACTAAACTTTTATTTAAATTGTAAACAATATAATTTAATTAAAAATGGAAAAATTATATTAATTTTAAATTAAGATAATTAAAATAAAATCAAAACTTTTATTAGTTTTTCAAATTTCTATACAAATGTCAGTGAATTAAGTAATACATATTGGTGCAAGACAATTGTAAGGTTCTACCTCCCATTTTTCATGTTGAGAAAATTTAACTTAGTTTTTATTTATTTTATGTTCATAATTATATAATTTTAATGTATTAATCTTATTTCTTATCAAAATTGTTTGCTTTTGTTAATTTCAGCTTTATTCAATAAAGTTGGAATTGAATTTATAAACAAACAGCTTATATAAATAATGATATAAGGTTAATTAAACATATAGTTTATCATTATAAACAATAATAATTGTAAAACATTTAAATTATTAAAAACCGAAAGCTAAATTCTCTCAACATTATAAAAGGGAAATAGAACCCTATTATTCTAATGTCACAATGTGTTTAAGTTCATACTCGACTGTGTTTTTTTTCAACTTTTTTTGTTTTATTTTTTTCTTGTTTAGAACAAGACCTATCATAACATTATATGATAAATTGGAAACCAATGTAAGCCTTATTCCACTCGACGATTATGCATCTAACTGTATTGGTCCAGATAGTAAGAAATATTATTGGTAAATCTTTACTTAAACTCTATGTAATTTTGTTTTTATTTTATTTCTTAGAGATTTGAATTTTAAATTTTTTTCAGCGAAATAGTTTAAATCTATTAAAAATCTTTTTCAGTATTGAATTTAAACCAAACTTGAAGTATGAAGGGAAGGCAATGTCATTTGGTATTATAAAGTTTTTGTTTATCATTTTTCTAACTCTGTAAGAGTATTCAACATGAAATTTTTTTTTTTCTAATTTTAAAACAGATCTGGAGTTGACATTGGAAATTGAAAAAAGGTTCCCAACAAACAAGAGGGGGCTATTTTTTGAAGATGGCATTTTAAAAGATACAATTACGAAGAATGCTCTTTTAACCAAAAGCCAAATCTTTCCTTTTAGTGTTATTGTGTATATCGTTATATTGGTAAGTAAAAGAATAAATTAGTTAGAGGATAACTATATTTTTTTAAGTAATTAAGTTTTTTGATGTTTTAGCCTTCCATCAAGTTTTTAAGGGTCCTGAGCTACCCCTAAAACTAGAAATTACTCTCTTTATATATAAAACTGCTAAACTAGAAATTACTCTCTTTAGGGGAAGTGGGGGCATAACCGCCCCTGTAACGTTTGAATAAATGTTATATGAAAATAAAAATGAAATGTGTTTTTTTAGCAGTTTATTTCAATAGCCGCATCATTAAGCTTTAAATCGATGCATTTAAGAAAAAAATTGAACGGGTTTTGAAAATGTCATTTCACAAAAATAACACTTAGTAAAAAAAACGGTTTTGCCCCCATTGTGCCCCAACCGCACCCTCACAAAAATCTTTGGGGGTTCACTGTTCTAGGTACATTTTCTTTACAATTGTCATAGCTCAGATTATTTGCTGATTTTGTTGCACGTTTGTATACTGTGTAGGCATTCTTTGTACTTACAATCTCAGTTTTCTTATTCGATATACTCTTAGCTTTATTTTAATTCAAAAACTCATTTATAAAAATTAAATAAAAAAATACCAAATCTAATTTCTAACATTTCAAAACAAAACTTTTCTAACATTTTTTCTAACAAAAAACAGAACTTTTCTAATAAAAAACAAACTTTTCTAACAAAGTTTTTTTAACAAAACTTTTCTAACAACTTTTTTTCAAAACAAAACTTTTCTAACATCTTTTCTAACAAAAAACAAAACTTTTTTAACAAAACTTTTCTTTCAAAATTTTCGGACAAAACTTTTCTAACAAAAAAACTTTTCTAACATCTTTTTCTCAAAACAAAACTTTTCTAACATCTTAAACAACTTTTCTATCATCTCAAAGCAAAACTATTCAAGTTTATACATGAACGCATTCAAATGTGACGATTTTAATTGTTGTTATTTGTAATTACATAACTTTGATAAATAATAAAAGTATGCGGTTGTGCCTCCTGTGCGTCTATGCGGTTCTGCCCCAGTGGACAGTTTTTAGAAAAAATTCAGTTTCATAGCTTGCTTATTAGGTTATGTTGATATCAAAAATGGTTTTTACTTGATGAAATAACGCTGATAACACATATCTTTAACACTAAAATCAAATATTGCTTTATCCTCAAAAAAAAGTCTTTAAAAGTATGATGTAAATATAATATTTTTATCAAAATATACATTATTATGCACAACTTCTCAGAAACATAGCAGGCACTCTTTTTGACATAAGAAAAATGAAGAAAACTGTTTTACTAATGTGTGGTAGTTTTTTTGCCAGATTAGATGATATTTTTCAAAGAGAAATGTTAAAAAACGGTTGTGCCTCCATATGCGGTTATGCCCCCACTTCCCCTATATATAAATATAAATCAGGCATGTAAAGATGTATTTTTAGGCCGATAGTGGCTATTTTAAGTACTGAAAAATATTTTTTCACTTGATTCATTTAAATTTAATTTGTTACTTTTTTTTAGTTTTATTATTTATTTATTTTTAACTACCTGCTTTATGCTTTTTTTAAATTTTTATATATTGGCACTTTCACTGATAAATAAATAAAATAATAACATCTCTTTTATATATATGTAATTTTCAATTGCTTATAAAAAAATTATTTAAATTTTTTTTTTTTTTGTCTAAACTTGATTGTACCACTGTATATATTTATTTTCAGATTTATATTAAAATTTGTAAAAATGATAATAATAATAATAACAGTAGTAAAAAACTCTGTGTAAACTTTTAAAGACTTTTCTGTGTATTTAAAATATATTACCCACTACTAGATTTTAAATACACATAATAATGCTATTCTTCAATAAGAGTCAAGGTACATAATACTTTTTAAAAGTGTTATGTACCTAGATTTTGTTAATTGTAATGCAATTTTAATTATAGTTTTTAAAAATTATAAAATTTAAACTATTTTAATTATTAAATTTTATACTTTTTATTTTTACAAGGGGGATTTTGACATAAATGAACCAATTACTATCACAACAAAATATAAAAGTATTGATAAACCAAGTGGATGTGGAAGTGAGCTGTGTCCCATTATTGATGTTTTTGGAACTTTATCAAGTTCATTGCAGGTATCATTATTTTTTGTTAGGCTCATTGCAGGTGTTTTTTCAGTTTTGAAGTGCTATTTTATTGCCGCTATACATTATATGTTTTTTCTATCATTGTATATGTGTTAAATTGTATGCATAATTAGATAATATGAATTGATTAAATTGTATCCATAATTAGATAATATGAATTGATTAAATTGTATGCATAATTAGATAATATGAAGTGATTAAATTGTATCCATAATTAGATAATATGAAGTGATTAAATTGTATCCATAATTAGATCATATGAATTGATTAAATTGTATGCATAATTAGATAATATGAATTGATTAAATTGTATTCATAATTAGATAATATGAAGTGATAAAATTGTATCCATAATTAGATAATATGAAGTGATTAAATTGTATCCATAATTAGATCATATGAAGTGATTAAATTGTATCCATAATTAGATAATATGAAGTGATTAAATTGTATCCATAATTAGATAATATGAATTGATTCAATTGTATTCATAATTAGATAATATGAATTGATTAAATTGTATGCATAATTAGATAATATGAAGTGATTAAATTGTATCCATAATTAGATAATATGAATTGATTAAATTGTATCCATAATTAGATAATATGAATTGATTAAATTGTATCCATAATTAGATCATATGAATTGATTAAATTGTATGCATAATTAGATAATATGAAGTGATTAAATTGTATTCATAATTAGATAATATGAATTGATTAAATTGTATTCATAATTAGATAATATGAATTGATTAAATTGTATCCATAATTAGATAATATGAAGTGATTAAATTGTATTCATAATTAGATAATATGAAGTGATTAAATTTATGCTCATATTGTTTTATTGTATTTAAGCAAAAAAAAAATTTTAATATAAAATAATGTTATCTGCTATATGATCAATATGGTTGTTTAATTTCCAAGTTATTATGATACTATAACATGATATAACATGTAGTTACTAAATCAAAAATAGTTAAATTTAAAAAAATGTACACTTAAGTAGCAAAAATCCAATAAAAAAAGTAAAAGTTTAAATTAAGATTGAAAATATGTGGTTTTATTAAATTTATTATTTTGGTGTTTTTCAATCAATCATAAGCCATTAGTTATGTAGTACTATAGTTATAATAATGATCAACCATTATGAAAATAATATCATAATCATTAGTTTCTAATGATTTTAGTTATAAAAGTCTTTTTTTATATATTTCCATCATCTTGTTTTTGTAGCTCAATTATTTGAAAGATTGTGGTTCAGACAGCATTTGTCAAATAGATCTTGTTTCTTCAGCAAAATTGGTGCTTCTTGGGTAAGTTTTTTTTTGGGGAAAAAGATCTATAAATTGTATCCTTAGTTATCAAAAAAAGTTTTTTTGTATTTGAAAGCGAGATTGAAAAAGATTGCTGTAAATTATTCTTAGTAAATAACTGAATTGAAATATTTCCTTTGTTATTTAAATTTTGTTAATCATTTTTCATTTTGTAAAACATATTTTTGGAGGATTTATACGAGTTGCATGGCAATATAAGTGACATTAGGTAAATCCTTAAAACTATAAAATTCATTATTATTATTAAAAATATATATAAAATATTATTATATATATATAAAATATATATTAAAAATATTAATTGTTACTCTATATTATTATCAATATATTATGTATATGGTGCGTTCCATATTATATAATTCCAGTAAGCCTTGGGGCTTAGCCTGTGGGCGCCAAAATGAAAAGGCGTTTAAACATCAAAGATTTTTTTTATTTTAATTTGAAATAAAAATTCTAATAACAAAAAATAACAATTCGGTTGCTTTAACTTTAATTTTAATATTTGTGTGATTCTGTATCCTTCATTTTTCAGACTTTTCTTTTGGTGTATTACTATATCATAAAAACAAAATTACTTTTTTTTTACTATTTATATAACTTGAGTGACTTGATTACTTAACAATTAAAAATAAAACTCACGCCATTGTAATTTAATTTTTCAAATGTAAATCAAGTACAAGTTTCAAATTATAAAAAAAATAAAAGTTCTGTGGTAATGTAATTCATTGTTATATAAAGTTGCGTTACGTCAATAACATCGTTTTTATCGCGTTTTCAAAGTAGTTACTGACATAACGCAACTTTAAGTATAAAATTTGGAATCAGTTTTTCTTTGATAAAAAAAATAATAATAAAGTTTTGTTTTAAATAATCAAGAGTTACATTTTACTAAAAAAAAATTTTTTTAATTAAAAATTTTTACTGTAAGAATCAAGTTTTTATATATTTTTTCTTACTGACGTAACACATATTTTTTCACTATTCTTGTCAAATATGTTTATTAATTATATACTTTTTGTTAAAAATCTTTTTTGTTATGAAATAGTGTCTAACTTCTCCATTTACATATCAAAAACTTTTGAAAAGTTGCAATCACATATAACATTATTAAATGTACTTTATCGATTTTAGAAAATGAGAAAATTTCAGAGTTTTGGCAGCGTGAAGGTGTCTCATAGCTAAATTTTGAATTTATATTTATATCAATTTTAGAACATATAAAGTATATATTATAATAATCCATAGGCATAAACAGTCAAAGAAAAATTTTTTAAATCACAAATTTTTCAAAGTTTCTATGGAATGCACCATATTATAAATTTTTTCTAATACTTTAATTAGATAAAACTATTTAGAGTGGCACAGCAGGAACAAATCATTTATGGCTCAGTTTACCAAATAAGGCTTGATGCATCTGTAGTCAATCTTGGTGAAACAGCTTATCAGCCAATCTTAAAGTTTGGATACAATGGTGATTTGCAAGTGGATTCAATAGAAAAAAATGGAGTAAGATTTTGATGCAAAACATAGTTATTAGAATTATAATTTTTTTGTATACATTTTATTATTTCAATTAAAAGTTCCAATTCTAGTATAATATGAATTTAATCTAGATTCCTATAAAATGGGAAAAGTTACCAAATGAAGTTTCATTTTTGCTTCAATATATGCTTAAGCAAAATGAAAAGGTAGGCATGACTTTATAGGTAAGCTTGATTTCACTAGTTAAAAAGTAAAATTTAATGTGCAGCATAGTGATTGCAATCTATTTCATTGCAATTTTTACATGGTAGTCAAAAAGTTTCTTCCATAAACTGTAATTTTAAAGAAAGTGCTAATAAACTAGACCAAAAAAAGTTTTAAAACATAAAAAAACAATTTTCTCTTAAATGATAGATTGCTTGCCCAAACCAAACCCTCAGTCGATGTAGTGGCACTTCCTTGTAGCAGCAGGCTATAAGATAGTTGATGTAGCAGCAGGCTATAAGATAGTCGATGTAGCAACACTCGGTGCATGTAAAAAAAAAAAAAAATTTTTAAAACAGAAACACTGTTAATTAAAAAAAACTTTCTAGGTATTATTATTGGGGTTTTTTAAAAAACGATAAAACATAATGTACTTCTGCATTAATTTAATTGCTTTAACTTTTTGACGACAATAAAATGTAGCTTAATTGTCTAACTCGTGAAACTGTTGTTTAAAGAGACTTTTTTTTTTTTGCCATAAAAGTCTCTTTCTACTAGAGATAAGGAGATATATATATATATATATATATATATATATATATATATATATATATATATATATATATATATATATATATATATATATATATATATATATATATATATATATATATAAATGCAGCATTAAAGGCATACAGATGTCATAAAAAAACAGGCTTCAGTACATACATTGACTATCTTATTGACTGACGCAAGAAAGAAGAGCTGCTGTGTTGACTAAGGGTTCGGCATGAGGCAGCAATCTTTTCTTTTGTTATTCTTCCTTTTTTTTAATTAAATTTAAGTAATTGTGCTGTTAGTTATGGATTAAGTATATATATATATATATATATATATATATATATATATATATATATATATATATATATATATATATATATATATATATATTATATATATATATATATATATATATATATATATATATGCATATATGTATATATGTATATATTTATATATATATAAATGGGCTATTCTAGACCCTTTTCAACAGCGTTAAGTGTATTTCATCTATTAGGCTGGCGCAGATGTATTTTTAATACATTGTTTCCAGTTTAGGATGTTGAATGCTGGATCTTCTTGACTCGATGCATGGGTTTTGCTTGTGTCTCTGTTTTTATGACTAGGCAACTCATTCTATTGTCTCCTAATGAGGGTACAGCTCTAAAACTTAGTTTTATGGTTCTGAGGCTGGCTGGCAGTCAGGTTTTCTGAACTCTGTGGTAGCTCTCAGAGAGGCTGATTCCATCAACAGCTGAAAAATATCAAAATACTAACAATGCCATGTTGCGCATGGATGGTGTCCCTATTTGTACTTTTAGTGTGCATTGCCAAGGCCACATTGGAGCCCTTTGTTATGGGTTAGGGTTTATTAATAGTAATGAGGCAATTTCATGGGCTATAAAACAGTGTACTGAGTACTATCTATGTTTCGAGTCAAGTTTTTTAACAAATTTAAAAATGAATAAAGTAACAAAAACTATAAAACACAAAAAGCCACGGTCATCACCAAATTCGCTAAACCTATCATTCAATAATATTCGTGGTCTTCGAAGTAATTTTTTTTCTATTAAGTCTTATCTCTTGTAAAGTTCACCAGATCTACTTGCTTTTTGTGAGACTAATTTGAGTTCAACTGTCTCATCTTGTGATCTTGTTAATGGTTATCTTCCTTTAATTCATAAAGACTTCAATAGTCACATGCTTGGCCTGGACATTTACATTTGTAAGAATTCGCCCATTTGTCACAAAACTAGGTTTGAATCCACAGACTTCTCTTTTATGTGCCTTCTTTTAGCACCACTTCCCTCTATCACCTTTTTCTTTGTTCTATATCGCTCTCCCTCATCTCAAGACTGCACTCTACTTGATGTTGTTTCTGATCATATTGATCAAACCCTCTCTCTTTATCCATCAGCCAATATTATTGTTGTTGGTAACTTTAATGTTCATTAGACTGAATGACTTGGCTCTAGTGTCAGTGACTCTGCAGGCATTAAAGCCCACAACTTTTTCCTTTCTCAATACCTAACTCAAATAGCCACTTTTCCAACTCGCTTTCCAGACAACCCGAATCATTTACTTTCTCTACTCGACTTATGTCTTGTTTTTGAACCTAGTCAGTGCTTAGTTTCTCCACATTCACCCTTAGGTGCTTCCAATCATGGTTTAGTCTCTCTAAAACTATTATCTCATTCTTTTTTATCATTAGAATCCCCCTATCATCGTACATCTTACAACTACCTTAAACCTGATTGAGACTCTTTCCGTGATTTTCTTCATGATGGCCCTTGGGTAGAAATCTTTTGTCTTCCTTTTGAAATGTGCTTCTTACATAACTTCGTGGATTTAGGCTGGCATGGAATCCTTTATTCCCTTTTGACGATTCCAGGTCACTCTTCTCCATGGTGTTCCTCACATTGTGCTGCTGCAATTGCCAATCAAAACCATTACTTTCATATCAGCAAAACAATTCTTCAGAAAAGAGAGGTCTGTTTATTACTGCAAGAAACCATTGTAAAAAGGTTTTGTCTAACGCCGAAACCCGCTATTCTCAGATCATGAAATCTTGTATTTCATCACAAAAATTAGGCTCTTGTGACTTCTGGAGAATCTTTAATAGTATCAATAATAAGGGCAAGTCTGTAATTCCACCTCTTTTGTATGGTTCAGACTTTGTCACCTCACCTAAAGACAAAGCTGAATTGTTTGCTAAGAACTTTTTATCAATATCATCTCTTGATTCCACTAGTTGCGTTCTACCTGATATAGCCGTCAAACAGGTTGGTCTATTGCTCGACATCCGTATCACTCCAGCTTCTGTATCTAAAGTGATTTCCTGCTTAAACTCTTCTACAGCTTGAGGCTCGGACAATATCCCTGTTATAGTCTTGCAGTGTTCACCAGAGCTGTCGTCTCTCCTTTCAAAACTATTCAACAAGTGCTTATAAGAGTCTTGTTTTCCAGCCTGCTGGAAAGCAGCATCTGTTATCCCTGTTTTTTAAAATTCTGGAGAGCGATCTGATTCATCGAACTACCGTCCCATTAGTCTTCTTTCATATTATCATAAGCAAGGTTTTTGAATCTTTAATTAACAAACACTTCATCTCTCATCTTGAATCTAATAGCTTACTTTCTGATCATTAATATGGATTTCGATCTTATCATTCTACAGCTGATTTGCTAACAGTAATAACCGATAGGTTTTTTTGCACATTAGATGAAGGTGGAGAGGTTAATGCCATTGCTCTTGATATTTCTAAAGCATCTGATAAATTTTGGCATGCTGGTCTTTTCCATAAGCTTTCTTCTTACTGTGTTTCTGGAAATATCTTTAAGATTATTGAATCCTTCCTTTCCAATTGTAGTATAAAAGTTGTCCTTGATGGACAGCCTTCTTCTTATTCTGTAACCTCAGGGGTTTCTTAAGATTCAATCCATGGCCCCATACTCTTTTTAGTTTACATTAACGATCTTCCAAATATTCTCACATTTAAGGTGTCATTGTTTGCTGATGATACCACCATTTATTCTTGTCACGCTAAGAAGCCAACTCCCTCTGATTGCTTACAGTGGGCATTTGAGCTTGAAAAGGATCTGACTTCTGCTACAGCATGGGGCTCACAGTGGCTGGTGAACTTTAATTCAGATGAAACTCAATTTTTTTCAGCCAATTGTTATTGCGATAATTTAGACCTTCCTATATTTATGAACGGTAATGTACTTGATGAGTCATCTACCCTTCATCTTCTAGGATTAACTCTTCTGATCTTTCTCAGAAACCATATATTAAATCCATTGCAAAATTAGCATCTGCTAAGGTTGCATCTATTTATCGAGCTTGACACTTTCTTACTCTGGATTTTTTTCTTTATCTCTATAAATTTCAAATCCGGCCTTGTATGGGATACTGTTGCCATATCTGGGGCAGATCTTCTAATGATGCCCTTTCTCTTTTAGACAAGGTGCAAAAACACATTGTAAACATAGTTGGACCTGCTCTTGCAGCCAACCTTCAACCTTTGTCACATCGTCGTAATATTGCTTCTCTTTCTCTCTTCTACAAATACTATAATGGGCACTGCTCTAAAGAGCTAGCGTCTCTTTTGCCATCTACTAAAATTTATTCTTGTATTACTTGTCATTCAATTATGTCTCATCCTTTTTCTGCCATCTACTAAAATTTATTCTCATATTACTTGTCATTCAATTATGTCTCATCCTTTTTCTCAAATTTTTGCTCAAATCTTTTAGCAAAAATTTGAGCAGCATTTGGGCCCCACCCAAATTTAGAAATTAAGGACCTTTTTCTTATTTTTTTTTATTTGTTTTTTTTTAATTTAATACAGCAAGTATTGTTTTATTCGCAAAAACAAATACCTACATACAGCAATGTTTCCACCAAATTCCCTTATGGCAAGCATGGGGGTACTGCTGTTCAAATTATTTTCCTAGAACAGCCCCTGATGTATGTATATATATATATATATATATATATATATATATATATATATATATATATATATATATATATATATATATATATGTATATATATACTGCTTGAGTTTTCAGTTTACAAAAGGAAAATTTTGTAATAAATATTAAATTGTAAAGTTTATAAGTTAGTCATGTGATCGGGGCAACATGACTTTCAATTTGTTTTCTGTTGATTTATTCAGGTTGACATAGCTATAAAGTTTTCTATGCCAAAAACAAGTCCATCTTCAGATATCTACAGCTTTACATTTGAAGCATTAGCGTAAGTATCATTATGTTATGCAATAATATATAAATAATATATAAATATAATTCAAATATAATTAATCTGATTTATAAATACAAATATATGATATATATATATATATATATATATATATATATATATATATATATTATTTAAAATATATATATTACTTTAGTCAGTTAATACATATATATATATATATATATATATATATATATATATATATATATATATATATATATATACACACACATGCATTTACATATATATATATTTTTTATTTCAATTCATCTCCTCAAGACCATGAAGTCCACTACAGTCGAGGAGGCTACTTTAGTTGTAGTTACAACCCTCTCTTAACTCTATAACTCCAAATCACAAGCCTTAATAAACAAGATTGCTGCACAGAGAAACAAGTTGAGCGTGTTACTACCAGGGACGTGGTCGGGATCAGATTTGGAACTTCTCGCTTATGAGGCGAGCGCTCTACCACTACACCACTACCACTTTATACACACAGACATATATATATATATATATATATATATATATATATATATATATATATATATATATATATATATATATATATATATATATATATATATATATAATTTGATAATACAATAATACAAATAACATAATTTATATTTTATATATTTTTAATTGTATTAAATTATTACATTTACAATTATTACATTATAAATACATAAACATAATATAATCTTACATATCAATACATTTTATAAATATATATAAATAAATATTAAATCTAAATTATTTGAGAAGAATATGTCTTTTTGGGAAGCCATTTTGGCAAAACTTTCTCTAAAACTTTGTGTTTACATCCATGTATTTTTAGACAAGCAACTGTTTCTATTGGGTAATTATTATGTAACATTTTGTAAAAATCAAATTGAAATACTAATCTACTGCAGGAAAAAAGTTAAAGCTGCGTGTTAAAAAACAAAAGGAAGAGCTTACTAACTTAACAAAATATTATGACAACAAGTTTTTAAAGGAATAAGACATTTAAAGGAATAAAATATTCAAAGGAATTAGACATTCAAAGGAATAAGACATTCAAAGGAATAAGACATTCAAAGGAATAAGACATTCAAGTAAAATTTAAAGTTCAGATTTTTAAATATATTTTAACAGTTTAATTGTGTATCATAAAGGCTAAATGGCTTTTTTATCTGAATCATCACAATATTTAAATTTGCATATTATTATATTTAGCCTATAACAAATATTCGCAACAAATATACATGCAAATGTATGTATGTGTAGTAGTAGTTTTTTTATTTAAAAACCTTCCTAAAAACTTTTGAATTTTGTTGTAATGTAAGTTTCAAGAAATTAGTTATTTAATAAGTGACTGGGATCCTGGCCCCGTCCCTGGCTGAAAATGAGACTTTTTGCAAACCCGGCTTCGATCCCTGCAAAATTATAAGATTTAGCAGGGTTTAATAGCCGGGGCTAGAAAAAAATTTTATAATACTTTATATATTGTAATTTTATGCTTATATTTACTATTTATTAAGTACTGGCATATATTTGTATATTTTTAAACTCTAATTTTTTTAAAAACAAGATTACAAGCAACCACTATTAAGTTGAGTTACTTTAAAAAAAAGAATAAGTTAAAATACTAGGAAACGGTTAACTAAAGACTTAAAAAGTTGTAGGTTGTATAAATAAGGAAAACATGAATATAGGTAAGAGTTATAAGGTTTTTTTGATGTGAAAGAAAAAAAAAACTGAATTAATAAAAGTTTTTATAGCATGAAGGGTACAGTAAAAAGATGCAACTTGTTGAATAAGAAGCCAAATAAGAATTTTAGTTTATCGTAATAGAGATAGCTTGTTTGAGCATTGAACATGGTAGTATTTGTAGAAAAAAGAAGGAAATGTAACGTTTCAACAATGGGAGAACGGCTTAAGCTTGACAGATAAAGCAGGTCTAATTAAATTTACAATGTGCTTTTAGACTGAGATTAAGAGAGTTGTTATTCATCAATATAGGAATGCCAACATTATTGCAAAAGTTTTTTGCAGTAAATAAATGACTTTTGTTGTCTAACAAAAATTGTGGATTTTAAATCCAGAATTTAAATCCATAAGCCACTGCAAAGCTTAGGCTGTTGTGTACAGAAGAGAGAACAAAATAAAAATCAGCTGCTTGTTCTAAGCAATCAAAAATCACCACCTTAGATGTAAAACTTACATGAAAATCAATATTGTATATTAGAAACAATACAGGAGCAAAGATAGAACCTTGTGCTACCCTTAAAATTACTTTAAATAAAGAAAAGTGTAAGCCTTCAAGAATAACTTTAGTACTGCAGAAAGAAAGAAATTAATCTCAAAACCTTTATATAAAAAAACTAACAACAGAGTGAAGACTATTCGTAGTGTAGTCGGAGAGGTCAAAGTGTTTTCTAGAGTTTTAAAAATTCGAACTACTTATTTAGGACTTTTTAAAAATTTAGCAAAAATTAAAGTGAGTTCTGGAAAACACTTTTTTAAGACTCTGATGGAAATCTTGACTGGAGCACAAACTGTAGAAGTTTTTAATTGAGAATTAACTTTAGCATTGGAAGCCAGAATGATTTAAATGTTTAACAATGGGTTAATCTGTTTAACTGGCAGGAAGAGTATAGATTCAAGAGTCAAATTAGAGTAAGATTTCTTTGCATATAACTCTGCTTTATTCTGGGGAGAAGTAAAAAGATTAGACCTATGGATTAGAGATTAAATGTTAGACTTACTTAAGTTAATTACACTGATGAAAACTAACCATAAGTCTCTAGAACCTAACATCTGAGATAAGATACAAGATTTAGTAAACTGAGAATAATAGAGCTTAACATTAGATAAGACTTTTTACATTGGCTTCTTGGAATAATAAAAGGACATTTGTTCTTTAAGAGAGATGTTCTTGTAAAGAAGATGTAAAAAATGATAAATTATATATTAAATAAAGTTTAATAAAACAACTACTTAAGATGGTGAAAAATGTGGAGTAGAATGAGGCTTGACTTAAAATTAAAGAGAAGGAATGAAAACTTAAAAATTTTATTCCAGGAGGAATAAAGGTTCCGAGATGCTCTTTATGCATACATATTATGGAAATAAACATTTATGTTTGTTATTTATTTAGATGCTGGCATACAATATCCTTACATGTTTATATAAACTTTAGTATTTATATCGTATGGTATTTACCGAAAGATGATCAGATCATGATCATGATGATGATGGTAATGAGGATTTTTATGATCATGTTGATCATAATGATGTTTATACATGCACAGGCCTTTGCGGAAAGAAATGAGTGAGAGAGTGGCGAAAAGCTCTCCTAAAACGAGCAATGCAAGCTATGCGAGCTGCTCCTCTAAACAGCTTCTTAGGAAAGCTTTTGGTTTTTGTGAGAGCTATCTGCTTATTCATTAAAAAAGTTGCTTATTAGTTACAAAATTTTGGTTTATACGTGTTAAAAGCCCAGGGCGCAACAAATTGTTTTTTTTAATGAACGTTGAATGATGACATTTAAGAGATATATGTCATATAAGTAAGTTTTATTTTCAAATTATTTTTATTCTAGTTAATAAGTTATTAGATATATCAATGGTGTTTATTGAATTTAATCAATTTTTATTTCTTCAAAACAATTTTTTACGCATTTGCAAAGTGCGTTAATATTAATGATAATTAATATGCAATGACCTAACGATTATAAATTCTTATTCATTGATACTAAATAATATATTTTTCTCAATTAAGTTGGCTAAATTTGTTTACAAATAAAATAAAGTACAAACTTATAAAAATTAAAATAATAGGAGCTAAAAATAAAAGTTGTTTTGACATTTCTTTTTTAAAACTTTTAAAAATAATATCATATTAAGTATTTAATAATAAGTTAATAAAAATATCATATTATTGGCGTTGTTAAATGAACAATAAATAAAAACTATAATAAACATATTATAAATAAAAAATTATAGGCAAATTCTAACGTTTGCATACCCAAAAATATAGAAATTTTTTTTGTCTTTTTTATTAAACAAAAGTTTGCACTTTCATAGATTTGTCGTGCCAAAGCATATGTTATGTTAATATTACAAGAATATATACATAAAAAGTGTCATTTATTGCAGCATGAAAAAGTTCTTTAGACAGACCTTGTTTTTACTGCTTATAAAAAAAAGTTTTATATTTTCTTTTTGTAATAGAATGCAGGCATTTTAAGAATTATTAAAAATAATTATTAAAATGATTGCATTTTTTATTTTAGTTACAATGATAATTATACTTTTGAAAAAAAAAATTATACTTTTGAGAGCCATAAATTGCTCTCCTAAACTGATTCAGGGGAGTGTGGGCGAGAGCAAGAGCTAAAGCTCTCACTTCCTGCTGAGGCCTGTATGCATATATATAAAAAATATAACATGAATTTTGAATTAAAAAAATATACTTTAGAATGTATAAATGTTTATGTAGCCTTGTTCAAAAACCCTGCCCCGGCCCCGGCTATATTTTATCAAACCTGGCCCCAGCCACGGTCAAATATCAACTCCGGTTGCTTACTAAAGTTATTATAATCTTTGGTAAATAATGGTAAAGGTGTAGTGGCAGAGCCCTAGCATTGTAAGTAAGAGTGTTCAAACTCACCACAACAACAGAAATATCATGCTCAGATTGTTTTCCAAGCAGCAACCTTGTTTGCCATAGTTTGTGTTGTAAAGTATTTTTTACAGTATGATAGTTTGATACATGACAGAAATGTTAGTTGTTAAAAACGGTGAATGGGGCAAAAGTCTTCCATTTTTTAAAGCTTACGTTTATTTATACTTATTTGCCCTTCCCCGTTTGGCATGCCTTATTTGACATTCCCTAACATATGTCCTTTAACTAAAATTTTCAAAATGTTATATCAAGCCTTTGTCAAAGACAGATAATATATATATATATATATATATATATATATATATATATATATATATATATATATATATATATATATATAATTTTTATCTGGTCCTTGAAGATGTATAAGTCTAAGCTCATTTACACAAAAGCAAACGACGAAACAGAATTTGGCATCTGAAGAAAAACTTTGTCATTCTGACTTAAAATCTTTATCAGTTTTTACCGCTTTTTTCATAACATTTACTGTATAATTTTTAACCTGGAACTACATATACATTTTTTTTAACCTATACTAAATCAAAGTAAATCTTTACATTCCTTAAAAAACTAATTTAAACGGTAATTTACTATAATAAATATTAGATTACTTTTTATAACACTTATTCATTAAAAAATTTAAAATCTGCAGAGGTAAGCGTTTAATAGTTTATACTAATTTACATTTAATAGTTTATAAATAAACAAATTTTTATATATTTTTTTAAAACTTATTTTTTTTTAGGGAAGAGGGTGGGGCTGAGCAGCATTTTTCCTTTTTCTTCTCTTGTTTCATAACTATTTATAAAATTAATTTAAAATATTTTAAACTAGTCACTAAATAATACTAAACTAACTTGTTTTTTATTAATTTTTTGTTTTAAAAAAATGTTTTTTAAAACATTTCAATTTATTCATATCCAGTTGAATTAGCATAAATTTATTTGGTGATCTGAAAAATGATCTAAAAAAATTTTTATTTTTTGTTTAAATTTGTTTGTTTATTGTTGTATCTTTAACATTCAAAACAAAGTTAACAAATTCTGAGACATAAGAGTTGCATTGAATGATGAACATTTAATGGTGACATTGTCTTAAATGATTTCTTTTTTTTTTTAGTTTAGGATTAGAATTTTTAGTTTGTGGTCCCAGGATCTACACACTAAAAACAGGTTTTTTTTAGTTTTTCTGTTTGCTTTTTCAGCAAAGGAATCGATCTAAATCCAGAAAATAACAAAGCCATGATAAGCAAACCAACCAAAGTAGAGACATGTGTAAGAGTTAATGGGTAATGTTTTTTTATATAAATTTTGTTTTACTAAAATTTGTACAACTAAATATTATTGTAGCAAAAACAAAATGTACTTTTAAAGAGATCCTAAGTCATTTAGTTTTTTTAAATTTGATTTAATATCATTATGATTCATTATGAGTCATGATTATATATATATATATATATATATATATATATATATATATATATATATATATATATATATATATATATATATATATATATATATATATATATATATATATATATATATATATATATATATATATATATATAAGTCATTTAGTTTTTTGATATGTAATGACATGTTTGACTTTATTTATACTAAATGTCTTTATACAAATGAAGTTTGTTTTTAATTAAATTTTTTTTCAATTTTAAAATTCATCAGTTCAATGGCAGCAGTAAAGTTTAGTTGTGTTTATCACGGTATAAGTTAATCTGGTATTTCAATGTGATGAAACACATCTATCTTTAATAAGATAAACTTGTTTTTAATTGTGACATAGTATATGTTATGATGGTTTTGTATGAACTATATAATATACTATATACACTTTTAAATTTTTATAATAATTTAAAGATATGTTGTAATCAATTTTTAAGCATTCTTTAATTTTTTTTTTTTTTTTTTTTTTTTTTTTTTGTCATTTTGATCAATTGTATAGAAACATTCAGTAAATGTAATTCAGTAATTTCAGTAAATGTAATTTCAGTAATTCAGTAATTGTAAATTCAGTAAATGTAATTCAGTAAATTCAAGTATAAATTCAGTAAATGTAATTCAGTAAATTCAGTAAATCTGCAATAATAATTGCATTTGTTAATTATATCATTAGTAATAATGTGTGACCAATCCAACAATGCCATTGTAAAATTCAACTGAACAATCAGCTTTTTATAACCATTTTTATTAATCTTTATAATAAGAATTAACTTTTTTCTTTTTTTCTGACTTTTTATAACTAACAGTAACAGTAAAGAGCAAATAGTTTCTACGTAAGTTACAAATTACATTCTACAAATATTATTTAAAATATTTTTAAGATAATATTTGGACTGATGTGTTAATTTAACATAAACTCATCTTACTGCAAGAAATATGTATCTTATATAATAACATAAATAATCTTTATGCAAGTAAAACTTTTGATTAGTAATCCAAAAAATCAGTAAACTTTTTTTATGCTGAAAAATTTTTAAAGTAAAGAGAAAAATCTTGTGATTAGGGAGGCCTAATGTCCCAATCAAGTGTTGAGTAAAATTCAATATTTGGTTGTTCTCCAACTCAGTCCAATAATTTATACAATTTTTTGAAAAATATGTTTTGGATTTAAGTTTTGAGTCATTTTCTTCTGAAAAAATAAATGGTTTCTTCTTAACCCATCATTCCGAAGGTGCTGCATATTTTTTTAAGTGTACAAGTAAACTACTTTTATCATTACTCCCTTTATTTGTACAAAGTCACCTGTAGCATTCCAACCAAAACAGTCCCATACCATGTTTTTCAGTCGATAATACACACTATTTTATCATACATTCAACGATTTTTTTCAGGCAAACAATCTTATCTTGAAACCGAATATTTAAAACTTTGACATGTTAGTCCACCTTTACAGTCATTGATGGTCTGTTTTTTATACAGTTTTGCGCGCTTTAGCTTTTTTATTATTCTTATGATTTTTATTAAAATGCTTTTAATTTATTTAATTGTGCAAAAATAAACATAAAAAATAATTAAATAAAAAATAGCATTTTTAAAAAAAAGTTAATGTCATTCGAATAATTATGAACAGTAGTATATATAAATCCTTTGGAACCTCCAGTTTGTGGGTTTCTATAAGGGTTGAAAATCCTTTTCTCAAAACTTTCTAAACCCTTTTTTTCTCTCAAAGAGTTCCAGAACACCTTTTTTAGAACCCTATTTATTTTGGGTTCCAGAAACCCACCAGTTCTGAACCATCTTTTTAAACCAGGGCTCTATACAAAAAAAAAAAAAGAGAGGTTTGGATTTTTTTAAATCTAGAAATGTTTTTGTTTTTAAAATTTGCCACTCAAATCAATCATAAATCATAACTTATTTTCTTAAATCAATTATGAATTATAACTTATTCTCTCTGCTTTTATAAAAATTACATTTTTTTATGTAATGTATCATGTTTTGCATTACATATACATATATTCTTTACATTTTTATTTTTACTTAATTACTTGTAAATGTTATTTGAGTAAGGTATTTTATTATAAGCATTATTTATTTAAACCACTTTGGGTGAAAAATGGGTTCTGGAACCTCTGGTTATAATTGAGGTTCGGAACCCCTATTAGTTAAAAAAGAAAAACAGTAAAAAAAGAAAAATATTCTGAATTTAAAAAGTAGCAAAACGTTATAGTCTATAAAGTTGTGTTTTTATATAAATAAATATGTATAAATAAGTTGCCGCAATTATTATAAAAGTTTTTACTTAAAGTGTTCCTGATTTGTCTACTTTAAACACAAAAAGTTTGAGAGCTTTTTTTTGCCATAAATGATAAACCTAAATCTTATTTTATGTTAATATATAATAAATAAATGAGTATATATATATATATATATATATATATATATATATATATATATATATATATATATATATATATATATATATATATATATATATATATATATATATATGTGTGTGTATACTAGTTGAATAGCTTGCACGATCGTGGGAAGAATTAGTAAACGCTTTAGTTATTTTTTTAATCTTTATAGCTATGTAGCTTATATAGCTACTAAATGGTCTGCTAAATAGCCTGATATATAAGTACTACATAACCTGCAGGCTACCTGCCCTTTGTAGAATACATTTAAAATTATTTGTAAAATACAAATAATTTTAAACCTATTCTACAAAGCAGTGTTGAATTTTCTTAAAATAACAGGCAAGTAAACATGAACCGTGTTTACATTAAAAATGTTTTAGTTTGTATTATTACATAATAAATTAATTTATTATTGTTCTGTTTTTTTAAGAATATTGATTTTTTTTTAGTATTTTTTTTTTTTTTTGTCCTTTTTTTATTAATTTATAATTAACTTTATTATTTTTGATTAAACTTTATTTTTTTTAGAAATGTTGAACCAAGTGTTGTTCTTTTTTATGACAATGCTGTCATGCCTGGTAATAATCCAGATTTATCAGAAATTGGTGCAGAAGTTAAATATATGTTTTTTGTAAGGAACTTTATTTTAAAAAAAAATAACTTTTTATTTTAATCTATTATTATAACTCTAAAAAACAAATATTTATAAATTTGTTGTGTTTTTATTTCATGTTTGTTTTTAATTATTGTTTATTTATGTTTGTCTTAATTATTATTTTCTAGTCAATATGGTGTGCTAAATTAAAATTTTTATTTTTAAATCTTTCTATATACTTTTTATATTAAAAATTACCTTTGATTGCATTTTATATTAATAAAAAAAATTGTCACTTTTAGTTTTTTATTAAACATAAATTATTTTAATATATTTAATGATAATTTTTAAAATTATAGGTATAAATAATGATGATTATTTATAATAATCATCATTATTTATACTTTAATTGATAATTGATTCTGCAATGCTTTTTTGAAACATAAAACCATATTAGCTTGATATCATCAAAAAAAAAAAAAGTTAATATGACATTAAAATGATTTTTTTATATATGATTTATTTTGATGATTTCAAAATAAATAGATATAAAAAAAAGTTAATATGACAGGCACAAGTTTAAAGGTGGTAAAATGTCACTTGAAACCATATTCAATCAATCATCAATCTAACTTTTTAGTTAAATGAGGAAGGAATCTCTCTCTCTCTCATATATATATATATATATATATATATATATATATATATATATATATATATATATATATATATATATATATATATATATATATATATATATATATATATATATATATATATATATATATATATATATATATATATATATATATATATGTATGTATGTATATATATATATATATATATATATATATATATATATATATATATATATATATATATATATATATATATATATATATATATATATATATATACAAATAGTATTGCGTACTAAGGTAAGCAATCTGACATCATACTGAAATAGCCTGCTGCTGGGGGCTTCAGTACATACATCGACTGACAAATAGCCTGACTTGCAGTAGAGTGCTGCTACATTGACTGAGGGTTTGGGATGGGGAAGCAATTATTTCATTCATCATTCTTTGTTTTTTCTTCTTTTTCGAAAAAGTTAAAATTAATATATATATATATATATATATATATATATATATATATATATATATATATTAATTTAATACATCAAGAAATATAGTTTCTCTCAATACATATAATTTTATTGTAAAAGGGTTATGGATACCAGCATCATCAGCTTACTATTACAATAATTTTTAATCGTTATAGTTTATATAAAATTGTTACTATTGACGTCAGCAGTTTAATGGCTTCTTTTGATTTTTAAATTTTTAAAAATGGTGTCTAAAACATAGTTTTGATATATTGGCCTTCATCAAGATTAATTTCGCCGTTTTCGTGCAGACCACATGTTGTTTTGTATTTCTAGTGCCTCTCTAATTTTTCTTTTAAACTTTTTATTTTCTACCTTTAACAATCTTGTTTTTCCCAAATAATATTTTCTTTGCAAAAGGTTTTATGAAATGCTAATGCAGATTGATTAGGTTTGTTTTCATTAATGCTTATCTGATGTTGATGCCTTCGGGTAATTGCCTGCATTTTTGTTTCACCTATGAAAACTTTAAAGCAGTTGCATTTTATTATATAGGTTCCAGGCTGGCTGTTACTTGGTAGCTTTGATTTGTTTTTTGATGTTAATAAAGATCTTAAATTTGGGTTTGATTTAAATACTGCTCTGTATCCTGCTTTTCTGAATATTTTTCAAAGTTTTGGTGAAAGGCCTGGTACCCATGGTAAAGACACTACAGGAAGATTATTGCATTCTGATATCTCTCTCTCTCTCTTTATATGTATATAAATATATATATGTATATATACACACACTTACTAAAGCGTATTTTTATAAGCATTTGCTCACTTTTTGCTTACCTTAATCCATTCAGCTTTTGTAGAAAAAGAAGAAAAAAAAACGAAGAATGATGAATGAAACAATTGCTGCCCTATCCTAAACTCTCAGTCAATGTAGCAGCACTCCACTGCGAGTCAGGCTATTTGTCAGTTGATGTATGTACTGAAGCCCCCAGCAGCAGGCTATTTCAGTATGACGTCAGATTGATTATCTAGTACACAATACTATTTGTGTATATATATATATATATATATATATATGTATATATATATATATATATATATATATATATAGTCCTATATTTATAATGTTGTTTTAAATTAAATGCTATATATATATGTATATGTTTAATATATATATATATATATATATATATATATATATATATATATATATATATATATATATATAATATATATATATATATATATATATATATATATATATATATATATATATATATATATATATATATATATATATATAGTAGAAAAGTCTCTTCCATAAATGTTGTTTTAAATTAAATGCTAATAAACTAGACCAGAAAAAGTTTAAAAAAACTTGAATAAATTTTTTTTTTAAATGATAGTTTTCTTGCCTAAAGCAAAGCCTCAGTTGATGTAGCAGAAATCCCTTGTTACAAAAGGCTATAAGATAGTTGATGCTAATAGTTGATTCGCATGATAAAGTATTATAAATCGCATGATTGAATATTATCGCATGATTGAATATTATAAAACATGATTGAATGCTATACTGTTATATAATATATATGCTATATAAAACATGATTGAATGCTCGCATGATTAAATATTATAAAACAATAAAAAAACAAAAACACCATTAAATAATAAAAACTAGTCATTATTATTGCAGTTTTTTAAAAATCAATAGAACCTAATATACCGCATTTTCATACTTGTTTTAGCTTTTGAATGACATTAAAATGTCGCCTGATTGTTAATGTTGCTTAAATTAAATAAATATCGTTCAATAAATAATTCTCCTTTATTCTAATGTACTTCATTTCTTCACTCAGGCATTCACTACTCGTGTGTGACCATTCAGCAAATTTTATATGCCAAAGTTTTTGCATAATAATCCATTCCTAATCATAATCATCAATAACACAAGAAAGTTTATAGTGATTTTTTAAGACTATTTTGCAATGATTTCCTGCTAATACATTTCCGTGATAAACTTGTGGCCCAACCTTTTTAAATCATCAAAGGTCTGAAGAAGAAAACTTTTATGAAACCATTTTTTTGTTTTTTTCACGGCCCTTACACTCTATCTGCAAGCGATTATAGTCCACATTTAAAACTTCATATAAGAGCAATTTTCTCAGAAATATAAAAATAAAAATTTTTTATATCTTAACCCTGACATCTTAAACACTCATAATTCTCTGTATCACATATTACACTGATTCCAAACGTAATTTGAAAAACAGAAAGGCACTATATTTTCTTAAGTTATTATGAAAAAAATTACAGGAACAATAATTGAACAATAAAACTTATCGAAAGTTCTAAAGTTTCTACCATGTCTATTCACAAAAGTTCTCATTGTAACCTTTCTTTTGTGACATCTAGAGGTTGTTCTTCTTAAGATTTTACAATTAGCTGGTGTGTAAGATATTGAGACATTGCTTCTTAGATATTATAATTTAACTAGATCTGTAAATTGCTAGGAAAGCAAGTAGCAGAACTCTGGTGTCCAAAAACATCATAGGTAAAATTAAAATCTTCACCTAAGAACAGCTTAATTTTTTTGCTAAATTGAAAAATTTAAAATCTGATGATTAAATTTTATGGTCATTGGTCATCCTGCCCAAGAATAAAGTTAATATTCGCATGACAATCTGAGCATTAAAACATACAAAATAAATTATACAAACAAGATGATTTAGAGTTAATAACTTCAAAATAGCATATCATATATGAATTATCCCACCTTTGTCTCCAGCAAAAAGCAGAGGATTTTGATAAAAGAAGATTTATTAACTTACAAGATGTTAGTCTAATTATCCAAATACAAAAATTATGTGTAAGATTGTTTATTTTATACATCAAAAATTGCCTCGCTGAAACAGTTGTTTTCATAAAATTTGTTTGATAATAGCTCCAGGTCAGGTTCAGGATCATTATATTCACCTTGCTACTAGTATTATGTAACCCACTACTACCTGTCTCATGCATGCCCTGCAGCTATATAGGGTTTGCTTTTAAAAGGTGTCTTGATAAAAATTGATAAAAGGTGTCTTGATAAAAATACTCATCTTAGCAGATATTAATTGCATCCTCCTAGACAAAGACAAAAGAGGTAAACAGAATAATTCTGCTGACCAACCTCAAACCCCTTCCTCATCTATATGACTGACGTAGATGTAAACCTGTGTTACCATGTTTCCTGTTTAGGATGATGAATGCTCTATCATTATGACTCTACTCATAGATTTTTGCTTGTGTCTCCTTTCTGAGGCTGTGCTTTATCTATGTTCTCTTTAAAATTTAAATCACACCAAAAATAACCCTAAATACTAAACATAAAAAGTCATTCCCATCACGTAGCTGTTTTAATATATCTTTTATAAATATTTTGCAAAGTGAATTCCATCAGTTGAATGTTACTTCTAGCAGACTTGCTTGCTCTTAGTTAGACTAATTTTAATTCCACTATTCCTTCTTTAGATCGCAGTGTTGATGGGTACTATCCTTTGATTCACAAAGATTCCAATAATCACATGCTTAGTTTGGGTTAGGTTTAGGGTTATAGATGACTTGCAAATGTTTACACTCTCGTTTTTAAAAAAAGATACATGTGGATACTTGTAGGCAGAAAAAACAAATATTCAGAAAACTTCCAACAAAAACATTACAAAATTTGGATCTTCTGTTAGAAACTCTATTCACTGTTATACTTTTTAGCAAGATTTAAAATATTTCAACAAGTTGCTGTGTAACTAGTTGTAACTCTGTAACTAGTTGTAACTCTGTAATTGTGTTGTAACTCTGTAATTGTGTTGTAACTCTGTAACTGTGTTGTAACTCTGTAACTGTGTTGTAACTCTGTAGCTGTGTCTGTAACTCTGTAACTGTGTCTGTAACTCTGAAAGATGTTAAAACTAATGATTAACTAAACTAAGGATTTAAAGTTTATACATTTTTTTTTGAAAGTCAATTTTTAAAAGATGTGAAAGTGGATTAAAGCTAATAATTAACCCATCTGATTTCAAAACTCCAATTTCTAGTTTAATCTGAAAAAGAGAAGAGAAAAGTATCCTATGAAGCATTATTTAAAAAAAAAACAATCATTTGACTATCAACCATCCAAATATCGTGCTTATAAGTCCAAGTCCATAAAATAAAGATTTTTTGTTTTTCTGTTGTAACCCTGCAATAATGTAATATCTTTAAAATAATAATATCAATTTTATGCTAGAGTTACCGATATGAATTTTGGTCAAATTGTGGAGCAATAAAGAAAAAATGTTTTTGAAAAAAAGTTTCAAGACTATTATTGATTATATATTATTGATTGTACTGAAGCTTTTATTGCAAGAAAAAATTTCAACTTTTCAATAGCAAATATGGTTCAATTAAAAACATATTTATACATTAAATTTGTAACTGGTGTATAATAAAAAACAGCAATTAGTTTGCTGAGGCAATTAGTATATTATCTGCTGGTTGTGATGGTTGTGTATCAGACAGATTACTATATCAAAATAAGCTTTTATCAGAAGCTTAAACCTTGTGACTATATAATTGCTGACAGAGCTTATATTGTTTTCAATGTTATTTAATAACCCTGATAAAGTGTGCTGATATTGCTTACTAATGTTATTTAATAACTATTGTGTTTGTTTATTATATAAAATAATTTGACTGTGTCTTTAGGTTACCATATTTATTAGTTTGCTGAATAAAGTCTTCTATACCAGCTTGAGTTTTAATTTACTACTAATAATCACTTCACGAATGCTTTTAAAAATGCTATTGGGGCAACATTAAAAATCATAGCTTTTACAAAAGACTGCAATTATCTGGATGCAAAATCTAGACATGATGATATTTGATGTATAAAATCTTTCTCGTTAAATTATATGACTGTGAAGATCACTCAATTTATTAGATTACCATGTCTCTGATAACTTTTATTATCATTAATATTGAATAACTTGCTTTTCTGTATTATTATAGTATTAATATTTTTATAAAATTTAAAGGTCAGTTTAAATACAATAACTATCATTATGTCATGTGATTCATATTGTTGCATACCATTAGTTACTTTAAAACAATAGTTATAGACATCATCAAATGATTGGTTAACAAAAACTTGTTTTATTGATAAATTAAGTTGCTTTAAATTTTATATTAAGTTTAACAAAATTCAGAAGAAATAAAAACAGATTTTTTTGAACCATGTTAAACTAATTAACCATGTTAAATATAAATGCCTTTGATCATTATAATATGAGTGCAGTTAAATAATGTAAATGTATATAATCAGGGTGGCCAGTAAATTTTTATGTTCATTTTCCATTACTTTTCCTTGACTCATAAAATTATCTGACTCTTATAAAATTACCTGACTTTCCCATGAAATATTTATCAAAACTTTAGCATAAAAATCATCAAAAAATCTCACATAGCCCTTTACTTTTCCCAAAAACATTAACTTGCTTCAAAAGTGCTCTCATTGAGTCTCTCAGTGCACACATCGACGAACTACACTTTTTGAAAAATCTTAAATTTAAGCATTAGCATATTTGATTTAGTCATAGCTTTTTGCATTTTTAATAAATTTATCAATTATTTGGTAAATTTATTAAAAATGTTCATTAAACTACATTTTATATATATATATATATATATATATATATATATATATATATATATATATATATATATATATATATATCATTACAAGAATTTTAAAAATCAATGTATATTATTTCATCGCTTTTCTCCACTTTTAGTTTTTGGAGTTAATCAAAGAGTGCACTGAGATGCTCAAATAGTGATGTTATAATGAGACTTTAAAAATACATTTTTTGCAATCTTATTTTGATTGTCAATTCAAGAGTTTTGCATAATTTATTTAATTTCTTGACTTTAGAAGAATTTCCAAGTTGATGGCCACCATGATTATTAATAAAAAATATATAGATAAAAAAAAAATTATTTATAAAAAATAAATGCTGGCTACCCTGATTATTTATAAAAAATAAAAGTAAATTTATAGAGAAGCATTATATTATTATTTAGAAATTAAAAATTCAAATACATTTTAAATGAGGGTATTAGTTTTACTGCACCTCGGATGCTAAATACATTTAGATGAGGGTATTGGTTTTACTGCACCTCAGATGCTAAATTACTACTACTTAAAAATATTTAATTATGATGTTAAAAATATGGTTTATAAAATTTCAAAAGATTAAAAGCAATATGAAGCTTATAAGAATTTTTGTTGTTGTTGTTTTACGAGATCAATATATAAAAAGTGTGCAGAAGAACGTAGAATATATACATAAATGTTTTTAATAGCTCTAAAAGTTTATAAAAGTAATAGAAGTATTTATTTTTACAATATAAAAAAAATAATTATTTATGTAAACTAAAACTAATTATTTATGTAATTAGTTACATGTTTTATGTAACTAATTATTGCAATCATTCTTCATAGAGAAGACAAAATTTTAGTTAAGGGTATAAAAGAAATGCAAAAAACACTTATAAAATGTATATATATTATGAAGTTATGAATGTATACTTGTAAAGTTTTAACATTTTCTGCCTACAAGTATGTGTGTGCATCTTATTTACAAAATAACGTTGCATGGAAAGTCATCTATACATATCAATTCACCTATTTTTCATGAAATTAGGTTTATATCCTTTTATCATTCTTTTATGTGCTTCCGCTTAGCACTTCTTCACTCTATCATGTTTCTCTCTGTTCTTTATCATTCTCCTTTTTCCAAAGATTTCTAATGAAATTGACTATGCCCTTTTTCTTTACTCCTCTGCTAATATTGTTGTTATCAGTGACTATAATGCTCATCACACTGAATGGCTTGGCTCTGATGCCACTGAACCTGCTGACACTAAAGCCTATAACTTTTGATGCTACTGTACCTGCTGATACTAAAGCCTATAACTTCTGATGCCACTGTACCTGCTGACACTAAAGCCTATAACTTATGATGCCACTGTACCTGCTGACACTAAAGCCTATAACTTATGATGCCACTGTACCTGCTGACATTAAAGCCTATAACTTCTGATGCCACTGTACCTGCTGACAATTCTACTTACTAATTCTTTTTGTAATTTTCTTTGTGATGGTAGTTAGGCTAATGTCTTTTCTCTCTGATTTTTCTCAGCTGATAAATGTGCCTTCTATGTAACCTTTTGGATTCAGGCAGGAATTTTATTCCAAAAGCTTTTATTCCTTCTCGCTCTATCCAAGTCAATACTCACTCAACTCCAACCTTTGAAACTTGCACTTCAACCCTTTGGAACTCTCTCTCTCATTTTCATTTTTTCTTGACTCATACAGCCTACAACTTTTAAAGTCTTCTATTAACCGTTTCCTTGCTCTATGAATCTATTTTTTTTTTCTTAGTAACTCCCATTTTAATAGTGGTTGCTTGCAACCTTGTTGGGAGAAAATTAAAACAAAAAATTAAAAAAAAAAAAGCTTGGGATGTAGTGCATTTGATGTTACAATATCGCTTTAAAATGTTAAAAAAAAAAAAAAAAAAAGACTTTTTCTTGCTATATAAGACAAATTTAAAATTATTTTTTATAACATAGCTAAAGAAATTTCTTTCAGATTTTCATGTTAATGTTGAACTTTTGATTATTTGGCGGACTTAACAAAAATATACAAGCATTAAAAACTGACTTTTTTAAAATAGAATTATTAATATCCACCAAAAACCAGATAGAACATCGTTGATAAGTGTTTTAAAACAGAAAAGTGTTCCAAAATCATAAAAAATATTCCACTTAATGTAATAATTATTTTACAAGATGAATCTTTTATATCTTTTATTTTTTGGATTTTTTAGAATAATTTTTTATTTGAAGATTAAAGCATGTATAGAAATATTTTTTTTATTTGAAGATTAAAGTATGTATAAAAAAAGTTTTGAAAGGTTTTAAAACCGATTTAAAATTTACCAGTTTTAAAGATTTTAAAATTGGTAATTTTTAAAATTTTTTATGCAGAAGTTTTTTATTTTTTAATAAACCCATGACATAATGATAATTTTTTAATAATGGCATAATGATAATATATGTATTAAAATCTTTATTTTTAGAAGTTTTTGAATATTTTTCTTTTTAATCTGACATCATCAGATGTCAAAGTTGATGCCTGGTATTTACAAGCCTAATATTTAAGTTGCATATGCTTTCCTCCAACTACAAGGGCATATTCTTGCCATATGAACAGTTATTTTCGAAATTTGTCCCAGTGTTTATGCTTGAATTTATCAACCAATTTATCATATGAACAGTTATCCAGTTATTCATAGTTTTTGAGTAAATTGCTATCACCTTTCAGCATTATATTTTATCAGTTTTTTTATATTAAAGTTAAATTAATTTATTTTTTAGGTTCAAAATTCTGGATTTTTTGCGGTGAATAATCTATCTGCAGACGTTGATTTGGTGGTGAAAAAAGCTGAAAAAGGTCTTGATCTCATCTATGTTGTCAACATGATGGTATAAATATCTATTTTTGTTTACTAACAATAAAAAATTATATAACAAATTATATTTAATATATATATTAGGGTTTCTCCAAAAATTTTTTTTTCGAAATTCAAATTGTGTAGAAGAGAAATCTGGTGGCTGGATAACTCAGTTGGTTAGAGCGTCGAACAAAAAAATTAAACCTGGACAGTTGTAAGATACGAGTTCAATCCTGCCACCGCCAACTCAGCGCTTGAGTAGTACTTCGGTACGCAAAAATGATGGTCAATAACGGACGTTATTTTGGAGTAGTCTTAATGACTATTTGTGGCAATTCCTATGCTAAGCCAACAATATCTTGGGATATAAGAACATTGTATAGAAAAATATAGCTTGAAAATTCAAATAAATAAATAAAAAAATAAAAAATAAATCATTATTTGATATATAATCATTATGTGTAAGTGAAAATGTTAACTCTTGAAGTCAACTTGAATGTAAAAAAGGTTTTTTTAGGTTATTTTTACAAATTAAAAATTTTTAACTTTACAAATCAAAAGTTCTATTATAGTTTTTTCAAATTGAAAAGTTTATATATTTTAATTTTACAAAAAGAAATTAAAATTTTTTGCCATACCATCCTCTTAATCTTTTCATCTTGATTCCTTAGCTTTTTAACTTGTGTCTGCATTTTTGTAATCCTTAGTTTATATTGTATTCTGGCATTTTTTTCCTAAAGCCATTGTCTGAAATTAAAGCATACAGTAGTTCATTTTGTAACACTGAGCTTTATTTAAAATGTTAAGATGCATCCTACCAGACTCTGATGAGACCTTTATACCTCTCATAAAAACCAGGAAGATTTCAAGAGAGTTGCAAGTTAGTATTTAAATGAGGATCACAAAAGAATTGCTGTGTTTCTTTGTTTGAATGAATGCTTTAGACTTTTTGCTTGGTATTTTAAAGATTAAAAGCACTAAGGGAAGTGATCAGATCATTGCCATTCAATCCACAAATGTTAAAAGAGGTGTGCTGACACTACCACCAGCAACACAGGCAAGAATAAAGGAGTCATAAAAAATGTTCGTGATCATGTCTAAAAAGGCCTGTTCTCTGGCTGACGTACAGAAACTACATATGTGACAAAAATAAAACAACAAAAAGTCCAAGCTAGCATTCTGTTTCACTCAAGCAGCTATCACTAATAGACTGAAAAGTTAATAAATTTAAAAGAGTGTCATATTTGAATGGTCTCAAGATGCTTGAAATGGCAATGGTCAAACGGCTAGGTACTAGTTTGTAAAACCTTGCACTTGAAACTTAAGAATTCTACAGAACAACACTTCAGAGAGACGCTTTCCAGAAAAGAGAAGTCAAGTATCTTTGCCAGCTACTGGTTTATTTACTGGGCGCACATATATTTAATTTATCCTTCAACCACCCAGAATCTCACCATGAGGCCAGGTTTATGAGTGACTGTCGCTCTGTAATTAAATTTGTGAAACAAATATTCCATAATAAAAATACTTTTCCAGAATTAAAAATTATATATATATATATATATATATATATATATATATATATATATATATATATATATATATATATATATATATATATATATATATATATATATATATATATATATATAAAGAGAGAGAGAGAGAGAGAGAGAGAGAGAGAGAGATATGTATGTATATGTATATATACATACACATATAAGACCTAAAAGTTGTCTTTCGCTCCAATCTTGTATCTTATTGCCAATTTTTGCATCAAATAAATGGCTTTTTGATTCAGCCAGCTCTTAAACGACTGTTTAATTATTATAAAAGCTTTTCATATTTAATTGTTTCTTTTTATTTTCATAATTTAGCTGTTATATATTTTCGATCTTTTAAATAAATATTTTTTTGTTTGTTTTTTGGTCTATTAAGAATTTTTTTAAATTAATTTATTTATTACAGATTAATGGTAAAGAATGCACACAAAAAGTAAATCCATTAAATCCTTTCAACCTTGTGGTAAGATTTTTCTTATGATTTTATTCTTTTCCTTTTTTGTTAAATTATCTTCTATTATTGTTTGAATATATATAATGAAATAAACCATTAAATATAATATGTTAGTTAATGAGTTTTAACTTAAATACTATGATTTTTTTTTTTTAATAAGATAAAGAATTGGTTTAAAAACAACCAATATAACCAATATACCAACTATCAAGAAATAAGCTGTGAAAATAAGTGAAATTTAGCGTTGCGTAATTTAACGACGATTCCTTAATTAAATAAAAATGTCGAAAATATGCTTACTGATTTTTTTATTTTATTTTTAAGGATTCAAAGAAACCAAAAAGAGTTAAACGATCCAACAACTTGGTACATCTGCATGTTTACTTTAAATATTATTCTATAAAACAATAATTTTTTTTTATTGATTATAATAATTTTTTTTTTTTCAAGTGAAAAATATTCAATTTTATAGAATTGCGAGAATGCAAAATGCAATAGATACAGCTGTGATATTTCAAGTATTGAAAAAAGTCAAAGTGTAACTATTCATCTCATTGCCAGAGTTTGGGAAGCCAATTTTGTTAAGGTTTTTAAATAAATTTTTAATTCGACTATGATAATATTGTTAAAGTTTTTTTTTTTTTTTTGTATATTTATTTTGTGTGATTTTAGTTAAAAGTTCCCGCTACAGACCTCAATGCGACCATAAATGTGAAGTTTAGTCAAGAACAAGCTACTACAAACATTCAAAAAGAAAATTGCATTATGTCGGCTGCGGTATGTTAATTACGTTATGTCGGGTTAATCATTTTAAGTTAATCTAGTTATAAGTTTAAATTATGCCAAAGATTTTTAATAATAGTTTGTGCTCATCACATGATTATGAAAAATGATATATATGTTTTAACAGATCTTTTAAAACATATTTTAATGCGTTTTTTAATGTTGCTTTTGTTTTTAATTATAAAGGTTCTATATATTTTTAGTTACACTATAAAAAATAATTACTTAAAATTAATTTCTAGGTTAATCTCGATGTCAAGTTGTACAATCCTCCTCTAAGAAAATCAATGCCGTGGTGGATTATTTTAGTGGCTATACTCGTAGCTTTATTATTACTCGCAATCGCCATCGCACTCTTAAAAAAAGTATTTATCCTGTTTGTTTGTAGATATCTATTATAAATTTTGTATCCTGTTTGTTTGTAGATATCTATTATAAATTTTGTATCCTGTTTGTTTGTAGATATCTATTATAAATTTTGTATCCTGTTTGTTTGTAGATATCTATTATAAATTTTGTATCCTGTTTGTTTGTAGATATCTATTATAAAGTTTTAGTGCTCTTATTTTTTTTTTTTTTTTTTTTCCAAAGACTAATCAACAGATTTTTTTAGGCTGGCTTTTTTAAAAGAAAAAACCAAAAAGCAGCAGCAGAAAATGAGCCACTCAAATCAGAGGAGGCTACCTAAAGATTTAAGATTTTGTTAGCATGCAGGATTCTACTAAAAATCAAATCTTCACACTAAAAATATTTTATTGTTATTATCTCGAGCTTCAAGTTTATTTTAAAAAATTTAAAGAGACTTATTGTAAAAACTCAAACTTTTATAGCTGTTTTTTACATGTTTATTAGTAAAGATTTACTTGTTATTGTTTTTTACTTATTAGTAAAGATATACTTGTAGTTATTAGTAAAGTCTTTAAACCTGTCGAATCAGGTTTCTCTTTTGGTATACATTTTAACAAAGTAGATTAGCAAAAAAAAAAATATTTATATGAAACACTTTTTTTATTGCTTTTTAAATATCTAAATTATTAACAACAAATAATTGAGCATTTTGTATTTTTGTTACATTTTATATAAAGCAAATAACCATTTAGTTTCTATTGTTAAAAGTTTCTCAAAGTTTCATTTGTCTTTTTTTTTTTTAATCTTTTTTAAAAATATTTATTTTCCCAAAAGTTGTTATTTTGTTGTAGTTTTATTGGATATTTTATTGGATATTTCAAGACGTTGATAATTGCAAGAAGTAGCTTATTTTCAAATAAAAGAAAAACTTTTAATCTATTTAGCGTTGAATGAGTTGCTAGTTGTACGCGAAAAGAAGTCGCAGAGCATTGTAGGGGCGGATTCGTGTCTCTTCTCAATTCCCATTTTTTTTAGTTTTGACTAGATAAAGTATATTTTAAACACGTTTTAGGTAATTCTTTTAATAAAATATATAACCGCTAAAATAGTCACTAAAGCTGAAAAGTTTTTGTAGAGTTAAAAAATTATTTTATTAAAATAATTAGTTGAGGCAATGTAAAATATATACAGGTTATAATTTTTCAAAGTGCAAGGTTTTAATAGACAATAAACAAAAAATTCAAGATTAATTAAATTAAAAATAAATGTTATTTGTAACAAAATTGTATATGATTATAACGTATATGATTGCAAGGACGATAACGGTATCTTTAACTTTCAACTACTAGGTCTGATTTATTCACAATTTAATGACTGGCAACAACCTTTACGTCATTACGCTACCTTGGAAAAATCCTTCTTTAAAGCATTTTTGTAGATTTTGTATATGATTTTATTAACAACTTTTAATTATAAATTAACTTTATAAATACTTACCAAGAGTCCAAAAACATTGTAACATTTTGTTTGTATATAATATATATATATATATATATATATATATATATATATATATATATATATATATATATATATATAATATATATATATATATATATATATATATATATTGTTCTTTTTATTACATTTTAAATAAGCATTTTGTTACAATATTTGAAATACAAATAAATAATAATAATAAAAAAAATATAATGATCGTTATTAAATAATAAAAGAACACGGGGACTCGTAGAAGACCTTACGGTCTTGTCGTCGATTACCGCTAAAAGATGTTCGTGTAACAATTTATAATATATTTACAAGATAAAAAATATATACATATATAATTCTTATAAATTCATGTTTAAATAGAGGGTAAAAAGGGAGATCACTAAAAAAATATCAAAAGTATATTGTTAAATCTTCGATTGTAAAAATAAGTTCTTTAAGCTTTCGTTTAAAAGAAAAATAGTTACTTTGATGAATAAAATCCTCAGTACAATTTTTTTTAAATTATTTTATTCCATAAGAAAATGTCCGCGATAATCAATACAAAATTTAAAAAGATTTGTTTGAAAAATGGGCTGTTTGATAAAATTATCATTGCGTAAAATGTATTTATTTTTATCTTTTGATGAATACAAATTATATATATATATATATATATATATATATATATATATACTAAATTTCCCCTTCTGAAATCTCTACCCCAACCTCTGATTGACCCTGTGTTTATGATTTTATGTAATCAAATAGTCCATTTGATCGGCATTCAGACTTAAATACCACCAGAAAGAGACATATACTACAAGAATTCCATAGAATTCACATTTAATAAGTGCAATATTCATACTTTTAATCTGCATAAATCTAAACAGCATAAATTTGATTCTTATGAAAGGGTGAAGTAGTAGCAGCAGAATAATATAAGTGTAAATAACATGTAAAAGTGCAAACATGCATAAGAGTGATTTGGTTTGAAGATCTCCAAAGTTGGTTTAATTAATTAATTATAAAGCACTTCTTTATAATAAATGAGTTAAACCAAATCGAATATACTGCCTAGCGACGGATCAATCGAATTTTGTGTGGCTAAAGAGACTTTCTCTTCCACTTCCTCTCCCCCCCCCCCCCAACCTGTCATTAGGGCTCAAAATCTTAAAAATCTTTTATTATGCACGGTCAATACGAGTGTTTCGGTGCGCATCGGGAGGCTGTATAAGTGCGAATTGGCATAAGTACGAACTGGCATAAGTGCGCCGAACAAATTTGCAAAATTGGTATAAGTACGAGTTGGCATATATGCGAACTGGCATAAGTGCAAATCAGTTACAAAAACTTGCACAACTACGAACTGGCATAAGAGCGCTGAATAAAATTTCAAATATTGGCATAAGTGCAAATTAGTATTTTGCACTTATGTCAATTTGCACGTATGCCAGTTTGCACTTATGCCAGTTTTACTAACTGCTTTGCACTTATGTCAATTCGCACTTATGCCATTGTTTGCCAATTTGTTCGGCGCACTTATGCCAATTCGCACTTATGTCAGCTCGCACTTGTGTTAGTTTTTGTAACTGCTTCGCACTTATGCCAGTTCGCACTTATGCCAATGTTAGCAAAATCTTTTGGCGTACTTATGCTAATTCGCACATATGCCAGTTCACACTTGTGCCAGTTTTTGTAAGTGTTTTGCATTTATTCCAGTTCGCACTTACGCCATTCGCACTTATGCCAGTTCGCACTTATGAAATTCGCGCTTATTCAGTCGTCCCGGAGTGCATGTTCGAAAAAAGAAATTTAGATTTTAAGATGACTGCGGATCTTAGCTACATAATCTTTTTTAAATAGCAACTTTTTTTTTTTAGTTTATTTTTGTAAAAATTAATGTTGCAACCATATTTATTAAACTCGTGATGAATAGAGTATCCAAAAGTTGTTTGCAGTATCCAATTGTTTGTAGTATTCAAACCTAGCACTCCATTTTTTTCAAAAATAGAATAAAATCAATAAAGCTGTATGAAATCAGCAATATATTTTTCTAAAGGCAAATAGATTGTAATAGTAAAAAGCAAACCTCTTTTAATACAAATTTTATTTCTGAAACACATTACAAAGACTCCAAACATAATATATTATATGTACTTATAACTTATCAATAGTTTTTTAAGAATATCTAATCTTAAAAACAAGACAATTAAAATAATATACTTTCAAGAATATCATTCTAACTCTAATATCGTTTACTTTCTATCCAAAATTGTTTTAAGACGTTTTTTGCTTAAAACAAGAATCTTGGAATTTTCTGTGTATAAAGGAGTGTTTGTGCGGCCGTGGCGCAGTGGTTAGAACGCTTGATTTATTAGCAGGAGATCCAGGTTCGAAACGAGCTCTGGACATATTTCGCGTCATGGTAAAGAAGGAGGCGTGAATTTCCTGGTTAAATGCACTTCCGTGGTGCTCTGTGACAAGACCGCGTTAGAACTTCTTGGAGCACCTAAAATAACAAATTAAAAAAAAAAAGGAACATGTAAAAGCATGAAACATTAATAAGAAATAGCATGCAAAAGCATGCAAATTTAGTAAAAAGTTGCATGCGAAGGCATGCAGTTGTCCTAAATGTAGGCTGGAAACCCTGCATTAATATTTTTTTGAAATGCATCTGAATCCAGCCAGTGATCCAGTTTAATAACTGGACTCAAATTCCATAGATTTGAACCTTATAAACAATCCTGTGACACTTTATTGAATGCTTTTTCAGAGTTGGTAAAAATAGTGTTAACCAGATGTCCTCTGTAAACTACCTCAGGCAAAATGTTGCGGGATTCAATTAGGTTTGTTAAGCAGCATTAGTGATGTACAATGTCGTGTTAAGATATATTGTGTACAGTGTTTCATAATTCAATTTATGATAATTCTCTCCGTCACATATAAATGCGAGACAACCAGCATGTAGTTACCAGCATTTATAAATATGAGAGACAACCAGCATGTAGTTACCAGTATGCATAAATGCGAGAGACAACCAGCATGTAGTTACCAGCATGTATAAATGCAAGAGACAACTAGCATGTTGTTACCAACATGCGATAGACAACTTAGTTACCAGCATGAATATTGTATCCTATATAGACAAAAAGACATGTATACAAAACAGAAAAAGCAAATAAAGTTAAAATTAAATTTGTGGCACTTCTAAAAAAATTTCTGACGCCTCTATTATCTTGGTGCCCGGGACACGTATGCCTCACAGTTATCCAAAATAAGAAATAATTACTTCGGCTTGACCCGAGAATGCCACCTGTCCTGGGTGAATCTACATGGTCCACAGATTCAAAACATATAAATATTGAAATCTAGTTAAATGTCCGAGCGAAAAAAATCACTTGAGTTTTTTTAGTTGAACAGAAAACAACGGGTACTGATATTTACTTTTTCAAACTACATTTTGTAAATTATAAGTTTATAAAAATATATTAACATAGAACCAGCAATATTTATTCTTTTTGTTATGTTTAGCATCATCTTGTTATAATGATTGTGCCTACCATCTTAATGATCATTAAAACTGAAGAACCCTATTTTGACATCCACAAACATTTGTTTTTGTTTTGTTTTACTAAAAAAACGGAAAAAATCATTCTAGAACTTCAAAAATTGAAAAAATCATTCTTTGACTTTATAAGTAGAAAACAACGTATTATTGCCTCAAAAGATCAAAGGTAAGATTTATTTGAGTTGTTTTTCCTTGCATTCTGAATTGAAAAAAATTTGCACAACTTTTGAAAATATGAATAATAAACTGAATAATATATCACTTCAAGATAATCATTTGATGATCTGAAATCAATAATACTCAAAGTAAATACCAAAAATAGTCATTAGAAATTTGTGTAATTAATATTTGATATTGTTTTAAAGCTTTTCCCACATTCTCTGCACTTTTATGTAAAACAATCTTTATTTTATTGTGTATTTGCTACTTTTCAGTAAACAATACTCCTATTTGAAATGATATCTTTCTGATATTTCAGTGAACGTTAACTATGCCTAACCAAGCTAAAGATCATGATGCAAATCAAAAAACTGTTTGCTTGCTGTGCTTTCAAAAAGCAACACGTCAAATTATAACCTTTCAACAAGAAAGAATTCGTCAAATTTACAAACATCAGATAAACTACCAATACCCACGTGTTCCCCAAGGATTTTGTGAAGCTTGTCGTTCACTCTTGAGACGAAAAGATGTAGAAAAAGATGTCAGCCTTCCTGACCTGTTTGATTTCTTTACAATCTACATGAAAGCAAAAACTAGAACAGTTGGTCAAGAATGCTCATGCCTAATTTGTCACATAGGAGGTTTGAGGCACAATCAAAAAAGCCCTATGGTCAACCATGAAGCGCAAGCAAGAGTTCCTCTGCGTTGTACAACATGTCTTAGTCCTATTGAAAAAAGGACTTCTACACAACTGCAATAGGTTCACATTCCGCGAAAACTTGAAAAAGTTGGCCAGTGCTGATCTCAGCGCTTCTGAACAGATTGCTTCGAATGTAATTGCTTCCAAAGATGCTTCTCCAAAAGGAACTCTTAGGCTAGCTCAACAAGGTGGGGGTCGCCCTTATCCCTATCACCCCAGGTAATAAAACCTAAAGTGAAATATTTAAATCATCATCGCTTTCTTTTCAACCAATTAAATATTTATTCTTTATTAACAGGCCCAAGTCAAGTGAATTTAGTTGCTTCGTCTGGTAAGACAAGTCTTACAACAAATGATCTTGTAAAAGTTCAACTCAATACTGGCTTGTCAAATCATGGAGTAAGGAAGCTAACAATGACGTTGAATTAGACATCTGCTCATAAGATAGTCGAGCCGAATTTCCGTGCAAAGTTCCAAGAAGCTGGGCAGATGCTATATGAATTTTTCACTCACTCAGTTCTTGTAGATGCTAAAGAACCGAGACAAGGGTTGTATGGCATATCAAAGACTGTCGTGCACTGCCAACACCTCGCCGATCTTTTGAATGAAGTAATCAAACATCGAGATATAGATGACAACCTTGTCAAACTTGGCATTGATGGTGGGGGAGGATTTCTGAAACTCTTCCTCAGTGTTGTGAGCAAAAGCCAAGGCAAAAATGCAAGCTCCTCACCATAGAAAAAACTCCTCACGCAACAACTAGCCAAGGACAGCAGTTCCAAGAGGCAGCTTCTGGTTGCAATTGCAGAAGGTATGCCTGAAACCAATAAAAATGTGAGGGCTATTAGGTCCCTCATTCGAGCTGACATTCCATCATATCACATTTCATGTGATATGAAGCTAGCCAACATTTTGGTTGGTCTCCAGTCGCATGCAAGTACCCACCCATGTACATGGTGTGATGCAAAATCCACCAAACTGAATTGCTCAGGGAGACTGAGGACTATCGTCTCATTGAAGGAGAGTTTCAAAAATTTTAAAAAAATTGGGTAAGGTCACCACAAAAGCGAAACTGTTTGGCAATGTCATTCATGAGCCGGTCTTGAGCGGAAAAAATGACATCCTCATCATCGACATTATTCCACCAATGGAGTTGCACCTTTTGTTGGGAGTAGTAAACCTGGTCTTCAAAAAAATCAAAGATGTGTGGCCAGATGTTGAAAAATGGCCTTCTTCTCTGCATATCCAAATTGAGCCTTATCACGACGGACAGTTCGTCGGAAATGACTGTCAAAAACTTCTAAAGAACATTGACAAGCTTCAGCAGCTTGCAGAGGTTGGATTAGCTTTCCAAGTTTATCCCTTCATCGCTGTGCTTCAAAGATTTAATGTCAAATTATCCTGAGTATGCCAGCCGACTCAAAAACTGCATTGTGGATTACAATAGCAAACGTTTATGAATTCAGAGTCAGATGTTTTTCTTTGGTCAAAACTTTAAATCCAGCACAGCATACAGTATTTTTCATGGAATTTAAACATATTTGTGCTAATTAGAATTAAGAACTTGGCATAAGAATAAGAACTTGGCATAAGTTTTTCATTTTGTTGTTATTTTTGCCCATAAATTATGAATAAAGAGATAACAAGAAATGATGTAGATAATTAAATAATTCTATGCTTGGGTTGAATTATTTCCAAAACATAAAAAGTATTCTTTTGAGGTCTATCTGTATCAAACAAAATTAAAATAATACATAGATTTTTTAAAATTGTTAATTAAATTATTGTATGCTGTAAAAATGCACAATTTTGTGAATGCTGTCATCTCATGAACATGTGCAAAAAGGGTAAAAAATTCAAAGTGATTTTTTTCGCTCGCACGTTGTAACTAGATTTCAATATTTATATATTTTGAATCTGTGGACCATGTAGATTCACCCAGGACAGGTGGCATTTTCGTGTCTAGCCAAAGTAATTATTTCCTATTTTGGACAACTGTGGTATTATTTGCCACTCCATCTCGGCAGCCCTGTATATATTTTCTGTGTTTCTGAAAAATGGCCAAAATTAATCTTTAAAATTCAGAGTTTAAGAGTTAAAATGCTAGAAAAACAAACTGATGACTATCTAATTTAGTTTTGAATTGTGTTTGCCTTAAGACAAGTAAAACTAAAATGTGGGTTTCTCTCTCGAATCACAAAGTTGTTATTCACCCCCTTCGTCTACGCCTTAAATTTTTTGTTTGCACAGCAAGCGTAGTTACGTTACTTACAACATGGCGTATGGCGCCATTTCTTGTTGACGGGTAAACTAAAAACCTGCGTCCACCCCAAAGTATAAACATAGAAAAGTTTTGTTAGGCAATTCCGCGATATAAGTTATTAAACTATTTTATGAAAAATAGTTTAATAACTTATATTATTTAAATACTTAAATGCGGGTTTTTTAATAAAATTAAAAACCCGCATTTTTAAGGCTTTATAAAGTTTGTTAAATAATTTTAATTATTAGTTCTAAATCCGAGCTTCTAACCATCTTAATTTAGGTTCAATTATGAATTACATCATACTATATAGTAAATATAAAAGATTGTTACAATAAGCTTTCTATACAGACCAAGAAATTTTGAGTCAAAATCAACGCTAAAACTTATTTCACAACTATTTTGTTATCGTTTTGTAAAAAAAAAAAAATTAAATAATAATAAATAAATCTGCTAACATGCATTTTTCGGAAATGACAAGAAACGATATATATTTGTCCTTATATTTGCTAAACTACGCGATTAGACAGACACAGCACTGTTTGCTTGTTGATTTAAATATGTTTTTATATAAAATGCGAATGGTGTTTGGCATTTGATTAAAGTTATACACATAAGAATAAGAAATTTTTGTTTGAAAATAATAAACTTGTATCATTCATTCATTTAGCAACTATATGTTCTGAGAGTTAAATTTTTGTTAAAAAGTAAATGCAACCAAAGAAACATGAAATTCGCAAGTAAATTTAAAAGTATTATCATGAGACAAAGATTTTTGTTTATGTTATTAAATAGCGTTGTCAGCTTTAATTTGGATACAAAAAACATTTGGCGGTTTACTAATGACAATAATGCAACAAATTTTGGATTTAAAGTGTCACTTTTCCCAAATGATAAACCTAAGTATGTATTTTATTTTAAACATTTATGCTTTCTTCCAATTATCTAAGTTGTTTTACTTACTAAAGAATTAACCAAAGTATCAAGGCGTCAAAACCTTAATACGGGTTTTTTTGCAAAACTCAAAAAAGTAGGTCTACAAAATCGATATTTATTATTATGTTTGTTTAAGGCCAATAATATAAAAAGGTAGTCTTTTAAGAAATTATCATAAAAATGATCAACTTTTTTTGTCATTTTTTATATTTTTTATATTTTAACTTGGGCTATGACTTATTAAGATATAGTTTAAGTTAATAGGCCGGGTAAATAAAAAAACAATTGCTTTTACTCAGTTATTGGTCAGCTTTACGTGAATAAAAATATTAGCAATTTTGCTCAAGTTTATATTCAAGTGAAGCTGAGCAATCACTGAGTAAACTGCTTAACTTTACGTGAATGAAAGTTTGTGCAAAACTGCTGAAGTTTTGCACAAGTGGTGTTTATTCGCGTAAAACTGACCAAACCTGATTAAAAGTAGTTGCTTTTTTTTATTCACCTGGCCTAATGCTATGAACGTTCACAGTATAAATTTATGCTATTTTCGAAAAAAATGGTAAGTTTTATAAAATAGTTAATATTTATGTTGCGAGTAGTTATTAAATTTTTTTAAACATTCTTTTAAAATCAAGTGCTCTTTTATTATTTTCTTTTTTTATTCAATCTTTATTTCTTTCTTAGATTTCTTAGATTTTCTAATTTCTTTCTTATATAATTTTTTATATCTTAATACTGGATTTCATATTTAAGTACAAGAAGAAAAAAAAGTTTCACGTTTTATCATGTTTAATTTTGGATTAAAATTGAACACAACATTAATCTGTGGTCAAACAAATCCTATTATAAGCTAGAAGACTTTTTTTCATAATTCTAATAATAAATAATTTAAATAAATAAATTGCGAAGACCTCTATTTTATTTATTTTTGTTACAAACATAAAAAAAAGCATTTAAAAACACAATAAAAACTAGAAAATTGAACGAAGCAAATTTATCTATAAATATAAATCATCTGTTAAGATAATTTGTCTTCTTATCATCAACGAGGAAGACTGGAAACAACTATAGAACTTTGCGAAAATTAAAAGAGCAAAGATTGCAGAACACCACTTGGTTTCTTCGTAAACTTTTTGCTCTTTAACTTAGTCATTAAGACTAAGTTAAAATGTTTTTATTTTAATATACAAACCGGTATAAAAATAATACTCCCCGATGTTATTGAAAATTTCTAGCAGAAGTAGAAGAAAAAATTTTTAATATTTTTTAAACAAGGTCATTTTGCGATCGCATAAGTTTTAACATGGAAAATAAAGGGTTTTCAGCTAGATCTGTAAAGCTCTAAAGCTAGAGCGCATTCATAGGAGGGGCGATGGAAGCGATTGCCCCCCCCCCCCTTCCTCATTAAATATTTTGAAAATAATTTTTTTTTTTGTAAATTTATCTATTTAAAAGTCCATATTTGAACATAAATTTGGATTGGATAAAACATTCATTGTTAAATATGAACTTCTGTTAGAAACTTTACCGTCAAAAAGATAGTTTAACACTAATTAATATTTGTATAAAACCCATTATTTGATTCTAAATATGATGGTCACTCCATATATAAACCCTAATATCTCAGATTAAATGAAAATTTATATATGGATTTAAAATTTTATTAAAAATATAATATGTTTAATAATTAAATTTTATACAGTTTTATGTGTGAAACTTACACTCATTTAGGTAAAGTTATTTTTATGTATCACAATAATTGGTTGAAATTCGGACGATTTTAAATTGAGTTTTCTCAAAAAACCACTTAATCAATTGTAATAATTTTTTTTTTTAATGATGCTTACATAATTAGTTTTTATTTCAACAAAAATAAATTGACGTAACTTTATGACGCGCAAGTAATTAAATTGATTGTTATGCGGCTTTGAAGCAATGCATGATAGGGGTATTGGATGTTTCCATTATGATATTGCGTTCTTTGCTTTTGTTTATATATTTTTTACTTATTAACTAAGTTATTAACTTATCTGTCTAATTTTTTTTTACAATTGAAAAAAAATTGTAACCCTTATCAAAATGAGAGAAGTTAGAAAAAAAAAATCTGTACTTCTAATTACAAGTTTACTAGATACACTTTGTATCCAGGTTACCAGGTTCAGTTTGTATTCTGGTGCTCCGAGAAGACCGAAAGGTCTTGTTATAGAGCACCGCACGAGGGCCAGAATTGAAATTAACTCGATAAACTATTTGGATACATTTTTGTCTATTTAGATTTTAATGTGATTGATTAGTGTTATTAAAAGTGTGATTGCTAGGTAAACTTGGTTTCCCATAATAAAATAATTTATTCCAGCTTAAATTAATAGCTTTGCCTAATTAAGTGAATTGATACAATACAGTGAATTAGCAGATTTCGTCAAAAATGTTATTTTCAATATATTGAAAGTATAAAAGAACTAAATAAAAATAATGCTAAACTGGCTTAAACACTGTATCCTACAAACAATACAAAAAACTGGCTTAAACATTGTATCCTACAAACAACACACTATTTTGTAGGTAATGAGTCAACATGTTTAAATATAATTAAGTTTAAATATAATTAATATATTTATAAAAATAAAGTATAATATATTTATAAAAATAAAGTATAATATATTTATAAAAATAAAGTATAATATATTTATAAAAATAAAGTATAATATATTTATAAAAATAAAGTATAATATATTTATAAAAATAAATTATAATATATTTATAAAAATAAAGTATAATATATTTATAAAATTGTACAACAAATGTCTAAATGACAACGATTTATATCTAAATTTAAACTAACATTTATCAATCAAAACACAATGTTCAAAATTATGCAGAACTCATCACGATATTTAAAAAATAAGAGAATGTCATTAATTTAAGAGTTTCACAACACTATCTGGAAAACAGTTTTTAGGGTGGTTTTATATTGTAAACTAGAGTGGTTTTAGCCCATTTTACACCTTTACATCTAGTGCATGAAAAGCGTAAAAATTATTTCTCAAAAACATCATGTACTGTTAAAAGTGCATAGAAATGACAGTTAAATCTCGCAATTAAAAAGTATTCACTAAATGTATTTTTTAGAGGGTTAACTTTAACCCAATTTAGTTAAAAAGGGACTTAAAGATGCATTGAATTAGTAAAAAATATTTTGGTAAAAAAGACAAAAATAAGGTTTTAAAAATGATTTTTTGACAAATTGTAGATAAAAAGTGTAAAAAATTAGGTTTAAAATAACTTGTGATTTTCTCTAAATTCTATTATGCGATACAACTAAAGTTATATTATTCCACAGGAAAGCCTTAAAATAATTTTTTCTGTAGATATAAATTATCGCTAGACATAATGCTTTTTGAGACGTGCGTGTTCAATCTTATCTTTAATATTTATCTTTATATTTTGTATTTTGAAGTAGGTTGTCCTAAGTTAATAAACCGTTTTTAAAACTTCTAATTCGTTAATTTTCTATGCGTTATAATTTCTAAGCATATTTAAACTAACTAATTATACTGATTTAAAAGTATAAAATAAACATTTATACCAATTTATAAGAATTTAATAGACTTAAAATTATAAACTAGTTAGACAAAATAAGTAATAGTTTTCCCACGGTATTCCACATACCGTTAATATAAAGTTTACCGGCATATCTTAGGGTACTACCCAATGGGCATTGGACGTCCTTAAACGTCTAACAGACGTCCGTCGAATGTTTTAGGAATTCCAATGCCCACTGGGTAATTATAAACTGTTTTGAAACAAAAAAACTTTGCATGGACCAATGTGACCCCGTTCAGTAACTTTTGCGGCATTGATCACAGGATCTAATAACCAGCTTCAGCGCAGTGGTTAGAGCGCCTGCCTCAGAAGCTAGAAATCGGTGTTTAAAGCCACCTCTGGGAAAGTTTTATAACGTCGATAAGGAAGGAGGCATGAACTTCCTTTTCAAATGCTCTTCCGCGGTGCTCTGTGATAAGATCGTAATGACTTCTTGGGCCACCAATAATGTTAAAAGAGTTGATAAAAGTGTACATAGCATAACGTGTATTTTTTTTATCAAATACAAAATAAAATCAATAATTGCTGCTTTTTGTTCTGTATTTCTGACGAATTGTGGGACAATATTAACATTATTTGATGATTGTTTACTACCAGATAGGAAAATTAATCACCACTCCAACTTTATTTCTGAACATAGATTAAATTAAATTCTTTTGGCTTGGACTTTATTGTTGTCTGATGTATATATACATCTGTTTGTTTAATGTCAGTTTTGTGGCTGACATTAGACAAACATTACATAAAACAAATCCGGGCACGAAGCGTTGTCATACTTAATCTTAATTTAACTAACATGTCATACTTAATCTTAATTTAACTAACGGGTAATATAATGGTGAAACATAACGCTTTTTATATATAAACAAATATACAAATAATTTAGAAAACATAACGCCTAAGACATATTTTTTACTAACATAACAGTATACATTACGCTAAATTTTTCACTTGAACGTTATGTAATTGTTATGTTAGCGTTAACACTTAGTGGTAAGAATTAACAAAAGTGCATGGTAGCCATAACTGGGTTAGACCAAGGACATTTTAAATGTTTTAAAACGTTTTAATATGTCCTTGGTTAGAGTTATGATCAGAATCTACGGAAGTACATTTTAAACTTACTTTTTGAAATTTTACCCGGGGTTTTTACCAGTAATGACATTTGATCTAAAAACGCTAAATACTCAAAATTTCGAACTTAAAACAATTTTTAGATGGCTAAAGTAGACAAAATACTTGCTAAAAAAAAACAACAATGTTATATTAAACAACAGCATGACGAAAGACAAAAAACTAGGAATTGCTTCATATTAATAAACAGCAACTCAAAAAGCCTGAATTATACTCAACCATTACTGGTA